AATAAAGTCCAAATTTTCCAAATTGTTAAATTTCAGATATACATTTCCGACATAGATAAATGATAAAAAAAGATGCCTCAACTCTGGAGCAATTAATTACATATTTTATAATCCTGTTCAATTAAGATGATTATTAAATATCTTCTTGTAAATAAGAAGAAAGTGTGCTCGATTGCCATCTAGTAGTATAACATAGAACTAGGCAGCCAAATATAATATCCTACACGTGTTCAATAATCTTACCGTGATTCTCAGTCTTTCTCATTTGAAAATATTGTCAGTAGGTCATCGATTTCAATCACTTCTCGGCCATTTCGTCCCTAGATAGCTTATCAATATTTTCACAATTTCGACGTTTTCGATAATTCTAAAAATGACATTTCGAAAATTTCTTTCAAAATTATTATTATAATGTAATTATATATGTGTATATGTGTAGCATATTTTAAAGCGCGCTTCATTTTCCGACGTAAAGATGCACTTTTAAATTTATAAGTTTTTTTATACCGTGCATCTCATAATACATGAAAATTTATTTGTATTGCAAACAATATTAATGATACCTCAGTCACGTTCTGCAAAAATCATTGGCGATCGAGAAATGGTGAGAATTACATAAACGTCATAAATTACATTAATGTGTCGAAGGATAGAAAATTATTAAAAGTCAATTCAGAATCGGGGATCCCTCAATCGTCGATTTTGCCACAAGCATTTCCACACGGTGTCCGTTCGAGAGAGACCCCGTACAATATTAAAAACTTTACAAATTACCGCAGCTGAGATCCACAGGGCGGTTAAATCCACCACCCTAGATCGTAGATTACAGCAATTGTGGCGGAGAGATAGGAACGCGAAAGAGTGCGCGGCGGCGAGGGTGGAAATACGGAGGAAGAGTCTGAACGCGGGGGGGGGGGGGGGAGGAGGCTGTGTGTTCGAAACACGAAAAGAATCCACCGGGAGGAAACGCGCGGATCTTACTATCCCTCTCTCCTTCTCTCTCTCTCTCTCTCTCTCTCTCTCTCTCTCTCTCTCTCTCTCTCTCTCTCCCTTACTCTTATACAGGGCGTCCAAATACACGGCGGGAGAAAACATAGGGCCACGTTTCGCCATACAATACACACGTACGTGCACGCGCGACGTTACGCGTGTGTAGCACGTTCTCCGGTCTCGGGCTACGGCCGTGCCGCTTTCACGCACACACCAATACACATACGTGCACGCATACAGGCACGCGGGCCACTCACACGTGCACGGGCGCGGGCCACACCGACGCATAGATTGCATACTTATGTCGGCACTGTGCACATAAAGTTAGGGGGGGGTGCGCGCTCTCCTTCGCTGCCGCACAAGAATAAGAAACACGGTAGCATACATAAACAAGAAGGTTGGGGATGCAGCAATTTAAAACGTACCCCGGAATTCCTCCCAGCGGAGTCGTAGAGCCGCCCTCCGTATTACGAATTCCTCCCCTCCCTCCCCCCTCGCCCTTCGCCCGCCCTCCCTCCCTTTCTGTCGGTGTCCTCCTGCATCTTACTGGGAATTTCGGTCGTATAAAGTGGTACTATGGGCGCGCGAGAAGCCGTGTATTAGCGAATATATCTGTCCGACGATCGTATACCTACCACGAGTTCCGCCCTTCGTCTATCGTGGATTTCGATGACGTGTAATCGGTCGTACGCGGGGAGCCGTTCCCTCCCTCGCGCTCCCTCAGATATGGATGCCCGCGAATGTGGCTGATTTCCGAGTAAATTTAGCCCTCCCCGGTATAAGAATATCGCGATGCGTGGCGAAGTTTCGTGGCCATTTTCACTCCCTTGCAAATTGGATCTCCGACATTCCTTCGCTCACCCTTACGTCATTCTCGTCACAAATAGAAGAATTATTTTTTTTAATGTAAAAACAGTTTTCACACACAGAAAATAATTTTCGAGAAAAATCTGGATTTTTATTAATAAATTAATACGATATTTCATAATCTGCAAGTCTCTCTATAGATGGCATTTAATTTGTAATAAAGTTTCACATACGTTTGGCTCTTTGTCCGCGTGTTTATACATTTTTCATTTCCATAAATCATAGAACGAATACGAGAAATTAAGGGGTAAATGTTCGGACAGTAGCATCTTGCTTCCGGCGAATATTTCGACGCCTTCTTTAACTGAGCGACAAACATGTATTTTTATAACTGGTTCACAAGAGGAAGCTGTACGTTTGTAATTCGAAGCTGGGTATAATGTTATTTAACACAGAATCGTAAGGAATGCGCATATCTCTTCGTGAAATTTTTACGCGAGACTTTATAAATATTCATAAATGACGCACAAAGTAGCGCCTGCGCCATACACATGGGACTGAACATTTCGCAGGATAGCGTTCGCACGGTACGTGGAATGCAACAGTACTGAAAAAACGAGAACGAAAAATACAATATCTCATAGTGATATTACTCTTATTATACGTGAAACGTGAAACTTTTAGACAACTCCGATTAAACAATCTTTAAAAAGTTGCTCCAATTTTTTTTTATTACACGAACAACTACGTGACAGTCAGTTTTATTTCTCTGTAAATAAAAATGAAATTTATCCCCCAGGACAAAAATAAACCGTAATATATAGATCTTTAAGTAGCAGAAAAAAATATAATTAAATATTTGTAAAAAATTGATATATAATACAAAAAGTATTGAAACACTGAAATGTAAGAATTCACGTTTTGCCTACGATTTATTAGACCTTACGATGAAGCAATATTTCGCAGAGAATAAGGAAGAATTTAAGGCATTTAAATTTACAAATCGCACGGATATTCCATTGTAAATTTCCTCGTGTGACACATTTCCGGGGATATTTATATAATCTGTCGCGTAGAGGGGGTGAGGTCTTAATCATACTCGCGCTCGTGAAATTTAATCTGAACAATGCCTGAACCGTCCTTTCATAAGTATTACCCATTATGGAGATCAGCGCCGGTATCAGCGCGTATAAGTCAAATAATGTTAACAATGGAGAGAATTTCAAGTTACTTGAGCTTCGTGAATCGAGCGATTGAGTGTTTGAGCGGCGGTGTCGCCCCGGGCGGCTGTGTTTGCAGATATAAGGGAGGTTCGTGCCGGGGGTTCTCGGCGAGTTGGGGGAGTTCAATTGGTGGCGGCAATCCTAGTAATGTACCCGTGGGGCTGTGTCAAAGTGCTCTTTGCAAGAGAGCACGACATTGCATTCTGCATTCTACACCTTCATTCTTAGATGGAGGGAGGAAGGGAGAGCGGAAGTTTGGCGAAAGATACCGGAAGCGACGTCTTCTATCGCGATCCTTTCGTCCTTTGACTTATCAGTAAGATAACAAAGATACCAGCCGGGGAAGGGGGAAAAATGAATAATTCAAAAGAGTTGACAAATCGTGAATATTTGAGCGATGGAACAGAAATTCGGGGGGGACGGGAAAGGGGGAGATAGGGCGCGCGTGGAATCGAGCCCTCTTCGATACGAGTAGCTGTAAAATGGGCGACGGGATATACATATTGTTTATACAGACGACTACGTGAATTGAGCACGAATATAGGTCCTCTCATGACTCACGAATAATTCATGGGAAGTCGTTACTCGCTAAAAAATGTTGAAGAAAGAGAGGAATATACATCGTTTGTTAAAAAAAAAAGATTGTATCGTTTACATACATATCATTTTCGGGGAGCTCCAATGGGAGCGATCGATATTGCTACGCATATCGATATGCGTAATTTGATTTACTAAAACATATGCGCACGAATTCCGTATCTCGCGTACGGGAATTTGATTCGGATACGAGGCTGCTTATAAATCGGATCGAGGGGACCGTTGCGCGAAGGTGGAAGAGGCAATCTGCGATTGCCATTCTTATTCCGCTAAGAGATTACTTTCGCGTCCCTTCTCTTCGCCGCGTTAATCTGCGGCGTCGCCAGAAATCCGGCGATCTAATTGAACGGTCGGCGGCGGCGGCGGTGGCGACATTTAGCCGGCATACATTTTAATTCTGCAGATGCGCGGCACCGAATAGGCCTTTCAGTCTTTTCGCACCTTCGCGGATCCCGGCGACTTCGCTTTAAAAACCGACGACTAAATAATGTATATCACGGCGGCGAGAGCGGGCGGTAAAACAGTTATAAAAACACCGGCAACTACGTTAAGATCAATTATTTAGAATGTACGGCTTCGTAAAGAGAGAGTAGACCAGTCGTAAAGGGGGCGGAAGAAAGTAGCGCTCCTAGGACGGGTTTGACGGGAAGGAAGAGAAGGGAGTTGGAAGCTCTGGGCGGAAGCTACCGCGGGAGTTATAAAGGTTGCAGTTAAAAGTTCCGTGAATTATCAAGGGATTGACTGGCTAAAGAACGTGGCTGACGCTCATTTTAAAATGACGCGTTGAAATTTCAATTCCGCAATATATATTCCACCGCGGACGATAATACGCTGCTTCTAATTGATAGCGGCTCTTTAATTCCCCCCCCGAACAATTGATTTTCAAATGAGTCGCGTTTATTTATTTAACACAAGTTGCGAAATAATGGATCGGTCCTCGCTTTTTTCACATTTTTCATACTTAAAATATAAGAAATATAAGAGAGGATGCACACGCGCTTTCGTCTATTGGAGGGAGCGAGAAGAAGGACAGCAAGTTTATACAACATGCATCTCCTTTTTCATTTGTTAGAAGGATATTCGATAGTCTCGTAAACATATTTATGAAAAGCTATATAGGACTTCTTCTTTTATTCAACAATGTAATTAAAAGGAAATGACGCGTCAATCACGATAGGAATCATGATAAATTAAAAATTAAAAAGATAATTAAGAGAAATCTTTATTTATAGTTACGTTTAAGACCGTTAATATTAAAGTAATATAAGTATTTGATGCATACTTAATATTTCTTAATTTATACATATATATATAGAAATACAATCTATGTAATATGTATATGTATAATTATGTAAAATTAGATTCGAAAAACATTTTTTGATTACTCTTTGTAATCTAATTTTGATTATTCTACTGTATTATTTTTGCATAAAGTTGTTAATTTCCCGAGATCAGCTGAAGTAATGAAAAAGTTTGTCGTCAACGGATCGAAACTTCCATGTAAAAATTTCTGTAAATTATTAGAAAGCACGTATAATTGTCGATAATTATTGTCGATTGCTATATCTTGAGGAAACACCAATGTCGTGTTGTCTTGCGCCACCAATTCTGTAAAGAAAACTTGTGGAATTTAAATGCTAATAGTAGCTTATAAAACAAATATGTAAGCGGATTATGTTACTTATTAAATTTGAAATAATTTATTTAAATTAATTTATTTGAAAATGTTTTAATTGTTATATCGTGCCTATCTAAAAATTAATATTTAACGGAAATAACGGCATTTCACAATAGAGGATATATCTCTCTGCAACTTTTGTAAACGTGAACTTTAGAGACATCTCTGATGAAATGAATGAACTATAGCTTTATAGATCGCTCTAACGTTATGACATTTTGTCAAAAAATAATGCAAATTGAAATTAAAGGATTTGTTATATATTTTGTAAATTATTTTTGAATATATCAAAAGATAAATAAATAATTTTGCAAGTTAATTAAAGTTTAACAAAACTTCTTATCATACACGGGAAATTCTATCATCTTATTTGAAGAAGGATGAAAAATAAAAAAAATAATAATGAACGGAATAATAGTAAATGACGTAAATATAAATGTAAGCAGAGCTAATAAGGATTTTTTCGTGTAATACTCACTGAACGTTTTTGGATTTAATTTCACTTTAGTATCCCAACACGCGATACCATTTCTATTTACTTGAGTAAAATAATCGACAGATGTTTCTGAATCGATGATGGAAGATGGTCCTTGAGTCAACGGTCCCTTATTACCAACAATATGGAAATTAGCGTAGTCCTCCCATTTTTTCAATGTATTATCTTGCAGAATATTCGTAGATACGAAAAATTCCGTGATACCGGACATAGCATGAAAATAGAGTGTTCTGTATCCATCGCCGCAAATTGGTGACAAAGACATCCCAAAAACACCGTCGGCCCATTGGAAATTATAGCCATTAACGTTGTAATCACCTGTCAACGAGTAGAACATGTGAGACAATAAGATAATTTTTGATAAAAATCTCGAGATTTTCTGAGGAAAGAGAGAATAATTATGTCAAACTCGACGTGGAAAAAAAAGCATATTATTATTTTCTAAGTATATTACCATTTAATGGATCGAAATGGAAGAAGTGATGACTAATCCGCCAAGAATCATTCTTTTCCCAGTCATACACCACTATACCATTTTCACCCAAGTCACTCATGTACACATAGGCTTTGTCACATTGTCCAGGTACAACATCGACCACAAGATCGGCAATAAAGCTATTCGGTTTTACGTCTGTATCTTTCAAAACGTACTTGCGAATAATCTGCAACACGTAATTACATACATTTGTGCGGGGACTAACAAGCGTAATCAAATAACCTTCATCGCTTGATGATGTACAAGTATATTTTTAAAATATTATTAACAATCTTGTGTATATAACTTTTATTACATGCACGATTTATATAATAGTTCATATTTCTTATTATATACCTTAGATTATAATAGATTAATTATTATATAATAGTTGAAAAATTGTATATATACATCGAGAAACAATACCTTATCCGTTTTCAAATCGATGACAGTAAGTGTCATTGGTCGCACAACTGTGTAATTTCCTAAAACATCATCCACTCCTGTATCGAGACCCCACATGCGATCGCAGGCATCGATTCTGACGCGGAAGATGCTTACGAGACCGTCGGATGAATGAATGTCATTTGCCTCGAAATTAGGATACGGTGTTAAGATCGGACTATCTGTTATCAATATATAATAATCAGAAATTAAATATATTTTTTTTAATTAGAAATATTTCTTCATCATAAGATATAAACTTTGAATATTTTTTTAAGATTTCTCTAGGCTTGAAATTTTCATTTTCCAAACTTGTTCCACTAAAAAAAATATTCTCTCACAGCATCTGAATTTTATGAATGAATTCTTCATATGATAACAAATACGCTTAATATTTTTAGTAAACTTTGTTAAGTTACATTTTTTTACTTACGTGTGTTGGTCATTGGGAAGCTATTTAATGTAGCTAAAACGCCATTTCTCCATCGCGGTATTGTGACGAACATTTTGTTGTGCCAAGTTGCCAAGCCTAATGGCATATTATTATCTGGGATGTAATCACCGGAAGCAATATACTCATTTCGTATGGTATCGTTTGGAAGTTTGAATTCGACCTGTTTCCACGAGTAAACGGTATTGAAGGTGTGGCCAGTTGCCGTGGCCAGACAGGCCAAGAATAACAAGTAGAGCATATCTGTAAAAAATCAATTCTTTTGCAAAATAAAAAAATAATAGTAAATAATTATTAACAGAACAATATTAATTATTATAAAACGATATTAAAAACGTATAACACATAAAACGTATAACAACGCAAATACTTAAATTATTAATTTTGAAAGGCAAAATTGAATATCAAATATCATATTTGTAATGTACCATAATGCATCAAAGTAATACAAGTGATCATCAGACATTCCTAGAAATGTTGAATACAATAGCTAATTATTTACATTTATTGTTAGATATTATTCAGTTTCTCGCATCACTGCAAGACTATTCCATTTATATAAAGAATGTGATTAATGATAATAACGATTACAATTATTATTCATCAGAAGATGAACACGCAAATGCTGAAAGTAACAAACGCGTGTTTCGCAGTGTAATCCGCTATGTATTAAATATTTAATTTTATTTTAACATATACATATATGCATATTTTATTGTTTGATGTAGAACCGGTTCCAATTTAGTTAGAATTGTTTTCGTCAGATGTAAATGAAGATATTTATTACAATATTCACATAAATATCTGTGAAAATATTTAAGATATTTATCAGTTTTAACGCACAAATATTTATTTATGCATTTAAAACAAATTTCTAAACTTGTAATGAGAAAAAGTTCTTGCATTTATAAAAAATTTAAAAATGTGCAATATTATATTGCATAAAATTATCCTATATGAAAGAAAATATACATAATATATTTATAAAAATATGTGGATATTTTTTCGCAGATTTTTTTATAATATGAAAAGATTTGCATTTTTAAATCTAATCTTTTCTTAATCTTTTACTTTCTGCATGTTTTAATATAAAATTCTTAGAAAATTGTTTGCATAGGTTATTCTGCATTCGTAGAATTAAAAATAATTCTCTCTTAACTCTCTTTATCTCATATACTTATTGATAAACATTGAAAAATGCACATAACTCTATGAATTTTAAAATATCTATGTAAAGTATGCAGATATTCTCTCTTATTTCTTTGTTACAGAAAGACATTGAAAAGTATATCTCTATAAATTTTAAAATATTCCAAAGCATGAAATATATCTTGCAGAATAGTTAAAATAATCAAATTATGATCAAAATATTAATTATAATAAAATTATTAGTATAATGATAGCTCTATATGCTTATACATTGTATAACAAATTTAAAAGTTTTTACTGTTTTACTGCTTTATCTATGCAGCTCTCATTATGTATATGTACATATATATATGATTCAATTCGATTAACTGACTATTTGAGAGAGATTTCCAGATGCAGTATATTATAATTTAGGAGCGAAAAATAACCTTGACTAATACTTTTATAAATGTAGTCCGAATAATATGATTAATATGTGTGTGTGTGTGTGTGTGTGTGTGTGTGTGTGTGTGTGTGGTTCGTGATAAAAACGAAGTGGTCTGACTGTAAGCAGTAATGTAAAAATAATATTACGTGACAAAAACGAAGTGATCTGAATGTAAATACTAATTTTAAAAAAATATTACAGGAAATAAAAAAAATATATTTATAATTTTTTTTTAATTAACGAATAAATACATCAGTAATTATAATAATTATAGCGAACAATTGATAGAAAATTGATACAACATCTGAACAAATTAAATAAATATAATAAAATACAAATATATATTAATGATACTTCTATATAGGTATATCTTAAGGTTCTATATATTAAATTGCGACGCATTATATTATAACTAAACTAATTATTGCAATATTGTATGAAATTTTATTTAATCATTTTATTTATAATTATTTATTAAATTAATAAAATATTTTGCTTACATATAGGAAGTGTATAAATGAAACAATCAATCCTTGAAAAATGTCAATGTTAGTATTGATGACGAAATGTAAAGAGCTCGCTCGAGTATTTTTACCGTTATGCCTTCGGCAAAATATTCAAATTAGAGCAAGTTTTTGTTCGTAGGAACCGGATTTCTGGGCTCTTCGCTCAATTTGCTGTAGATATTTTCGATGATAAAAATTTTTACATTTAAAAATAAACTCTTTCGAAATAAAATTTGACGAATGTAAACAAAGTCGAGATTTACTTTTTTATTTAATATTATATGAAATTACTTAAATAAAACTATATTACTAAAAAATAGTTATAATATTAAATATCTTTAATGTTAAATATCTTACAAAACTAGAGGACATGTAGGTCAGTTAAATTTCAATTATAATTTCACTTATATGATATTGATGTTATAATCGGTAAAGGTTTTTAAACATTGAAACATGAAAAGAGAGAAATAATATTTTCATACATACAGATATTATTTAAATATCTGTATTAAATATCTGCATTATTCAAATATAATAAAATTAAATAAAAGAAATTCGAATTTATTAGTTACATGAAAAATATAAATTTATATATAAATAATAATTGACGATATAACAAAATAGCAAACAATTTTTATTTGTTGGAAATATTTATTGTTCAGCAAAATAAGAATTGTCTTTTTTTAACTAAATAATAATTAACGTAGAATAAATGTCGAATTTTGCAATATTATTTTAAATTTATAAAAAATAAGATCGTCTTAAGTGATTAAATGTAAAAAATACTCACTTCTTCAACTGATAAACCAGCCTTCTGTGGAACGTTGTAAAGTAGAATGACGTCTGTTGTACATCGTGTCACTGGCTTTTATATGCCGATAGTATGGCGAGTATTAATGAGCGTCTTTGTTTAAAAGAAATGTATATATATATATATATATATATATATATATATATATATATATATATACATTTTTTCATACTCGTTATCGACACTGATGCCGAGAGAAAATGCATATGGTATAAACAATAAAATATAGTTTCTTTTTTCGAATTAAACTTTGGAAAATTAAATTAATAACAAAATCAAATTAATAACAAAATCATTTTTTAATTATTTTTTTAGCTAGACTTGAATGAAATTCTATTCTCAAATATTATAAAATAATAATATTTAAATATAATATTTAAAAATATAATATTTAATAATAGAAAAAATTTTGGTACACAAAAATGTGGTTTTTGAACCTACATAAAATCAAGAATTATTCGATTAATTACTTGTATATTGTTTAAATTCATTCTATTTATTCGTATACATATTGTGTTGCAAATATGAAGAAGTTATTTATTATATTCCATTTAATTTTATTACATTGGAAAAATTAATCTCTTTTCTTTCATTGTTAATTGTTATTATAAGTGTGCGCGCATCGTCGTATTTTTAGTTCCCGGACTAAAAGATTATACGCGCAACATGACAATTATTAAATATTCGCTATTTCCTTACTTATGCAAGTTAAATGAAGGAATTATCTCACGCAAAGTATTACTCAATTATAAAACAATTGTAAACATCTCTAAGAATCATGTACGGTAAAAAAAGCCAAAAAAATTAATTTCATACAATATATTTGCTATCTAGAAAATAATGAGATACACATATTTTTAAAAAAAGTTATATTTATATTTATAATATTATATATTACATATGTAATACGTGAAGCAGAAGATGCTCACAATACTGATATCAGAGATATATTGGCTTACAAAATTAACATGTAATCGTAATATTCGAAAAATGGAAGACACTAAACAAAAATACTGTTGAGTATTAAACTAAATTGACTATTTAATAAATAAAGAAATGCGTTTTTCGCTTACAAAAGGGAATTTATATGTACATCCGATAAAATCTTGCAGAATAATCGCACATACTTATTGTTTAGTATACATGTATATTAATCAATATGTTGAATAATATTTTTTATGAGTTTAAAAGTCTTTCAAAAAGCGTAATGTAATGTAATGTAAGCACGTACTTATAAAAATATATTTTTATTATTTTTATCTTATATATAAAAATGTTAGTCTTGAATTATATATATTATATAAGAAATGTAAGATATCACAAATGCAATGTAACAAATGTGATGAGATGATGATCAATGACAATCGTGCTAATCTTGTTAACATTATGGAAATAATATAATAAATAGAATCGCGCAAAATATACGATTGATCGTAAAATGTATTTTTTTTATCAGTAGCAGATTTTTTGTCACAAAATTTATCATACTAATAATTTAATATTGTTTCGGCTGCAAAAATATTTAGAATTTTATGACGATTATTTTTTTTTAGAATGTCTCTTCTGCTTCGAGATCTCCATGGTTTTTTTTCAACTTATACTTTCTGCACATAAGAAAAACGATGCGTGTTTTATAGTTTATAATATATTCAACTTTTAAATTTGATGTTATTTTTATAAAGATTTCTATGTTGTATTTTTATTTATGAGAATATACATATATTATATTACTTATTTGTATTTGACACATATGTAGAAAAATACAGAAAACCTTTTAGATAACATCTTTTCACGCGTTATTTTGTTGAATTTTTTATGCGGAAATTGATAATGCATTAAATAAGCAATCAATAGTTTATCTAAATCAATAGTTTATGCAGTATATGCTCATATATAGAAATTAGTAATACTTGATTTGAATAATGAAAAGAAATTTGACACTTACTTTCCAAATTCTTCGCCGTCTTGAAGCGTATCAGGTAATATACATCCGGCAGTTTCCGGTAATAATAAGCACAATGCGGCTCCGATCAATGGTAGAATCCCGAATATAGTTGGCGGTAACCACGATTCGATGGAATCCTGGAATAGTATCAACAATTGGTAATCTAGGAAACTAAATAACGCAATCGATTTTTTTATATTTAATTTAGGATGCTTAAAAGTTCAAAATTTTATTTTCACGTTTGAAATTATAAATCGAATTAGTGCTATTCAAGTTTACATAATTCGCTTTAATTAAACTTACCAAGGACACTACAAATGGCGCTACAATGGAACCTACTCTAGCGCACATACTACTCGCGCCAACTCCAATGTTTCTTACGACTGTAGGAAATAATTCTCCGGAGAAAAGGTAGGCTGTCGTAAACGATACCGACATGCCGACAATACCGAAGCATGCTAGAAGCAATCTTAACCATTCCACATCTAAAAAAACAGAGATAGATATTATCAATATGTCGATTTAAGTTGTGCTTGATAATTATCATTTAGAGTAATAGTAAGAAGACATTTCTTGATATTGATTAATCTCAACTTTTAGAAATATGATTTCAATCAATAAGTAAGATTTTACGAGAAAAAAAATTCTTTTCAATTATTCGAGCTACACTGTTCAAAATTGCAAGTTTATTTTTTATCTTATGGAAATTATTATTTTGAAAGAGAAATGTTTTTGAAATTTTACGTGTGTGTGTTTTAATTTAGTATATTAAAAAAAATCTTTTTCTTATATATGCGTGTGTGAAATTTCAAAAACATTTCTCTTTCAAAATAATAATTTCCACAAGATAAAAAACAAACTTGCAATTTGTATATATATACTGATAAAAAATAATAGTTGTAATTATAAATACATATATAGTAATTTTTAGCGACAATTATATGTAAAGTTATTATTACTACGTACGAAATTATCATTATTAATATTATAGTAGTAATATAGTGCAGTAGTAACTATAAAAATCGACATCTCATCTAATTTTTTTTGCCATGCAATTATAATTTGCCCTTTTTTCAATTATATATGACACACACATACACACACACACATACACACACACACACACACACACACACAACACACACACACACACACATATATATTTTTTTTTTAATTATAAAATTTTTATAAAAGTTGCTTCATTATCATTATTTAAAAGTACTCACACAAACCGAAAAATAATAATATTGCATTACGTAGTGCAATTTCTTACCGTGTGGTACAACGATTAAGAATATACAAGCCACACCAGTTATAGAATTGCTGCAGATGAGAGTGATTCGTCGACCTAGTTTATTCATCGCCCACCATGCGACGAAGTTTCCTGGAATCTGTATAGCACCGGATACTGCGAAATTAATGAAAATATCACCACCGACCTGGCCGATGTATTGTGACATGCCAAACAGACCCATTCCACAAACGATCCAATTGAAGAAGATCGAGAGGGATTTTATTCGCATATTTGGTGTACGAAACAAGTCTAAGAATGAAGCTTTGTGATCCAGCGTAGATCTCTTGAAGTTCTGATATACAAAAGTGCGGAATTTTTGAATCACTCCGTCTCTCTCTGAATTACAAATTTAATTATCGAAAATCGATGATTACTAATCAATGATTACTATCGTTTGGATTCATCAAAATATTTTGAATAATTATTTCTTACTTGATGCAAGCAATGTTTTCTGACTATTTCGGGAACATCCACATTTTCCACTTTATTAATATTGGCTGCCTTCTGCAATATTTTGCATGCTGCTCTCTGCTTTCCCATAGTTAATAACCATCTTGGTGACTCGGGTACTATCCACCAATAACTTAAAAGAATTATAGATGGAAGTGTAATGGCAATTTGTAATTGCTGCCAATGTCGAAACCAGAACGCGAGTCCTGCCAGCGACATGTGGCCTAAGCCGAATGGAATTTGATATAAAACGGTGATGGCTGCACGCCATTTTGTACCTACTATTTCCATACCTGAAAAATATGAAAATAAAGAATGTTTATAATTTTGGAGAAATAAAGCACAAGTCGATTGCAATTTATATCGATTTGAATCGTTTCTACAGATAAATTATCATAGTTAATTATTTTAATTTACACATCAGAGAGCGACAGGTAGTTAAATTATCTATGATTCAAAATTCTAAGAAATAAGATAATTTTTATTATTTTTGTTTTAATATAATAATTAAAAATATTGTGTATGGATATAATTGCAAATATTGCAATTTTATTTTTGCAAAAATCTTCGTAAATAGTAATTTCGTATATTTAAAGATTGAAACACTTACAGATAACATAACTAGTAACCATCGTGCCTCCAGTAGCAAAGGCACTTAACAGCTTCATCAGCAATAATACTTGAAACCAAGGAACTATTGCGCATCCAATACCTGATAATAATTGGAGAACAATGGAAATCATCAACGGTCTTTTTCTGCCATACCTGTAAAATATCATATTCTTTATCCTTTTGTAATTGTTTCACGCCTATGAGTGTTCAGTTATATGTGAACTTGCCTATCTGCTAAGCTGCCAAAGATAATGTTGCCAAGAAGCACCCCGAACATAAGAATAGATTGTTGAATATTCGCGTAATGCGTCCTATCGCAGACTAGATTCCACTAAAACGATATAATTTTTTTTTCTAGTTCGCAAGATAATTTTTAAACAAACGTTCGTTTTTCGCTTTACAAACTAAAAAGTAGACGTTGGATTTTTAAATCCATGTTAAACTTACTTGCGATATAATAGTCTCGGGAAATATTCTCCTGTCGTACTCCCATTTCGTACATTTTGCTATGGTACCATTAAATTCGACCATGCATTGATCCTTGGAGACGACGGTAGTGGGCTCCGTGCAATTATAATCTTGATGCGGCGCCATGAAAACGATCGCCAATTGATGCCACGCTACCGGAAATTTGACCAGAGAAATCGCCAGGCAGACGATGATCTGCCATTTACCGAGATTGCCGATCGCAATCTGCACGGCGTCAATATTTGCGCCAGAATCGACATGATCGTCCTTACCGTTGGAAATTTGCTTGGCATTCACGTTCGCTGCAATTTAATAAGCTCTGTGCAAATTCGTGTAAATTCGATAAAATATCTATTAATTAAGATTTTTTAATTACAGTTCGATATTAGATAAGTATCTTGTAAAAAGATTTGTAATTTAAATAGGAATGAATTATTCTCTCATATTATAAAATGACAAGACAAATTGATAAGGAAATTATTGTAATTAATAACTGGGACATATCATCCGCGACGAAACACATGACGCAAATTTGTTATCATATACAGAATCTATCTGCATGATATATTGCTTCCCAGTAACTTTTCTTACGTGTTATACATGAGATTTAATTACGCTCATTAATTATTCTGATTACGCTCATTAATTATTTATTACATTATGCAATGAGTTACATTACGCAGTACGTAAAGATATACATGGCACGTGCCTTAATCTATTGCTCCTTGATTTATTTTGGACGTCAATTACGTCATTTAATTACGTGAATGATTGTTTAAGTTTTAGAAAAAAACAATGCACCCTTGCAATACAATGAGATTATATGAAGTAAATGTTCTTTTTTTCAAAAAGCTACTTATTTTTCATGCAAATATGCTAATGAAAGCGATATAATGTCGTAATAATTGTTTAGAGAGCTTCCTTGTTACATTGATAAAATAGTTTATCGTAAAACACACATTTATCTGAAAAATACACATTTGCATACATATCTATTCGCACAAGTTATATTTGTAAAGCTTATAATTTATGATGTGTAATGAGATTTTTTCCTGAAAATGATTATAAAGCGCGAGTAATTGTATGAATAATCGTATGAAAATAATCGCGGATATGAAATCTAACAAGGAATTAATAAAAGGAATTAATAAGAAGAGTTTACTAAATGAGAAAAAAACATCCTGCTGTTTTTTCGTTCAATGTACGATACATTTGAAATTAAATCATCAGTTCGCTGCAATTGTCAGACACGGCTGCATAATAAACGATTTAACCTCGCTTGCTCGTGTGACAAATGATGCATAAATATTTATATAAGCTGAATGTATAATATTCTTACAAATACTTCTAATGAGTAATCTATGAGTAAGCTTGAAGTATAATTCGCAAGCTAAATATATTACACAAAAATATGCGCGGATAAAAATTTATCCAAAATTTACAGTATACGTTAGCAATTTTTTCCATCGCTGAAAATTAAAAAAATTAAAATCATAAATATCATCAAGAAACGAACATATCGCAGTGTCTTTCTCGTTCTTTTTGTGAAGTTGCAGAAAGACTTTTTATATATAAATTAAGCTTGTATCAATTCATTTTTTATACGGGCAAGCATTTTTTTTATGCAAGCGAATTTTAGATGATCAAAACAAATTTCACGCGGCTATCGACGAATTGTTAACAATTGTTCGATGACAAGGGATCGATGCATGCTATGGCGTACATACTGTGTACTGCAGTAAACAACGACCAAACCAGTTCGTAGGAGAAAAAACGCTAGACAGTGCGTGTGAACCATAAAATGCGTGCTAACCTCGAGACATCAAGAAGACAACCTTCGATCTCCGACTTGCATCGACATCCTTCTTCGGAGACTCGAAAGGTCAGTCTTGCCTTTCAAGCTGTCATGTCTTCGTCGTACGATACAAATTTATCCTAAGATTATTACATACTACGTGCCAAAATAAGCAATAAATCTAATCTTTTTGAGGACGTTTGAGAATAGATTCTCGGGGATAATCTTCTGAAAGAAATCTAAAGTCGATTGCAAAAATAGTCAATCGCAATCTACATTATTTGCAATTAAAATTTAACTTAAAATTTCATTTGAAGAGTTTACATGAAATTAAAAAATATCATTCTATTCTTTATATGATATCAAATTCTTCAAAATATAGAGAAGTAATATAATTTTATTATAAATTTTATCAGTGGTATATTTCAAAATATTAGAAGGTTGCTGCAATCTATTAAAATTCCTAATCTATATTTTATCGGTTATATTTATTCGCAAGTATTGTTAATTGTTAGCGTTAGAATTTATTATCAACATACCATATTCGTTAGTTTTCGTATCCTTCATATCACTGCCTGCTTGCACTTTCCTTAACTTACTTTTTCGGTATTCGGATATATCTGTAACATAAATGATAAGAAGAGATATTTATTGGCTAAATGAAACATATCTTAATGTATATGTGCATATTAGTATGTGAGTGATTATATTTTCCTCTATTTCTAATCTCCCTTCTCCCACCTTTTTCCTCCTCCTTTCACCTATTCTCCTACTTCTTTCACCTCTAATAAGAAATTATTTCTCGCAATAACGGACATTCCTGAACTCGCAATACCATAACAAGGCTAACTAGATTACATGACATGAACAGTTAATAATAATTAACGAGGACAATTATTGTTGATCATTAAAAAAATGATCTATATAGAAAATAAATGCACATCAAAATAAAACAGACTTCCATCTATGTCTTAATTATTATTACTCATCGTAATTGTACCTGCATCTTGATTTATCTAACGGAACTGGAATTAACTTGTTCACAATCGCAGATTTGATGACAGGTTATTTCATATAATGCTTCGATATGAATAATTATCGATACTTTTTCTTATCTCATTAAAATAGATTAATTTCTAATTTCTCGCATGTGTCTCAGATAGATAATAATATAAATGATTATCGAGCAAAAAAAGATGGAGAAATCTTAAAAAGCAGCTTGAGATTAAATTTTTCACCAGAATAAAATTACAAAAGTAACATCTTTTATTTTATAAAATAGTGAGAAAATAATTAAATCGAAATTTAAAAAATCTTGAGATGTTCAATAATGTTGAATTTAATTGATCGAAAAAGAGTATGGAGGAAGAATTGATTACTGTAAAAGTAGAAATAAATTGTAATACATATATATATATATATATATATATATATATATATATAAGAATGTAAAATAAATCTATAAATACATTTGTATATTATATAATTCATCGATCATTTATAAATTATATAATTATGCTTCGATGACGTGTCAATTAGAGTATTCATAAATGTTACTTAAGGAGTGATCTCACAACATTAATCTGCACAACAAATACAGATATTATAAATGTATACATATATATCACAATTTTGTGTATGTGTGTTGCATACATATATAATTTTTAACTTTACTCTGACATATTATGTCAGAGTTTATCTTTATTTCTAGGGGCTGTGTAATTAATTCTTCTTCTAAAAGAAATAATTAAAAATTATCTTTCTTAATATTTCTCGAGTCACATATCATTTTGTTTCACTCTTCGTTTTACTCTTCTTGTAATTCACATTTAAATAAGTTATAATATCTTATACATTTAATAATACATCATAATCTACAATTTTGAATATAGAATATATTGTATTGATTTATTATTTTAACTTTTTTACAATAATTGATTTTTTAAAATACAAACTTGTATATATATACATACATACATATATATATATATATATATATATATATATACAATTTTATAACAAATTTGTTAAATGTATTGTATGAAATATACAATTAAATTTATCATTTACTTGGATTGAAATATTTGCCATTTAATTCTTTCTCATTGTTTTGCTTTAGAGTTCTTATTGTATTCGGATCTTTTTTTTTGTTTTAATATTCTTTATAACTTTTATCTAATCAATCGATGATAAACGTTATTCCAGTAATTTTATAAAAGATAGAAAAATTTTGAAATAAAAAGCATTTAAGAAATCGCTTGAATAAGGATATTGAAAGAAACCATAATAACAATATATAAGTTTGCGAGAAAATCGATTAATTCACACCATGACGACAAGTCGAGTCCAAATATACGAAATAAACGAAATGAAATTCAATATAATGAATTCCATCTTATCAATTTTTCTAAATTTTGGCAGCAAGCAATGTTAGAATTAGACAAATTAGAATGTATATATACTATATATACATTATGTATACTATAGCCTATATATATTATAAATAGAATATATATACTACATGCAGAATATATAGACTATAATTTAATATATATTTTAATTAGGAGGCAAAGTTTCTACGTCTATTATATTCGTTTAATTTAAGATGTTAAGTAAAGTTCCTTTACTTCTTTTAAGTAAAGATCGATTATGTCATCTAGATGAACAAACGTCATTAGTTCAGTTTTTAAAATATCGCATGATTTATGTTATCTTTCATTATGACATACTTGATATCATAATGATTTATGTTTACAGTATTTCGAATCTTGAAAAGTAGCGACCGATGCAATGTTTGCTTAAGTATTTAATATCACACATATAGAAAGATAGGACGTTGAACTGAAAAAAAGAGAAGGAGAAAAAAACGGAAAAAGACTGAAGGCGAACATTACGAAGGGTGCAGAAAATATCGGCACCTAAAATCACTCTCCTTGCAACTTTTCTTCACTATTATTACCGCGTTATTACAGTTATCATGCTTGTTGCGGACTAATTATGATTGGGGTGCGGAAATCGCGCAAGTGGCGTCAGCTCGCAGTCACACCTGGCAATTTAAGCAGATTTTTGTAGACAATTTTAATTCTGTACTTGTTGTACTACATACCAAGGCTGTAATATGCTGTTGTAATTCTCAAGATATGTGCATTTTTTTACAACATTTCCAAGTTAAGAAAAAGACTTATCGCTTATCATGAATTAATCTTCGATAAGAATGCAAATAAAAAATAAAAAATTTATTATTAAAATTTAGTATTTTGCTATTAATTTCAAGTAGACTTTAATACACTTTATAGTTTGATTATAAAATGTTGATAAAATTTATGAAAAGACAAAAATATAATAAACTAAAAAGCCATACGCTAAATTTTCGTACTATTCAGATTCATGATTTCTTTATTCAGATTTCGTACTATTCAGATTCATGTTTTCTTTATTCAGATTTCGTACTATTCAGATTCATGATTCATTCAGATATATTAATATGTTGAATAGAAAATTTAGATATAACTATATTTATTGTATTTTTTAGAAATATAAATTTATATTATTATTTATCTTTCGATGTCTTAAAATCTAACATTGCCTGTAGTATAATTTGATTTTTCGTGCGATTGTAATAGAATGATCAAAATCATTGCTTTGAAACATGTTTATGTTTTTATTTATATATTCAACGAGTATTAATATATATAAATTTAGCACGGAAATCTCTAGCATATGGCTCTTTATAATTGTTCATTATACCTGTTTTTTTACTATTTACAGAATAAAAGATAATAAAAGAATAAATTTAAAAATCCGACCGTTTATCAATGTTTATGCGACCTTTTCAGTTCTTTTTATCGCGCTTGCCCTACTAAGATCGCTTTATATTATGTTTTTTTTCTGCCTTTTCGAATCCAGTCGTTTGAGACATTGAAAATGATCAGATAATGATCAAAACGTACATATAATCGTTTTTGCATTCGAATTATTGTTGAGACAATTATGTGCTTATCTTCATCTAATTAATTTAATAAATATATAATTTTATTGTTTTTGAATTTTATTACGTTCTTTTATATTTCATCACGATCATCAGCCTTTCCTTTTTTTATAAATTTTGATTATCACATGGACCATCAATTTTTTCTTTCATATTTTTAAAAGATAAATGATTTAATTTTAATTTTTAATTTTTTTAAATTAAAAAAATTGAACGAAATGATAATGTATATCTCATATTTGTGCGAAAAAAGATTGAATCCTCAAATATATAAAAGAATCTGTTTTCTTTTATTAACATTATTATTTGAAATTTTATTTTGAAAGATTGGAATATAAAAGACAATATAAAAAACATATAATATTGAAATGATAAATTATATAACGTAAATAAAATCAAGTGTATAATTTCATTTTTTATGGTTCAAATAACTAAAATTATTGAAAGTATTAATTAATTTCAAAGTTATTCAAAAATTTTGATTTATCTCCAAAAAATCAGGCTTCAGAAAAAAAAATTCAATTTGATTCGCGCATTTAAACGAATTAGTCGAACTGTGTAGCACATAAAACCACTCAAAGATTGATCACTAATCTATCGATTAATGAGAATTTGTCACTCATGCTTACGAAAACGAAATTTTGGATTTCTTGCCGATTTGAAGGGGAAAAGCTCAAGCGCTCGAACTCGCGTTTCGCACTCGGGTTACAAACTTGGAAAATGCGTTTGCTTGTGCAGGTCGTGCAGAACTGACGGCACGAGCGTAACGACTATCGTATTGCTCGAAGACTTGTGTAAAGTCTTTCAAGTCGCTTGTTCTCCACCAGGAGAGAAGGGATGTCGGCGCCAAACGTTACATCGTGAACGCGGTGTCGCGACGTAGAACTGAACGGAAAACTAACCATCTGTAATCTGCAATTTTAAGCGCGACATGACAGAAGTAAATCGACAGCATCTTTTTCTAGCAACGGACCGGCTCTTCGAAGTAAAACCTAGAGTATCAATTATAGCTTCGTCTGCTTTAGTCGTATTTTTCATATTTTTTTCTCTTCTTCTGCTTCTCCTTCTGCAAAAAGCTTACTTTATTGAATATTTATTTCGTTAAAAAAGAAAATACATAGTTAGATAAAGTTCAATATGAAAGTAATTTTTTGGTAATTAAGTTATAATAATGTTGAGACCTCTTGTAGTAGGTTTTACATTTAATTATATTAACTACAGGAAACTATTGGAATCGTAAATCGTATTCAAATGTGATATGCAGCGCTGCGTCAACGGATTGTTTAATTACTGCAAATCACTAAAGCTGACGCTGCGCGAAGCGATATGTCAATTCGCATCATTTCAATAATTCTTTGTAAGGCCGTTGAAAAACGACGCACACCATCGAGCGGCATCGAAAAATCACCCAAGTCGCGATTTACATATCACAGAAAACACTTGGATGCCTCGATATATGTGTCATAATGATGTTGTCATATTTAAAAGCTCCAACTGCTTTTGGATGCAGTATGTAAAGCGTTAAGAGCGAACTCTTTATTTAATCTCTTCAGATAAAAAAATGTATACGTAATGTTAATGTTTTTATTTAATTATTTCAGCTACATAAATCATTGAAGTATAATTGTTTAATTAATCTCATAGTTGTAGAGAAAGCGCGTTTCATCAAGAATTATATGTCGATAAGTCCGGTTAAAAATTAAAGCTGCTAGAGTACAGTCATTTCTCCATTAACCCCGGTTAACTTGATCCTTTAAAAAACCCACATGTGTGTGAATGTCAAACGTGTATATCTGCATTAAGTGGCTTAATTGTCATAAATTTGTCGACCAACGCATATTAATTAAAGAAATAATACGGTCAATGTTCTTACAGCTATAAGGACATAATTTATTTATTAAAATTCTTACTACTTTTCTTATTACAGCTATAAGGACATAATTTATTTATTAAAATTCTTACTACTAGTAACAATTTTTGTGATGATTTTACACAGTCACCATAATTTTATTCTTCTCTTTGAATTTCATTTTTTAACAACTCTATAACTTGCAAAAATTTTCCTTAAATTATCAATGTCTCACAAGTTTGTCTGAATGTTTAAATAATAATCTATGTATCAATTGTAAAAATGAGGAAAATTTCTGAATAAAAATTGTTGATATATTTTTTTCTAATAGTAGCAACTCAATTATCTTTTATCGCGTCAAATGCTTAATGATCTCAAAGTTTCTGAATCAGTCGTATTCAACCAGGATATGAGTTTATATAATAATAATGTCCGAATTGTGCGGTTAAAACGTCGTTAGATATCTCGTAGAATTGTACAAGCTTAATCAGTTTCTTTCCGTAAAATTATACAACTACAAACTAAAGTGGCTAATATATCGTTTAAAAAGGATACTTGAAAGAATATTTCAAGTTTAAAACTTTCTTAGGATTGATTGTAAAATATTTCAAATTTATTTAAATTATTGAAAAAAATAATAGATCATGCTCTCTCTCTTTTTATATACAATCATAATAAATAGCATCTCATCCGTATCGAAATCGGAATGAAAAATAACGAGAAGAAAAAAAATTTTTTAAATTAAAAAATAGAATTAAAATTATAAAGTTAATTAAAGAATTAATGAAATAAAATTAGAAAAATCAACATCCCGCCAAAAATAGCAAACATTTCTGTGACAAACAGAAAAAGAAAAAAATGAAAGATTAGATCTTGGCTCTTGGAGAACCGTTTAATGCATTAATAAAATTGAAAATTATATATACAATTTATAAATATAATTTTCAAAATAATAAATTAAGTATTCCGGCAATTTTTATAAATGGGGAACTCTCTCGTGAAATTTCTCAAATCAAGTCGAATTCGATTTTGATATAATAAACACATATTTTTTTTTTAAACTTTAATAATTACCATTTGCTAATTGCTAACAAATTTTAATTACGAATGGAAACTCAATATATGCACGCCGCACAACGGCATGAAAATGTATCTTGTCCTTTCTTTGCACAGTTTACCTGTAAATGATAATATGTGTACACCTAATATGTTTCGTTGCTTGATCGGTATAAATCGATAAAATTAATTATAAAAAATATATATATAAATATAAAAATGTATAAAATAATAAAAAAAATGGTTGTTTATGGTATTTATTTCTAGCAAAATTATGGAATCATAAAATTGAAATAATACGATTTTGACTAAAAGATATTACACTAAATATATATAATAAAACTTTTAATTAAAACGGGATATAAAAATTTTTTGAACTCATTACTAACGCTTTTATGTCAGTAAAATATAGTATTCTGCTTTTAGAATTTAAATTTGTTTTGAATTTTTTAAATCTCGCATTATCTACATATTTTTATCTTTCTTATTGCTTTTTTCATATACCTGCGAAAGAATTGAACTAGGATATTTTGTACATTGATGGAATTTTTTATTTATATAACCTAAAATTATAATATATAAATTATACTTTGCAATCTTTTACTCAAGTATATTAATTTTGTTAAATTGAGATTGAATCATTCATTTATATTATATATCTATCTATTTTGATCATAAAATTATATCAATTTTGTTTTTCTCTCTCTCTCTCTTCCTCTCTTTTCTATCAAAAAAAATTATTTTATCATAATGTGAAAATATTTTAAAAAAAGTAAAAATAACAAATAACTAATACGATAGAAAATTATTATTATTAAGAATAAAAGAAATTTTATCTGTATTATGATACTTGATACCAATAAAAAATTTTATAATATTACACATTGATTAGATAAATCTGATTGGATCTCGACTTTCGATCTATTTATCAGAAAATAACATGTCAATAATATTTATTAATTTCATATGCAAATCGCGATCTTGATCCATTTATTAAAATAATTAATTATGAAATTAATTTTGCTGTGCTAAGATAAGTGATAGAAATCCCATCTTTCAAAATAAACATTACACAGCAAATTATTATTTTTAATGAGCACATCTTAAAGCATACTTATCATATAAATGAAAAATAAATCGAATAAATATAATCATGTATTGTTGTACAATTTTCCCTCACGCGAGATATAATTTAAAATAATTTGTAATATTAATTTGTAATAATAATTTGTAATAATTTGTAATATTTCACATCTATTACATATTATATATACACAATTTTTAATGTTTAATATCTACATTTTTTAAATTTATTAGTGCATGATATTGATGAGGAAATTCTTTGAGTTAAAAGTTTGAATATATTGTATTAATATTCGGTGCAATGTTTTAAAAGCATTGTTCGGATACTGAAACACGCTGAGCATTGTTATACAAGAATATGCACCGATAATCATGCATCATATTTGAACGATAGTATGACCGGACACAGTGTATCGCATCGCTCCGATGATAAATACCAGTGACTTGTCTTAGGCATGCCATCGAATCATCAGTGACGCGCGAGCGTTGGTCGATGGAAAGTGAGTGAAGAGTAGCTAAAAGAAGCGTGACGTGAAATTAAATTGTTCGCTGGAAAATGTGGTCGCTGGTGTTTGTCACTACCTTGGCATTAAGCAGTGCTGTATCGGAGACAGTGAACTTACCAAGTAATGTATGTGTAAATCTTATGTATCTCATACATATATAATGAATGTACAATGTGTTTGTGGCTGACGCTACAGATTTATAAAGAATTTTTTTCTGGTTTCCGGTTTCTCTTTTGTAAGAATCGAATTAATCGATGGATTAATCTTTGCGAGATCTTTAAAATAAAGTTGTTGTCTATTATTTTCTTTATTGGAAGATAAATTTAACTTTGTTAAAAAAGTTTCTCTTCGAAACAAAATTTCTCTTTAGGAAAAAAATGTTTTAAAATTTATGTAATATTGTTTTTATATAAAAACATATGCGGATGCATGAAAATTAATAAATGTAATTTCAGAAAAAGAAAATAGCAATGATAATTTTAGAAAGAAAAATTTTGGAATAATAATGACAATTTTTTAAATTCTATTTTCAAAAAAATAATGAAACTTTAAGTTATTCTTTATAAATCAATTCATTACTCGCACTATTAATTGGAAACTTTTAAATTGTCGACTTCGTTTTAAAAGTGAAGCTGACATGCTTTGAATAAAGATTAATGCTAAATTTAATTTAATAAAATAAAGCCATATGCAATATGATACGTAAGTGTACAATATATATGTTCGCATAATTCGTAAAATTTGAATGCAAGTCATAAAGTAGATAGTTTGATTCTACCGATTATCCTCGACCTCGTATCCTAGATAGAACGATCGTTCAGATTGAATCGAAAGCTAAAACGTTACTTGAATTTAAAGTCACTTTTCACGAAGGTGCTTTAGATAAAACTGTGTTCGTATTTCTGGAGCATAATTAAATCTTTTCGATTAAATATTGCAGTGTAATTAAAATATATAGTATGAGAAGTCTCTCTCAAAAGAAAAGATTCGCGTAAATGCATAGATACCCTGTCTAAATTTTCGCATCTATTACAAAGACATAAAAAAGTAATCGCTACATCTCTGCCATGCCGTATGTGTTTCTGCGAAATATGTAAATTTATCCTTATAATTAATCTATCAAAGACGAACATAGAAATAACGAAACTAGGCGAAGGAGGGAGACGAGAAAGAGACGGGAATCAGCTGGTTGCATGATAACCGGCTCTGAGACCATATTTCCGTTAAAATTTGCTAACCGGCTTGCAAGAATGTAACAAAAAATATAAATGTACAACACGAAAGTATGTAACTTGAAAACACATACATGTGTAACACACTCCACTTATTGTTAGATTAAGAAACTGCAGACCGCGAAATAGAGAAAATATTAAAATATTAAAATATTACAGAATATTAAAAAATTATTTCTTGAAAGTAAAATACATAATTGAACATAATTAAAAGTAAATATAGTTAAAGGTTGCGTGAAAATATGATTGAAATAAGTATTGTTTTAGAAATTTGTAATGCTATATCACACATATATTATGCTTTTAATAAATATTTTAACAAGAATTTAAGAGAAAAAATATGAATACAGGATACGTGGCAATACAGTTTCGGGGTTGATTATGAAAATAATCAATTTTTATTGGACGGAAAACCCTTCCGGTATGTTTCCGGTAGTTTTCATTACTTTCGAGCACCTAGACAATATTGGAGGGATCGTTTAAGGAAAATGCGAGCCGCGGGTCTTAATGCGGTCTCCACGTAAGTTTTAATTTTGCACCGCAAGTACATTGATGCAAAATAATGATCTTTAATCCAATAATGATTTTTTATTCAATTCGGAACAGAATAATATTGCGATCCGATTAAATCTTCCTGTTTATTTTCGAAACATAGTTATGTCGAATGGAGTCTTCACGAACCAGAACCAGGCCAGTTTAATTGGGCCGGCGATGCCGATCTAATAGAATTCCTAAATATCGCGCAAGAGGAAGACTTGTTCGTATTGCTACGACCGGGTCCTTACATTTGCGCGGAAAGAGATTTGGTAAATATACTCGTGTCGCTTAGTAAGAAAAATTAGTAGCCTAATTAAATAAAAATGTTTATTGTATCAAATAGATGAAAATGTTTTGATATAGCTAGTATATCAATATATTTGCCCTTAGGGTGGTCTACCATATTGGTTGCTTCGTGAAGCGCCGGATATAAAGCTACGTACAAAAGATGCAGGTGAGAATATAATTTTTTTACGCGTTATAATGATGTATGAAATGTTAATTGATGAAATTGTAAATAGTCTTAATTCAAAAAAATACCGAGTTCTTTCTTCAATTAAATGTATTTTGTTTTCTCTGATATTATGTGTGATTTAAAACCGATGTGTGTCATGTGCAACGACCCGCTACTTCCGTGATAAGAGATAAGAGTCCTTTATTCTTTATAATGAATTTTCTCTTCTTTTTTCTACCACTTGTCGCCATTCAAACACACTGATAATACTAAATAATTGAAAACAACATATTATTACAGTAGCTGATTAAATGTAATGTAATTTTATCGTCAATTTTTCCACTTTCGTAGCTTTCATGAAATATGCCACAGCATATTTGAATCAAGTGTTAGAAAAAGTCAAGCCACTTTTAAGAGGCAATGGAGGGCCGATAATCATGGTTCAGGTATGAATTTGCATTTTTGCAATAATGAATATTCTTATGTGACTTATGCAATATTAGGAGTTATCTTTTAAAGTGTTGATTGCGTACTCTCCAAGATAATGGCTATGTTCCGATTCACTGCCAATACAGAAAATCTATAGTTTACGTCACGTATACTATAAATTTTCAGTACTGGCAGTTTATATCAGAACGCAGCCAATATATTTAGCATTTTATTTTTCGCTGAATTCGGATTACAATCTCTTATATCAATTATATCATATTAATACATGCTTGAAGATAACACGATTAATATCTTAATAATTAATTAAGTGATTACGATGTATCTAGGAGAATTGTGCAAAAAATAATTGTAATAATTTTTTTCCAATTGATAATAAGTATGATAATTTTATTAATTAATGATTTAAAATTAATATATATTCATTTTTTAATACTTTGACTTTAAAAAGACGCGTAAGTCTGTTAACTGTCAATTTCATTGTTTCGTTGTTTATATTAACAGATAGAGAATGAATATGGAAGCTATAATGCTTGCGATACCGAATACACGGACATGTTGAAAGAAATCATTGTCGGAAAGGTCGGCAGTAAGGCTCTTCTCTACACGACGGACGGTGCATCTGCGTCCTTGCTCCGTTGCGGTTTCGTACCTGGTGCATATGCCACCATCGATTTCGGGACATCCGTTAACGTGACCAACAGTTTTCAATCTATGCGTCTCTATCAACCACGAGTAAGCAGCGATATGTGCTTACAAATTTTGAATTTCGAGAACATTTGATTACACTTAAAAAAAAACTCATAGGGTCCCTTGGTGAATTCTGAATTTTATCCAGGATGGTTAACTCACTGGGGGGAAACCTTCCAGAGGGTGAAAACCGAAGCTGTCACAAAGACATTGAGGGAAATGCTTGCTCTAGGCGCTTCCGTTAATATTTACATGTTCTACGGTGGTACAAACTTTGGTTTCACTTCCGGTTAGTAAATATCTTCTTAATATTTCACGAATCGATAATCAAGAAAATTTGTAAAAGTAATATTTGGAGTATTCGATAAGACTTAAGTATATATCAACAAGAGGATTTTACTTAATGCGATAATTATTAACAGGCGCTAACGGCGGTGTAGGTGCATATAGTCCACAGATAACTTCTTACGATTATGACGCTCCTTTGACTGAAGCCGGAGATCCGACAGACAAATACTTTGCTATAAGAGATGTCATCGGTCAGGTGTGCTTTTTTAATGATTTTATGATATCGTATTTTTAGTTAGATATTTGAAATTTCTTTACAAAGTTACGGTTTTTTATTATTTTTGCGGCTTTTATTCCTAGAGAAGATATGATAGATATATAAAAAAGAGGAATAGTTATATAAAACAGAGGAAAAGTATGCTGAGCTAATAATAACAGGCACATTAATAAGGACCGATCAATATTATAAATAATTTCCTTTAATGTATTTTCATGAATGGAGATTAAAGAAAACATTAAAGAAAATTATTTATAATATATTCATCGCACCCTTACTAGTGCGCGTAGTCCTTATTTAGTTCTTAGTAGCTTCTCCTTCTATTTTATATAATTTATATTATTATATTATTAGCGCATTATCATCTTATTATTAAATATTACACATTAATTTTGAACAAATTAGTTTATGCTTACGTGAAATTACAGTATCTGCCATTGCCGAATATATCTCTTCCAACCGAATCTCCGAAAGGCAATTACGGTCCGGTATTATTAGAGCCAATACAGAAGCTATTCGATAGCGAATCCTCGTTCGTGATAAGCTGGGCGAGCAGCGACAAACCTAGAACTTTCGAGCATCTATCTGTGAATCAAGGTTTTGTACTTTACGAGACGGATTTGCCGCCTCCCGTTTTCGACCCAGTTATATTAAGGGCAACCATAAAGGATAGAGCGCTGGTTTACGTGGACGGTCGATTATCGGGCACGTTGAGTCGTATGGATAAGATATTTACTATTCCGTTAGAGAATCCTTACGGTCGCCGTCTAAGTCTATTGATAGAGAATCAAGGCCGTTTGAATTTTGGCAACGAAATCCATGATTTTAAGGTGAGATTTTATGTGAGATCTTAAAAAGATGTTTGTATAAAAGCATTAATACAAAATGAAATAAGATTTATAATTTTAGCATCAAAGATTGTACCAATATTTATTCCTTGCGTTGTTTCTCAGGGTATATCAAATGTGACTCTCAGCGGAACTCCATTGATTAATTGGAATATGACGGGCTACGCGTTCTCTGACGTGTCATTTCTTCAAGATGTGATGACCATAGACATAGAGAGCGGGACTCTAAACAATGGCCCGGTATTTCTTCGTGGACGCTTCACGATTACCGGGCAACCGTTGGATACATTTTTAGACACTACAGGCTGGGGTAAAGGAGTGGCTTTCGTGAACGGTCACAATCTTGGTAGATACTGGCCGTTAGTCGGCCCGCAAATAACTTTGTATGTTCCGGCTCCGTATCTTCGTACAGGCGAGAATGAGTTGATTTTATTGGAATTGGAATACATATCGCAGACGAGAAAGATGAAGTTTCAATCCGTACCGAATTTGGGATAGCAGAGCTTGGATAATTAGACGAAACTCTTGTATAACGTTAGAAATAAATATACGAGAGATTTCTCTACCGTAGAAATTTTTTTGTCCACAATTGAAAGTATATTCCCAAAAATACATTTAGCGTAGCTGTATGATTTTCGCTCAAATATTGTAATTAATAAAAAAAACATTGATAAATCGTTCGTTCTATATCCTATTAATTAATTAATTGTTTTCTTTTAGGTAAAAAATGAAACGATCAGAATGTTACCAAAAAATAATGTATTCTGTAGTAAAATAGATTGATTCGGAATATTTTACGCGATAGAAATGCTATGTTTTCTTAAAGAAATATTGCATAATATTGCAAAATTAACGATTTAAAATCATAATTTTATGCTCATCTTATTTGATCTATCAGGAGTTTAATCGTCTCGATAAAAAAAATACGCCATCCGGATATCAAAGATATGAAAAGAACATTACAGGAACATTTAACGACAATTTCTACGATACAGAAATCGATATCAGCCACGATAATACCGCGGCGCTACACGGCAAAAATATGTACATTGTTGTCTATGGTCGATGAAGAACCGATTTGTAAAGATCCCGCCGAAGCATTCAATGGCTTTAATATCCTTTGCGTTGACAAATGAGGGGTTCGCACGGTAGGACGTCCGATAGATCGAAACGACGAATTATCCTACCTCCGTTCCGCGTGTCGTTTTAGACGAATATCACGGATAATAATGAGTACATGATGACAAGGCATTACCAGCTATCTGCCTCATAAACTTCATCTGTATGATGGAGTCCGTCTAAAAATCTAATAAACAAATATATATAATTGCAAAATAGTTCTAAACAGATAAATGTTAAAGATGGAGAAAAAATATTTGAATATATTTTTCAATAAAGAATATTATTTTTGTTCGATACCAAGTTGCTTGCGATTCGGAAGCTAATATAGACTATATTTGCGACATTTTAAATTCAAATAGCTATTCATGTAAAATTTACAATGGCTCCATTTCTATGCTCAGGATTTAGTCATACGGCATAATCAGTAAACACTTTTCTTGAATTGTTTAATGAAAATATAAAGAAAATAAAAAGAAATCAAGACATATATAATGATTAATTATTTTATTAATTATCTTAGTGATCCGTTAGATAATTAAGACTCAATTCCCGTATACAATTATGACAAAGTTAATAAAATATAATAATTGGATAAAATTTTGCGAAGAAAAATTACACATTAATATAATTTAACTCTCGATTATACGAAAGTTTATGATTTGATAACATTAAAAATTGATATGTAAAAAGGAACATTGAATTTAAATTTTAATTCTCCTTTTAACCTGTGTTCCTCTTCTAAATTATTCCCTTTTTTACCGTGCTATGCTGAATTTCTATTGTGTTTTCTATTGTAATGATTAGTACCAGACGGCGCCAACATTAATGTAATGCAATATATATCATATTATCTCAAAAACTAAAAGTTATCGATGTGTCTGAATTACAAGTATAATTATCATATAGATTTAATATATATTTTTATGTTAATGATATGAAAACATCTACTATTGATATATAAACATCCTTAATCAAATAAACAGCCAATATTAAGTCTTCGTAGAAACAAAGATGGATTTTTGTATTTATATTATTAAACAGAATTATTTTTAAATAACAATGAAATATTATATTTATGTTATCTTAAGTATTATAATTATGTTATCTTAATTACGCGATGTAATTGTAATTTTCGTTTGTATAAATATCATTTTTCTTTCATTTTATTTTGCACATTAAATAATTTTCAGACGATCATAAATCTGATCGCTTTTTTTTACTATCGCCTTTTAGCAACACTTGTATCGTGAGAATGATTTGAATACAAGAGATGTTTCGAGATGTGCCACATGCGCAATTGCAAAGCATATTATCCAAACGGCGATCAAACTCCGCCCTAAATGAAAACACCGCCTTTGACATGCGCCTGAGGGTTGTTTGCGACTGCACCACTTCTTACCTCTAATCTGATCGCGTTTAATCTGGTCAGAGTGTTAAAATGCTTCTTGTGTAATTCGGTGCGTTAGACTCGTTTACTTGTTGCGAGACATTAATTACAATTATATAAACAAACACTTGTGTAAATTAACAAGTTGGAAATAAAAAGCTATCGTAATGTCCGGTAAGCGTAGAAAATTACAAGAAAATAATTCGCGTTATATATGTTTCTCTAAAAAATAAACGAAAGAATCTTAATAAATGTATATATACTCTAAATACTTATTGAAATACAAATAATCGTTGTCACTATAGTAGATGCGTGGGACGTAATATATCTAATGTCATTAAATATATGTAATTAAAATTTCATCATGAATAATATATTAATAGAATGGGACGCAACTCAGAATGCACCTCTGGATTTGAGTAGAAATGGGGCTGCATGGAAAACTGATGTTGTTAACGCTTTTAAATTTCAACGATATCTTCCATGCCAAACTTGCGGTAAAAGTTTCGACAGACCTTCACTTTTAAAGAGACATCTGCGGACCCATACAGGTAAATTTCAAGAGAAAATATCAAAAGTTCGTTTTTTTTAAAATAATCTTTGATATTTTCTTATTAATTTTATAATAAATAATAATTAAAATAAATAACAAAGTTATTAAAAATTTCACAAAGAGTAATGTATAAAATTGTGTTTGAGAATTTGCTTTTCTTATATATTTTTACACACACACAAACATAAAATATATTATTTTAGGAGAGAAACCACATGGCTGCACAATATGTGGTAAAATGTTTAGTACAAGCAGTTCGTTAAATACTCACATTAGAATTCATACTGGTGAACGTCCTCACGAATGCCCGATGTGTGGCAAGCGCTTCACCGCCTCATCGAATTTGTATTATCATCGCATGACGCACTATAAGGTTCCATTCCCTATTCAAAATATTGTGCATTAGTATAATTTAGAAGTAGATTATAACACTTAATAAAATAAATTAATCTGTAAGAAAAGTAGCAATCAGAATAGTTTTCCTCAGGGAAAAATATTCTGATTGCTAATATTCTATAATAATTATAAATATAAAATATCTTTGAATAAAAATACAAGATATTGCAAATTATGCTACGCTTTGATATATAATTTAAAATGCAGGAGAAACCACATAAGTGTAACGAATGTGGACGATCCTTTCCAACTCCCGGCGATTTAAGGGCTCACGGATATTCTCATACAGGTAACTGGCCATTACGTTGCCCAGTATGTAACAGAGGCTTTTGCAAACTTGGAACCTTACATCATCATATGAAATCACATGGTAATGCGATGATTTCTTTGATATATATATATAAGAATAAAGATTAGAATTTTATTCATTTATTGCCATTTGATATTCTGAAAATATTAATAATTACTCCTTTTAATCATCTAATTTTTTTTAAATCAGTAAAATTTTCTTGATCGACCTAATCAATCATATTGATAGAATTTTTGAAGATATATTTGTAAATAGACTAATTTAGATGATAATTAGAAGAAATTATAAATTTCTGTATCAATTACAATATCGTTTTTGAATTAATTTTATAAAATTCTTCTATGCTAAGAAGAAATATTACGTTGCTTTTTTCTGATAGAAAACAGCTTGTAACACATTACAGCTTGAAATATTAAATATAATAATGTAAAAATATCGATAAAATGTAACGAATTATCGTTTCATAATTATATAGAAATTTACACATACAGTTTTGTGATTAAATATCGAATGTGCATAACAGATCGTAAAATTAAATAACTACTAAACAATTATTTATATATAAAATTCTTTTTTTACAGGCGACCATTCTTATCGTTGCAATATCTATAATCAGAAACTTCCCATGATCAGTAATTTACGAATTTACGAACATCAATACAATTCTCATGTGTCAAATAACAGTACAACTGATTACATGAATATGCATAATGGTATCGCAAACATAGAAATTATCAAGTTTGAAAGTCTCGGTAATAATTACATGCAATTACCTACAATGTATCCATGTTCTTCCTGGATGCCATCACAATTTCAAAATTAATTCAATCGTGTTGTATTTGTACGACTATATAAATAATTATTTATTTATTATAATATATGATAAAAAAATTATTAATGGACAATATTATTTATTAATATTATTTAATCAATATTTATTAACTGTATAGATATATGTAAGTAACTTAAAATAAAAATGTTAAAATAGAAATAGAATATACGAGTAAATAACTTGTGCCCTTCTTTTTCATCTTTTTTTCTTCTAGCTGACATATTTATTTATCTCATTTGAAATATAGAAAGAGAAATAATACAATATCTTGTTTTATATAATGAACATCTAATTGTATATTTAAAAAATTTAATTGTATTAAAAAATTATAATAGTTAATAATATTGACGACTTTGCTTCTATTTCTTTAATATTTCTCACGGCTTTAATACATTTTACGGTATTTAATACATTTTGCAAAGCGGTTACTATCGTAATTCGGCGCGATAAAATTACTAATTTGATCAAAATACTAGAAGAGAAACCCAACAACAAAAAGGAAATTAATATCCAGATGAAATATGATAATTTAAATAATATACAATTATTAATTAATTCATGCAATTAATATTAATATTACAAACACTTTGTTTCAAGCAAGCGTTTTTGATAATGTCACAAAATAAGAAAAAAAAATTATTATAAAATATATTATTAGAAAGCTTCTGATTAATAAAAAAACGCAATTTAAATAAGAGTAATATTATAAATGTGATATTTTTCTCTTTAAGTAAAATTATGTAAGGTTCCTGATATCATTTTCAATTCTATGAATTTTCGATTAGTCGATAAATATTTCAGTTTTATGAATGGAAAAAGAAAGAGAATTTTCTAATATGTATTAAATTGGCGTGATATCACAATATAAAATCTATTTCATCTTTCGATTTTTTTAAATAAAAGCTTGCATAAAAGCATATTTTATTTTTGAGAAATAAAAAAACATGTTAAATATTAATTCTCCACGATTTCTTCACAAACGACAGGATCGCCATAATTACATTTTCATACGCAGCTATAAAATATGTACGTATTTAGTCGCTATATATCAAGTTGCTGATGATCGTCAACAACTTTCTCATTACCCTAACAATACACATGTCCAAAAGATGTTCAGAGGTCATCGAGAGGACATCCAGAGGACATAAAATATCCTTTGGCTATCCTCTAAATATTCTACGGACATCTTTTGGACATGCGTGTTGTTAGGGTAGGAAGTATACTTAGCAATATTTGTAATTGTAATTTTTGAAATATGAATTAGTAATATCTCTCTCTTACTTATATTGTTCCAATAATTTTCCACCGACTTTTCATACTTTGAAGTTGCAATGTTTAAACTTTGTGTTCTGAAATTTTAAACCTAAGAATTTTTTGGATTCTTAGAAATTCTATTCGTGTCTTACTTACTTCTTATTTGATTATATTCTCCTGATTATGTTCTCCTCGATTTTCGAAAGTTTTCCAATTTTTTTCATTAGATTTTCGTTAACTAATTAAACACAACACAAAATATACAACTTAAGAATTTGAAACGGAGGACATATTCTATAGTCATGATGTACGAATATTTAGATACGACGCGAATACCTAAAATTATCTACATTAGGTCTGTACGCATGCGTTTGATTGACCAATCAGGATAAAGAAATCTTTGTTCCGATTGGTTAATTAAACGCTCTTAGCACTTATAGCGTCAAAAAAACCAAGCTTTGATGAACACCATGTGATTTTATGTTCCAAGATGTTAATAGCTCGCTTCAGCTGAACCGTCGAGTATATACAAAAGCACGCGGTCAATAATTGAGATTTTCAAGATTCTGCAAAAAAATATGAAAGAAATATGAACGTGTCATAAAAAATATTAATACAATATAATTATTCAAGTAAATTTTTACGGAATATTGATTAACATCTTAAAGTAAGCTTTCAAAACAAGAATGTTACTCAGCACAGTGCAATTATCAATTAGATCGATTTGCGGTATAAACATTTTGAGATTAGTCAATCAAAGACCAAAAATAAAATGCAGATATACTAAGTGGGCTAGTCGGACTCCTATTTCAATTGTCAATGAACATGAGCTTTTCGATGACACTACTAATGATGCAGAAACAACAGAAACAAAAGTTCATGAAAAAGTTTTTAAAACACGTAAGGAAAGGTCCAAACCACAGATAGGAAAAGAGCAGAAAAAACCACAGAGAGGAAAAGAGCAGAAAAAAAAAGAGAATATAAATAAAGCGGAAGAAACTATTATCACTGAACAAGGATATAGGTGCTTCATAGCAGATGATAGGCTTATAAAGTATGTGTAATTTCTTAAATAGTACACAAATCACTTAATTATCATTTTAACTATTAATCAACAAGTAATATTGATATTTTTTATGTTTCAGCTCTTTAATGGTAAATGTCAAAACAAGAACCAAAAGAGAAAAGAATAATAATATGTTATTAGAAGGCTTTCGATTGATTAAAGATGGAATTCAAGCAGGAATAAAACCAAAAGCTATATTCTTCAGTAGATTATCTGATATATTACCATTGTCATTATCCAAGGAAATAAAATTGTATAAAGTTCCATATCGTACAATTCAGTTGTGGTCTAATTTAACAACTTCTCCTGGAATATTTGGTAAACATCTCGATTTTACAGATATGGAAATAAATGCAGACAAATTGATAACTTTAAAGGAATGAATATAATTACATATATATAACATTGTTCTTGAATACAGGGATCTTTGAAATCCCAGATGTGACTGCTAAGCAACCTGTCGATGATGCTATACCTTTGACTATTATTTGTGATAATATTAGAGAACCTGGAAATTTAGGAACTATTCTAAGAGCTGCTGCGGCAGTTGGTTGTGAAAAATTGCTGTTAATGAAAGGTAATTTATGTATAAAATATTAATGAAAGATTATATATAAAATATTATTAACTTTTTAATTATAAAATATTATCTCCTAATTTATTTTTCTATTCCAGGATGTACAGATTTGTGGGATTCCAAAGTTTTGCGCACCGCTGTTGGTGCTCATTTTCGTGTACCAATACATACATCTGTTTTGTGGAATGATATTCCAACATTAATAAGTAATGAATCGACGATATTCTTAGCAGACAACAATATAGCATATGAAAATGAGTTAAAAGATAATATGATGAATCTAGAATTAAATGGAAGTATTTCTATTGAAACTGATAATAATAATATGAAACAGAATAATTATGGTGCCAACAGTGATCAAATTCTTGAAAACGATAATTCAATAGAAGATACAATAGACAAATTGGTAGATCAAACTAAATCGCATAAATCAACTGCAAAAACTAGATCATTGGTGAAAAAGTTAATATCTCAACTTCCAATTGAGCCTTATTACACGTTAGATTTTACAAAAAAAGAAATAGTACTTGTTATCGGTGGGGAAACTGAAGGTGTAAGCCTCGAATCGTGCAAATTACTTCACGCGAGAAATTGCGTTCGTGTAAATATACCGCTAACTAACGGTGTTGAGAGTTTAAATGTTGGTGTAGCTGCTGGTATTGTTACATTTGAAATGAAAAGACAGTTTGTGACTAAGAATATCGAGAATAAATAAAAAATTTCTTTATATATCTTATATATAAATAATACTTCACACCTTCCCAACTTACTCTTGCAACAATACAGAAAATGTAATTACTACATTCATTTCTTGGATATTAATCTTTTAATATCAAGATATTTTCTCTCGATTTATTTGATCAAAAATATGATTTTTATTAAGGATTTATATTAAAGGACTTTATTCCTACATCTTGCACTTTAATAATGCTTAAGTATATTGTATTAAAACATTATACTCTAATGATGTTTTAATAATATATGTTGAAAAAAATAATAAAGAATAATAACACTTCGAATTTATTATAAATTTTAAATATATACATTCAGCAACGCAATATTTCATTTTAATATAAAAATAACATGCTGAACGCTTTTTTTACTGCCGCTCTATTTTTCTAATATGGCAAAAGTAAACATGGCTTATTAAATATGGCGAAAATGTTGATTGATATAATGTATGCAATACAGTCTAAAATTGTGTACTCTTATATCTAATAATAAACGAGTAATAACAAGTTACATATTGATACATACATCTAATAAAAATTTTAAAAATAATGTTTTAAATAAAAACACTACAGTTAATCTCCCTATACTACTTTATCTTTAATGTGTCGAAAATATTGTAACAAAAACAGCCATAATATTACTACTACTATTACTATTACTATTATTAATATGGCAAACTTCTATATTTGATCTATAATAGCATATGAGTGAAAAATATAAATTTTAGATTTCTGTACAACTAGTAAAAAATTTACAGATAATTTATGGATTATGTGCTCTATATCTTATTTTTTATCATAATTACAAAACTAAAATACTAAAGCTTTTTAAAGGAAAATAGCAAGCATTGCGTAATATGAGAAGATAATGGCAATGCAATTAATGTTATCAATATAGTGAATATTAATATTAAAAATTGCATGTTATAATTCAATCATATAATACATAAATTTCTAATGAAATAAGTGTGTATAAAAAAACATATAAATTTTAAAATGAGTTCAAATATATTTTTTGACTCAATGAATGTTGCAAACTTAATTAATGCAACAAAAAACTATACGTTTCCAACGACATCGTTTGTGATGAGTATTTCTTTGTAAATCTATACTACATGAGCTAACATCTGAGATAGTTTCACTTAATAGAGAGCCATGGACTGATACAATTTCATTATCTTGAAACCATTCTGGACTAGTATTGTATATCAATGTATGAGATTCTTTATCAGCTCTGTTGATTTCAGAATTTTTAGATTCATTTTGATTAGATGTAGATGTGGTGTAGGTGCAAACTTTTGATTTGTTTTGAACAGAATCCTCATACACATTAATTTCAGAATTAGCAGTTATAATTGTATTACTTATTCTTATAGTTCTATCACTAGAATGCACTTTAGTTTCTAAATTCGGTAAATTCAAATTATTCTTGATAGACATATTTCCTGATACGGTCGTTTGTAACGGGGATAACGCTAATCGTGCGTGGCTTAAAATAAAATCACTTTTATTGTAATCGAAATTGGGCGTTAATGGAGTTTGAGCTTCGTGAATATTTTTCTGAATCTCTGTTTCCACGTGTGACAATATTTGTTTTTCCAAAAATATTCTAAATGTACGTTTACTTAGCTCAGCATTTCTCAAATTGGTTCTACACCTTCTTTTGTGCAAATCGACAGATTTGTCGATATCTGTCATTGGTATGGATGATTGTGTTCTATAAAAAAAATTAGTGGTATCATGATGTCTATACAAAGAATGAACCAAAGGATGATTACTGGAAAAGTCAAATATCATGCTTGTGTTCTTACTATTAAAGTTAGATGAATTCTGCTCAGTTGGGATATAGTATTTATTAGAAATGTTACTTGAATCAGTGAGGTTTTCTGATAAAATTTCCGTTGCCGATTGTCACTTGCATCCAAAGAAAGTCTGATCGCTTTGTCTGCGATGTTGATATGTTAACGGCGCAACTAGTCGACTATCTTTACTCTTGTAATATTCATTAAAATCTAATCGTACACTAAGTAACTGTAGCGACACATCTTCAGCAGAGGCTAACATTAGTAAAAATTTCTGTACACGATCCTGCAAAATACATTTCTTTTGTAGAATCAATTCCTGAGAAAAGATATATCAAAGAGAAGTTCAATTTTTAATTTTTGATATCTCGCGTATTGTTGCAAATATATCGAATCATTACTCTGATAAAGGAATCACATGTGATAGAAAAATCATGCTAATATAAACAAATTGAAATATTTCATTTCATTATTACCTGATATGTTTTCGAAAGTAGTTTGAGATGTATTGAAAGTGTGTTTAGATATTTTGAAAATGCAACCTCTCTTTCTACAACCTCTTGATCTTGTTTGTTTGTACGACCCCATTTTTTCGTTTGCTCAGATCTCTGTACGGAATTATCGGTGTTTAATCTTGCCTCGTATTCCTGAGTAGCACGTGCAAGAAAAGTTTCTTCAAGATTTTGAAGATCTAATATTGGGCTATAAACTGAGCGTAGATGATCCATAAGTTCCTGTAACATTAGGAGGATAAATAAGAATGTACAGTTGCGTGTAGTTAAAAACCTGCGTTTTATAAATATTTACCTGCGATTTCTCATCTAATAATGTACCATGTCTTACAGAATCTACAAAATGATTGTGAGCCACAATTATATCATCAAGAGATGTTGCTTGAAGAAGTTGTTTCGCAAATGTATCCCAAGAACATTCAATTACCTGCAATTAATACAACTTTCACTTGATGTTTGCAATATAATAATTTCTATAAATCATGAAAAATTAATAGTATATAGATTTTAATCATTAATAATAACTTAATGATGCACAATGTTACCTCAAACAAAAAATAATATTGCATTTGATGAACTAAATGAACCATGCTGCTTGTAATCAAATGGATATGATTTTGGATTGGCAGTACTTCTGGCATTTTTCTGAACATCTTGGCTGATGTTATCTGTTGCTTCCAAATAGCAGATAAGATCGTTTCCATTCTTTTTGCTCTCCATAATGCAAAAAATACCATTTGATATGTTTGCCTGCATGGCTCTAAAATCTGAATAGAAAAATATTATATATAAGATTATTTAAATTATATTTAACAAATTTTGCAGTTGGTATATTATAACTTAATGCTTTTTACCGTTCCTATAGGTCCATCAACATTATAGTCTAGAATAAAAACATCCCAGCCTGTCTCATTCTCTGAAGGTGCTAATAATCTAACATCTAAACGTTTCTGCACATCTAAGTCATCTAACTTTGCACTAGTTGCCCTTATTGCAGTTTCAAGAATAGATGATAAATTATGGGGATATAAAGAACTTGCTGGTTTAGCTAATTCAGGTCTGAAATATATAATTTAAATGATTTTTTAGACCTGAAATGGTAATAGAACAAAAAATGTTATCATAATTATATAAAGATATATCCTTACTCCAGCAAGTGCATGAGATGTTGAATAAAGTGGCCTTGGCCAAGTAAAAGATATCCTTTGATTCCCTGCAAGTGATCCATGAGGTGATACTGTTTTGTCAATATTTCGACAACTCTTGTTGATGTTTCTTTATAAGCAGCATTCATCATAGTTTGTAAGCGACCATCTGGATCCATATCAAAAAAAACTTCGACTGAAAAATTAACGGCATAGCAATAAATATTTTTCTGAATTTGACAAAATTTATAAAATAATTTCTATCTGATATTAAATACTTTGTAAATAATTAAATGATTTAAACACTAATAAAATAATTGAAACTACACTAATTAAATAATTAAAACACTAGAGTAAATTATTATATTTAGTAAATTGACGGAAAATTAAGATCGTCTTATTGTAAAATAGTATGAGTAATCACATTATCATATTTATTAATTATATTATCAATTATATTATTTTACTAATTATATTATTTACCATTATATTCTTCATCGCAATTTCTGAACATATCTGCATGTCTATCCTGCCATGGTGAGAAATCTTTACAAACTTCACGTAAGAAATTAATGCTTTTTCCTGTCCCAAGAATTTTCTTTGCTTGAGCTTTACTAATAAAGGATGGCACCATTGAATTTCTCACTTGATACTTCTCATGCCACATTCTGTCACCACTAACATCAGCACATGCTTGAATGAAAAACTCCTTATACGGATCGTCTAATTCTCCATCAGCAATCCATCTCATTAACATATTGTACAAAGGATTGCAAACACTCTCTAAGACCCTCTTGACCAAATTCTTTACAATAGCATCTCCATGATAGCTGAATTCGTAAACAGTAGATGCTAATGCACCACCTTTTTGGCCTTGGCAAGCTCTTACTATACTCGCTAGCCACTTTAAAGTTTCCAGAGGATCACAGGTCCAAAGGTGTAAATGTGATAATGTAACTCCATACATAACCATTTGATTTTGTGACCTATATATATAATATATATTTTTTAATTATTACAATTATCATATATTTTTGATGATATACTATATATATATAATTCACTTCTACCTATTCACTTCTTCCTGCATTATAGCTATAAATCTATAATATTCTGACAATTCCTTATGCAGAGCCGCAACAAAACTATCAGCAACTCTACCCGCGCCGGCTACAGACATTCTTTCCAATCCTTTTCGCACTACATTATGTAAGTATCCTAATTCACTCAGTCTTAAAACAGCTTGCTTTTGCGATCTATTAATCTTTGCTACAGGATCTATCTGAAAGCCATAGCTTGAATCCAACTTTAGGATTTTTCCTTCAACACTTTGGAAAGAATATATCAAGTCCTGAACCAATACATCCTCTGAAATACATTCTTCATTATTGAATATTTTACTTGGATTTATTAGCAATCCTCTTGAACTTTCCGTAGTATTCAATGATACAATTTGTTGTGCTTGAGAACATGATGTTTGTGAGGATTGTCCTAAAAAATATAGAAGCAATTAGAGAATTGCTTTGATAAATACTACAATGCTATGCTTACCACTAGTGGATGCAATTGGACTTAAACCCAATTTCATGTCTGGAAATGAAAAAATTCTATCCTTTATTGCTTCAGCCGATTGACTCATGTTCAGTAGAAATAATAGAATACTTATACGATTCTTCAATGGCTAAAGAAAAAACAAAGGACATTCATGTAAAAACATATATTATAGTAGTTTCATCTTCAATTATATATGTATATTATTATTTTAATTTTGTTAATTAAAAACAATGGAAATAAGAGAAGATATTTAAATAGAGAAAGAAACATATAAACTGTAAGATTTTATATTACCCCATCTTTTAAGTCATTATGTAGTTTATCAAACTGTACTGCATCACGTGGTGATAATTTACTCTTTATGTTTGTTGCTACAGTCATTTCATCTTCTCTCAGTGTTCCTGTAGATGATAATAACCCGAGGGAAAAACGCATGAATCTTCTAGTCAATTCTGAAAGATATAAATTAAAAGGTAATTAATGACAACCATATAACATATTATTATTAAGTATAACAAAATATATAATATTTGTAGATTTATATGTTACAAACTATGATATAATATCTAAGAAATATTATTGTGGAATATTATTAACAATTATTGCAAATACAAAAAGGTATTATATATCAGAACTATACCCTTCAGATTCTCATATTATCAACATGAGCTTAACAAACATGAGAAAACTATTATCACAATCAATAGGCAACTTCTAATATATTTTATTGCATTAACGTCAATATATGAGTAAAAACAAAAGTTTAAATAGCCATTTAAGAAAAAGATAAAATTGATTCTAAAGCACAAACTAAGATGCGCAATGATTTTTAAAAAGATTTATAGAAAGAGCCTTTTAAACATTTAAAATTTATTCACATAATAAAATAATCAGACAATTTAAAAAGTACTTTCCATCAAATGTTGTTCAATGATAGAATGTAAATAAAGATTTGTTACAAAAATATGATAAAACATTAAAAATAGTTAACAGCAATATTTAAAGCGAATAGCATAGCAATTAATTCGAGTCAACGACGTATCGCAATCCTTTCCAAATATAAATAATTAATTGTACTGACACAGTCTGAGGAAAGACTAACCTGGTTTTTGTTCGCCAAAAAAAGATTTAATCATGTTCTGCACCAGATCGGCAATAGTTTCAGCTTCCGCGGGATTCATGTTTGAGTATTTTGCCTCACAAACTTGCTCTATTTTATATATCAATCACATCTAAATATCAATTGCCCCCTCGAGGAGAGATTCCGAGAGCGAATACCGTCAAAATTTTATTTTCCCGTGAAACTTATATTTCACACGCCATCTACGTCCATTTCGGCGGCTTCGAAGCTTCATAGCCGCATTCTGTTCATCGGTACGAACGCCATTTCCGGTTTCTCGTCTAACGTGCCGCCACATTCCTGATTTGTGAATTAGGATCGCGTCTCGTGTACAGAAGGAATTTAATTGTGTCATCAAAAGTAATATCGTGTGCACAGGTAAGAATGCATATTTTAATCGAAGAAATACATAAATGAGGAGAATAAAAGGGGGTAATATTTCTTGCGTTCTCTCCTTACGCTTCTAACTTCAATTCTTTCCTCGTACACTCGATCGCTTGTGTTTTATTTCTCACAGATGTTTACTGATATTTATTTACGTAAAATATCAATACACATTGCAAAGTATTAAATCACATTTCTGTATATTTTTTAATATATGTGTGCGTACCTTTATTTCTAGCCTTTAATATATGTGTGTGCATATCTTTATTTAAACAATCTTAATAAATAATAAGAAAAATACATTTAGCAAGTACATTGATTGGCATCAGTTAAAAAATTTTTCATCAGTTAAATGCATATTTATATATTTTAATGTATATAATATTATTGTTGTGTTTTATTGAGTAAATGATTTTTAATCTCGATTATTAAGCAGTAAACTCGAAGTAAATTAAATCGACAAATTTCACTATTTAAAATAGGAGGTAAATGGAGATGATAATTTTAAATATCGAAAGCGCCGATATTTTTAAAAATCCACCCGCGCGTAAAAAAAATATATATACAATTGAAATAAAGATATATCATCAAAGAAATTTTAACATTTGCAGTCAGACTTATTACAGAAGCTACAATACTACGCATTTTCGATTATTTGCATCTACGACTGTAACAAATTAAATACCGAGTATGAAGTTTTCAAGATCTGAAAAAAATTGAAGGAAATATAAGAGATTGTAACATTTGCTAAATTTGAGGATTCTAAACCTGTGTTTTCGTAAATTACATCTATCCACATGTATGTAAATGTTTCAAAATATTCTTAATTTATTTAATTATATTTTTAAATATAAAAAATATATCAAGCATTTCTTTTACTTCGAATATAAATAATAGAGACACTAACGTTGCTGTAAGATTGGAGAGATAAAGTTATCAAGAAACTGCTAGTAAATTTTATAGGGATTGTACTGCGTATCATAATTATCAGTAGATCCTTCTTTTCGTTAACTGATAACAGAGGCCAGTCCATGTGATATATCGCATCTCCTACACTTTTACTCTACGTTAAATAACAAAAATAAAATAATTATTTCGGGATATCATTTATTAATAACTCTATATATTGAAAATATATCTCTATATATTTTGAAAATATTTCTACATGTTTATATATTAAATAATTAAATTTACGCAGTAGGCAATACATTATCTAGAAAAATTAATTGTAAATTAAGGATAATATAATTGTTAATTGACTATTAATCAATTACAAATTGCAAATCTAAAATTTGATAAACAAATTTCTCTATATCGTAAATATTTCGATTATATAACTCGGAGTTTTATATCAATATTTTTACTCTGTAATCAGGTGTGTGTCCGAGAGAAATACTTTATTCACACCCTCGATGCTCTATTGATTTTTATTACATGATTCATGTCTAATCGTTCAAAATAGTTAGGCTGAATATCATTCTATCGATTTTAGTTATATATATATATATATCCAAGTTATATAATTATATATAATCATATAATCATTATATATAATAACAATTTAGCATTTATAACGTCCTTTATTATCTTGTGATGGGATAATAGAAATCGTTCTGAGAGCGAATGATGTTAATCGATTATAGACATGCAAATCTTGAAATTTCAATAGTATTTTGACATGTAAATTTTTCAAAATTATAATTGTTTTTTATATAGATTTTTTTATTGCATATAGATGCAAAAGATTGCAAAGATTACATATATAATTTTAGAATATGTATAATATATACCTGTTAGAATAAATTGTAGAATACAAAACAATTACTCACCTTAAGTATAACTTCGTTTCCAGACCAGCAATAAATGTAAATTTGTATAAACATGCAGATAGTGTAAATTATCAAAGTAGCACTTTCAAATTCCGTAATATGTGCTGATAGATAATATACACAAGTACATAATACTAATATACTGCCGCAAAATTGAATAAAGAGCACCTGATTGAATATAATGTTTACCATTTTGGCATATCTGTAATCACAGTAATATATATTAAAATATCAAAAAGAAAAAAGAAAAAGAATAATAACGGCCAATCATTTTACATATGATATTTCATATATAACTTATATTATTTATATTATAATTTTCTAAGAATATATGAGAGAGAACATATTTTAGCATTTTTTATTTTTTGAAACAAAATTTGCATAATTCTAAAATCTGATTTTTTTTAAGCACAGAATTTCAATAGAGAATAATTGATTATCGATTTAGAAGTTTCTTTTTTTTTGAATTTCTAACAATTATCTTCTAATTAATTAATGCATTAATTATATATTTTAAACATAAATATTTTTTTATTATAAATATTAATTATCATTGCTGTGAACAGCTATTTATATAGATATGAAACAAATTAATACATATTTAAAAACTTATTATATTTAAAAATATAATAAAAAATAATAGAATAGAACATGTTAAATATATATAACATTAGAATTAATTTTTATGTAACTAACTTGTAAATGCTGAGATGATGATGTATGTATTGCGATATTATCAGTCTTTCATTATCTGACGGAATAGACGAATATTTTAGACATTTAGTTGTTTTTCTAGCTACTAATTTGCGAAGACGACTTTCAAAAATTTCAAACTGAGCGCAGATTTGTAAAAGTAATCCGAAAATTAAGGTTTCTGTGCCGACATTTATAACTGAAGCGAAAAACACAGATAGGATCTGTTGAACAAATATAATCCAGAAAAGTGGAGATGCGTTAATATCATATGGTAACCATATTCTACAAGGTAAATGACCTTGCATTATATTTAACACTGATCCTATTATGACGCCTGTAAAGGAACTCACTACCAAAAGTGAATACTTTATCGACCATGACCTGTACACAAATTGAGATTATATAAATTCTTTAAGTATTATTCTCTGTGAGAAATAAAAAGACAAAGCGCGATACAGTTTTAAAATATTAAATTAATTTATTTATAATATCTAGATATTTATAATATCTAATCTGTGTTTATAAGAAACGAAATATTTCTTTTTTTATAAAACAATGTATATTCTTTCTTCACAAATTATTAATTTAATGCAATTTTTATAGTTATACTCTTAAACATGGGTTATCACGACAAAAAGCAGTGAAGTCTCAGGGAGTCAATAAGAATGATAATTGCTGATTAGGATCATGAATATCCAGAAATGGTATGTACTACTATATTTAACTTGTATATGCTGATACATTAAAAAATTAGGAAACGTATTTGTATTTTTGTAAACAATTTACTTTATAAAAGAAGAAAATAGAGATTTAACTATTTTAAACGAGAATTAAATTATTACACGTCTTTCAAGTGACAAATCATTAATATGAATTATAATATGAATAATAAAACTAAAAATGAATCAGTAAGATAATTATATTTACCTGATAAACTCGTTAAATTTTGTTTGTATCGTTTCTTCATCCTTGTTTTGCGGTTTACATGGTTTGCTACACAATACTTGTATTAAGTTGACAATTGCACTTCGACGTATTACGATGGTAGTCGCTTTACAACAAACACCAATCATACTCACGAATGTTACAGAATTGGCAACGAAATCATCGATATTATCGATAACAAGAACAATGTCCATAAATTGGGTTAATGTTAAAAAATATTCCAAGACTAATACAATAAAAGTAAATGCATTATACAATAGTTTAGCGCTATTCGATGACCACTCGATAGGCTGCCAAACACCACCAATAGTATATATTAAAAAATTTAAAGAAAGTATTTGCATTTTTATAATATCATAAAAACTTATAAAACTTAACTTTTATAAAAGAGAAATTTAACTGTAACTTATTAGATTTTAATACAATATATGACACAGGTATAATTATAAATATGAGAACACAGTATAAATATGAGTCACGCACTTTTTCGCTTTGCACAAAATAGAGACACAAACATACTTATTTCACAATCGAGAAGATAATTAAATTTCAACCATGTGTAGTCGAGTATACCTAGCGGGAGGCTACATTTTATTTACTTGCTTCGACTTTAGACCCTAATACAATTACAGTAATTAGCAACATATAGTCGTATATTACGTTGTATGTTATTTTCCGCTTACATGAATATTACAATCGTCACAGTTGTTTTACTTGCGATCGAGGGTTGCTGTTCTTTGCAATCAAACATATTGTCACAATCTCATCGAATGAAATATTTATATATTTCCATGTTATCGACAGCAACCGAGTGGAAAATTACATTTCTGCATAGACCTGACTTTATATTACATAAAAAGTACAAAACAACGAATTAAATAAAATGTACGTATAACATACATTTAAAAATTTTGCAAACTAAATGCTTATATATCTACTTGCTAAATATAATCAAAATGCCAAAGGATTATATACCAAATTTCGTATATTCACAGAGTACCGCAAATGATATTGAAAAAGTAACATTTTTCTTTTTTAAATAATATCTTAAATTATGTCTTTTATAATCAGATAAAATTTTATATATATATATATATATATATATATATATATATTTTTTTTTTGCATTGTTATAATTTACATTACAATGTGTGTGTCATAACCATTTCGTAAACATTTTTAGATATTTGCATCTTGCAATCCTGTATAATTTTTTTTATATAATATAGTTGCTTTATATACTTGGTTCTGACCCGATTATTTCTATTCTCAAAAATAAATATTGGCAGTTTGCTTTATTGAATAAAAAGATAAAGAGATTGAAATAAATAGATAGACGAAAACTTTAAGAACTTTAAGAACTTTTCAGTTATTAATTAATCAAAAACAACTACAATATTACAATATTTAAATACATCATTGACTACATGTATTTCACTTTTGTAATATGTTAAATGCAGAATATGATGTTCTCAAGAGCTGTAATAATAATTACGGAAAAAATTAATGTAAAGAATTAGATATTTATTAAAAATTTCAAATATGTTTTAGTACCTTATGTTTCAAACATCTTTGTTGATTACATATTATATACATTATTACATACATTTTTTTAATATATCAAGTGATTATTGTGTTATATACAATACCGGTCAAAAATATATCACCTTTTTTTAAGGATAATTTCATTCAAAGTATATATTTAATTAATTTTTCTTAAGTTGCTGTGTTCATTATTGAAAAGTCTATTGCTAAATAATTTATATACCTACTATTAAAACATGTGACTAGATAGAAATATATTTACTTTGAATTAAATTATACACTTTGAGTTAAGTTATTCTCAAAAAACATAAAGGTGATATTTTTGATCGGTATATAAACAAATATAGCATAGTTTACTTACGCTACTGAAAGACTGGAGAGATAAAGTTATCAAGAAGCTACTGGTAAATTTAATAGGAATTGTGCTACGCATCATAATTATCAAAAGTTCCTTTTTCTCGCTGGTTGACAATAAAGGCCAATCCATATGATATATTGCATCTCCTATACTCATACTCTGGCAATATAATAGAAATGTAATAATAAACCTAACAATAGCATTTATTTTATTTAATGATATTTTATATTTATGTGTAACATACATTTATATATTTTATTCTCTTTATATTTATATATTATATTTTCATATATTTCGACAAGTATGTATTTTTGAATTTTTATTGTTAAATATTTATAAATATTATTCGATCAAGTATATTTTTTAAATTAAATATTCCAAAATATAAGAAAAATTACCTTAAGCATAACTTCGTTTCCGGACCAGCAAATAACATAAATTTGTACAAACATACCAAAAGTATAAACTATCAGAGTTGCACTTTCGGATTCCATCATATGCGTTGAGACATAATATACACTTGTACATAATATCAATATACTGCCACAAAATTGAATAAAAAGTATTTGGTTGAATATAATATTTATTGTTTTAGCAAATCTGCAATAATATTATATTAGTTCTTGATATTTTCCATATCAGGCAATTTTAACATTATATATAATATTGTACTTTTTGTATAGCTCGCGTATAATTTTACGTGTGTGCATAAAGGAACTGATTCTTATGTAACTGACTTGTAAATGCAGAGATGATGATGTATGTATGTTGATATTGCTACTTTTGCAATACTTGACGAAGTAGGTAAATGATTCAAATAACTAGTTATTTTGCTAGTCACTAATTTGCGAAGACGAATTTCGTAAATTTCAAATTGGGCGCAAGTTTGCAAAGACAATCCGAAAATTAAAGTTTCTGTACCGACATTTATGATCGCCCCAAAAATTGTGGATACAATTTGCTGAATGGATGTAATCCAAAATATCAAAGACGCGTTAGTATCGTATGGCAACCATACTCTATAAGGTAAATGACCTTGCATTACTTTTAACACTGACCCTACTGTGATGCCTGTGAGGGAACTTGTCACCAAAAGTATATATTTTATTGAACATGACCTGCACACAAATATAAGTTGAAATTATATATTTAAATATTCTAAATATTCTTACAGCAACTAATATTTTCTGGTAGTATTTGCAAAAACTCATAATAAATTTTTAATACAATAACTTATTTTATTTTACATTATAAAGCCTAATGAAATTTTAAAGTAATTTTTAAAATATTTTTTAGAATGAAAAATTTTTTTGAAATTAGAAAATTTAAAAAAAATTTTATACGGATTATTTACAATAATTTGAAAATTATATATAAATTTAAACATATACAAAATTAGCAAAATTTATCAAAAGTTCGCAAAAAATTTTTACTATAAAGGACGACAATCGCAATGCTCATTGAATTGAAAAAAATTAAATTATTGAACAAACTTTTTAATTACTGGATTATTAAAAAATTATTTTACTATGTATAAAAGATCTAGTAGTACTCACTTGATAAACTTATCACATTTCGTTTGTATGGCCATTTCGTCTTCGTCTTGAGGTTTATACGGTGCCTTCAATAATTTTTGCACCAATCTAATGATTGAATTCCGACGTATTATAATGACAGTCGCTTTACAACAAATAGCAACAATAGTCAGGAACATTAGAGTATTAGTAGCAAAATCATCAATATTATCCACAACAAAAACGATGTCCATAAATTGGGTTAACATTAAAAAGTATTCCAAAATTAGTACAATAAGCGTAAATGCATTATACAGCAGCTTAGCAGAGTTCGATGACCAATCGATAGGCCGCCATATACCGGCGATGGTATACATAAAAAAATTTAGGGAAAGTATTTGCATCTTTATGATTACAAAAAGCACTTTTTTCTATACATATAACATCTAGAAAAATATTTTTACGACACTGCGAGATATCAAATATATTAATGAATCATTGCAGAAATAAATAATCTGAAAATTATACAACTCAAAAAATTAATTTTAATAGAGTCTACTACAATAGAATCTACTATTTCATAGAATATAAATTTTATGAATGTTATCCTTCTTCTCGGAACTCATATTTAGCATTATAAATGTATGGCTATTTAGCTCTAACAAATTTTTACGGCAGAAAACAAAAAATTACTTAGAGCATAAATAGATAGAATGTACTAATAAATAAATAGATACATAGATAAAAATATATTGATAAATAAACGTGTGTGTGTGTGTGTGTGTGTGTGTGTAATATTTATTGTAATATTTTAGAAAATTTTTTTTACCATCGAAATTGTATACGTAGATTTTTTCCAATTTTCTTCTGTTTAATTTTATTTTTATTTCATTTTAACACATAAATCAAGTATAATACTATTATGAATCGAAAATCAAATAATTCGCTGTAAAAAGAAATATTTCTAATTACGAACATGTAAAAAAAGGAATATTAATAATTATATATGCTTTGCCATAATATTATTTCTTACATTTTACACTACTTCCAATGGAACAGAATATAAGATTTCACAAATTATATTACTACCAATATAACTTATTCCAATATTTTCAAAATTAAATCTCAAGTATAGTCGAGCACTTCTTGAAATAAACTGCGTGTATTTCTACTTGCTTGAATTTCTCAACCCTTTTTGTCATTAACATAATTATTAGCTATTCGATAGCGCACGTACCTTATTTTCTGCTCACATCAGAATACTACTATAATTATGAAAATCATTTTACTTCCAACGATCGAGGAATGTCGTTCTTTACACTAAAGCATATTGTCATATTCCCATTGAGTAAAATATTCATACATTTTCATGTCATCGCTGTAGCTGTATGCATGAAATCATCTTTTCTACAAAACTTATATTTTATGATAGTACGCTACAATAAAGATAAATATGTTGTACAAGTAGCGACATTCGACAATCATTCAAAAGATACATACCATCTGCATATACCATCAATACAGTAGAGAATTAAGAGAAAATATATATATTTGCATCTTTATAATACTGTATAGATTACTTCATAAAGGAGAATTTAAATTTATTAGACTTTAATGCAACATATGACATATGTAAATGCAATATGAAAAAATATGAATATTAGTCACACATTTCTTCGCTTTGAAAAGAGACACAAAGATACCTTATTTTGCTACCAAAAATTTGCTAATAAAATTTCAACTCAATATGTAGTTAAACATGCAGGAAATTACGTATGATTCTTTATTAGCTTGCTTCGATTTTACACCTAATATTGTCAATTATAATGATTAGCAATCGGATATAAAATCGTTTATTATAATCTATATTATTTTCTGTTTATAAAAACATTGAAATCATCACAATTGCTATATATAACGATCCGAGGTTGCTGTTCTTTGTAGTTAAACATATTATTATCGAATGAAATATTTGTACATTTTTATGACGTCGATGACAAGTGGAATGGAACATTATATTTTTGCACAAATTTGACTTAATTACGTAAAAATATAAAATGAAAAAATATTAAAATGTATTACATATAATTTATTTAAATATCACATATTTAAATATATCATTTCCCAAGTTAAACGCTTATACGTGTATCTACTTGCTAAATATGAAGATATATCTCAGCAGAATATATATTAATAACCTCGGAAGAATATATATTAATCCTGGTACACTAACAGAATATGGCAGACGGTATTGGAAAAATTAAATTTTTCTTTTTTAAATAATGATTAAATCAAAATTGTTGCCGTTTATATATCAGATAAAGCTGTTGCAATATTTTATGGTTACGTATTTATAATGTATGTACATATGTGTGCATGTATATAGACACATCAATATTTAGATATTTATATTTTTCAATCTTGCGTAATCTTTTATATATTATGTCGATGTTTTGTGTGTATTTCCTTCTTACTTATATTTTTATTCTTAAGAGTAAATAGCAATTTGCTGTATAAAATAAAGGAAATTGTTAAGATTGAAATAAATGGACAGACGGATATTGCTAAGATCTTTAGTTATTAATTTGTCGAAAAAATATTACAATATTATCAAAAATATTGCAATATTATTAAGATATTTAAATGCATCATTGATTACATATATTACTTTTGTAATAAATTAAATGCAGAATATGATGTTTTCAAGATCTGAAAGAATAATTATAGAACAAATTAATGTTAAAGCTTATATATACATCACTTTTTAAAAATTTCGATTGTGTTCTAACATTACGCTTCAAATATTCTTCCTGATACATGTATATATATATATATATATATATATATATATATACACACACACACACACACACACACACACACACACACAAATATAATGTAGTACTTACGCTACTGAAAGACTGAAGAGATAAAGTTATCAAGAAACTACTGGTAAATTTAACAGGAATTGTGCTACGCATCATGATCATTATGAGTTCCTTCTTGTCGCTGATTGATAATAAAAACCATTCTGTATGATATATTGCATCTCTTAAATTCATACTCTGATAATATAATAGAAATATAATAATAAAACTAGCTATAAAATATTTATTAAATTTATTAATATTTATTAAATATTTATTAAATTTATTAAATGATTCTACGTTGATTTTTATTTAATTTAATGATTTTATCTTTAAATGTGTTCACTATTATGTGTAACCTAATTACATACAAAAAAAATTATATTATTTTTTCATATTTATATATTTTATGTTGCTTTAAGTACGAATTTTTGATATTTTTGTAAAATATTTTATTTGGCACTCATTCAGTCATTAGATTTTTCGGTAACTTATTTAGTATATTTTTTTGAAGTAAACATTTTACAATATTTGATATGTCATATACCTTAAGTATGACTTCGTTTCCGGACCAGCAAAATAAGTAAATTTGTACAAACATGCAAAAAGTATAAATTATCAGAGTTGCACTTTCAGATTCCATCATATGCGTTGATACATAATACACACTTGTACATAATATTAATATGCTGCCAAAAAATTGAATGAAAAATACCTGGTTAAATATCATGTTTATTGTTTTAGCGAATCTGTAATAATGTTATGTATTAATTTTTGACATTCCATATGATCAGGACAATTTTAACAATGTACATAATATCACATTTTTTATAGGTCGCGCAATTTTAACAATCAGTAATATAATCTTAACATTTAATATTTATTATAAAATATAATAATAAATAATCATATGTGTATATTGTGTGATAGTATATATATATATATATATATATATATATATATATGTATATATATATGTATACGTATATTGATATATTTTAAAAGTTAAATTAATTTGAAATAGATTAATTATTCGAAGTTCTCTTTCCAAGCTCCCTTATTAATTCAAATAAATCATTCAATAATTTATGTCAATTAATTCCAAAGAAATGTAGAGGCGTCACTTTCTAATTATTTATAATTTTTCATTAGGAATATTGATAATTGTTATAATAAACAATTTGTAATAACAGTTTATAAGTACAACAGATATATAATCTAATAAGATAAATAATAAGGTATGCAAGCGTGCATTTATAAAGGAGTTTTAACTGACCTGTAAATGCAAAGGTGATGATGTATGTATTCCGATATTGCTACTTTTCTAATTTTTGAGGATGCAGGTAAATGATTCAAATAATTAGTTATTTTGCTAGTCACTAATTTGCGAAGACGAAGTTCATAAATTTCAAATTGGGCGCAAGTTTGCAAAGACAATCCGAAAATTAAAGTTTCTGTACCGACATTTATGATCGCTCCAAAAATAATGGATACAATTTGCTGAATGGATGTAATCCAAAATATCAAAGATACGTTAGTATCGTATGGCAACCATACTCTATAAGGTAAATGACCTTGCATCATATTTAACACTGACCCTATTGTGATGCCTGTAACGGAACCTATCACCAAAACTATATATTTTATCGACCATGACCTGCACACAAATACAAGTTGAAATTATATATTTAAATATTTTAAATATTTTTACGGCAACTAATATTTTCTGGTAGTATTTGCAAAAACTCATAATAAATTTTTAATACAATAACTTATTTTATTTTACATTATAAAGCCTAATGAAATTTTAAAGTAATTTTTAAAATATTTTTTAGAATGAAAAATTTTTTTGAAATTAGAAAATTTAAAAAAAAATTTTATACGGATTATTTACAATAATTTGAAAATTATATATAAATTTAAACATATACAAAATTAGCAAAATTTATCAAAAGTTCGCAAAAAACTTTTACTATAAAGGACGACAATTGCAATGCTTATTGAATTGAAAAAAATTAAATTATTGAACAAACTTTTTAATTACTGGATTATTAAAAAATTATTTTACTATGTATAAAAGATCTAGTAGTATTCACTTGATAAACTTATCACATTTCGTTTGTACGGCCATTTCGTCTTCGTCTTGAGGTTTATACGGTGCCTTCAATAATTTTTGCACCAATCTAATGATTGAATTCCGACGTATTATAATGACAGTCGCTTTACAACAAATAGCAACAATAGTCAGGAACATTAGAGTATTAGTAGCAAAATCATCAATATTATCGACAACAAGAACGATGTCCATAAATTGGGTTAACATTAAAAAGTATTCCAAAATTAGTACAATAAATGTAAATGCATTATACAGCAGCTTAGCAGTGTTTGATGACCAATCGATAGGCCGCCATATACCGGCGATAGTATTCATAAAAAAATTTAGGGAAAGTATTTGCATCTTTATGATTACACAAAGCACTTTCTTCTATACATATAACATCTTGAAAAATATTTTTACGACACTGCGAGATATCATTTGAAATATATTAATGAATCATTGCTGAAATAAATAATCTGAAAATGATACAAATAAAAAAATTAATTTTAATGCAGTCTACTTACAACAGAATCTACTATTTCATAGAATATAAATTTTATGAATGTTATCCTTCTTCTCGGAACTCATATTGAGCATTGTAAATGTATGGCTATTTAGCTTTAACAAATTTTTACGGCAGAAACCAAAAAATTACTTAGAGCATAAACAGATAGAATGTACTAATAAATAAATAGATACATAGATAAAAATATATTGATAAATAAACGTGTGTGTGTGTGTGTGTAATATTTATTGTAATATTTTAGAAAATTTTTTTTACCATCGAAATTGTATACGTAGATTTTTTCCAATCTTCTTCTGTTTAATTTTATTTTCATTTCATTTTAACACATAAATGAAGTATAATACTCTTATGAATCGAAAATCAAATAATTCGCTGTAAAAAGAAATATTTCTAATTACGAACATGTAAAAAAAGGAATATTAATAATTATATATGCTTTACCATAATATTATTTCTTACATTTTACACTACTTCCAATGGAACAGAATATAAGATTTCACAATTTATATTACTACCAATATAACTTATTCCAATATTTTCAAAATTAAATCTCAAGTATAGACGAGCACTTCTTGAAATAAACTGCGTGTAGTTCTACTTGCTTGAATTTCTCAACCCTTTTTGTCATTAATATTATTATTAGCTATTCGATAGCGCACGTACCTTATTTTCTGCTCATCAGAATACTACTATAATTATGAAAATCATTTTACTTCCACCCGATCGGGGAATGTCGTTCTTTACACTAAAGCATACTGTCATATTTCCCATTAAGTAAAATATTCATACATTTTCATGTCATCGCCAGTAACTGAATGCATGAAATCATCTTTTCTACAAAACGTATATTTTATGATAGTACGCTATAATAAAGGTAAATATGATGTACAACTAGCGACATTCGACAATCATTCAGAAGATACATACCATCTGCATATACCATCAATACAGTAGAGAATTAAGAGAAAATATATATATTTGCATCTTTATAATACTGTATAGATTACTTCATAAAGGAGAATTTAAATTTATTAGACTTTAATGCAACATATGACATATGTAAATGCAATATGAAAAAATATGAATATTAGTCACACATTTCTTCGCTTTGAAAAGAGACACAAAGATTATTTTGCTATCAAAAATTTGCTAATAAAATTTCAACTCAATATGTAGTTAAGCACGCAGGAAATTATGCATGGTTCTTTATTAGCTTGTTTTGATTTTACACCTAATATTATTAATTATAATAATTAGCAATCGGATATAAAATCGTTTATTATAATCTATATTATTTTCTGTTTATAAAAACATTGAAATCATCACAATTGCTATATATAACGATCCGAGGTTGCTGTTCTTTGTAGTTAAACATATTATCATCGAATGAAATATTTGTACATTATTATGACGACGATGACAAGTGAATAGAACATTATATTTTTGCACAAATTTGACTTAATTACGTAAAAATATAAAATGAAAAAATATTAAAATGTATTACATATAATTTATTTAAATATATCATTTCCCAAGTTAAACGCTTATACGTGTATCTACTTGCTAAATATGAAGATATATCTCAGCAGAATATATATTAATAACCTCGGAAGAATATATATTAATCCTGGTACACTAACAGAATATGGCAGACGGTATTGGAAAAATTAAATTTTTCTTTTTTAAATAATGATTAAATCAAAATTGTTGCCATTTATATATCAGATAAAGCTGTTGCAATATTTTATGGTTACGTATTTATAATGTATGTACATATGTGTGCATGTATATCGATACATCAATATTTAGATATTTATATTTTTCAATCTTGCGTAATCTTTTATATATTATGTCGATGTTTTGTGTGTATTTCCTTCTTACTTATATTTTTATTCTTAAGAGTAAATAGCAATTTGCTGTATAAAATAAAGGAAATTGTTAAGATTGAAATAAATGGACAGATGGATATTGCTAAGATCTTTAGTTATTAACTTATCGAAAAAATATTACAATATTATCAAAAATATTGCAATATTATTAAGATATTTAAATGCATCATTGACTACATATATTACTTTTGTAATAAATTAAATGCAGAATATGATGTTTTCAAGATCTGAAAGAATAATTATAGAACAAATTAATGTTAAAGATTATATATACATCATTTTCTAAAAATTTCGATTGTGTTGTAACATTACGCTTCAAATATTCTTCCTGATGTTATGTAAATATGTATATATATATATATATATATATATATATATATATATTTACACAAATATAATGTAGTACTTACGCTACTGAAAGACTGAAGAGATAAAGTTATCAAGAAACTACTGGTAAATTTAACAGGAATTGTGCTACGCATCATGATCATCATGAGTTCCTTTTTGTCGCTGATTGATAATAAAAACCATTCTGTATGATATATTGCATCTTTTAAATTCATACTCTGATAATATAATAGAAATATAATAATAAAATTAGCTATATAATGTTTATTTAATTTAATGATTCTAAATTGATTTTTATATTTAATTTAATGACTTTATCTTTAAATGTGTACATTATTATGTGTAAGCTATTTACATACAAAAAAAATTATATTATTTTTACATATTTATATATTTTATTTTATTTGAAGTATGAATTTTTGATATTTTTGTAAAAAAATATTTTATTCGGTACTCATTCAGTCATTAGATTTTTCGGTAACTTATTCAGTATATTTTTTTGAAGTAAACATTTAACAATATTTGATATGTCATATACCTTAAGTATGACTTCATTTCCGGACCAGCAGAAAAAATAAATTTGTACAAACATACCAAAAGTATAAATTATCAGAGTTGCACTTTCAGATTCCATCATATGCGTTGATACATAATACACACTTGTACATAATATTAATATGCTGCCAAAAAATTGAATGAAAAATACCTGGTTAAATATTATGTTTATTGTTTTAGCGAATCTGCAATAATGTTATGTATTAATTTTCGATATTCCATATGATCAGTACAATTTTAACAATGTACATAACATCACATTTTTTTATAGGTCGCGCAATTTTAACAATTAGTAATATAATCTTAGCATTTATTATCTATTATAAAATATAATAATAAATAATCATATGTATATATTGTGTGATAGTGTATATATATATATATATATATATATATATATATGTATATATATATATATATATGTATATGTATATTGATATGTTTTAAAAATTAAATTAATTTGAAATAAATTAATTAATCGAAGTTTTCTTTTCAAGTTCCCTTATTAATTCAAATAAATCATTCAATATATTCATAATTTATGTCAATTAATTCCAAAGAAATGTAGAGGCATCACTTTCTAATTCTTTACAATTTTTCATTAGGAATATTGATAATTGTTATAACAAACAATTTGTAATAACAGTTTATAAGTACAACAGATATATAATCTAATAAGATAAATAATAAGGTATGGAAGCGTGCATTTATAAAGGAATTTTAACTGACTTGTAAATGCAGAGATGATGATGTATGTATTCCGATATTGCTACTTTTCTAATTTTTGACGATGCAGGTAAATGATTCAAATAACTAGCTGTTTTGTTAGTCAGTAATTTACGAAGACGACTTTCGAGAATTTCAAATTGAGCGCATGTTTGTAAAATTAATCCAAAAACTAGGGTTTCCGTGCCAACATTTATTAATGAGGCAAAAAATAGAGATACGATCTGTTGAATGGATATAAACCAGAAAATTGGAGATGCGTTAATATCGTATGGTAACCATACTCTATAGGGTAAATGACCTTGCATTATATTTAACACTGATCCTATTGTAACGCCTGTAAAGGAACTTGCTACTAAAAGTGAATATTTTATCGAGCAGGACCTGTATACAAATGTGAATTAAGATTATGCTTTATAAATTTAAATATATTCTGTGGCATAAATAAAAATGTTCTTATAATTTTAGTATTTGCAAAAACTAATAATGAATTTCTAATATAATAAATTTTATTTTATTTTACGTTAATATGTAGTTAACATGCAAAATTAAGATTATTTTTATTTTTTATATAGAATATTTGAAAATTTGAAAATAAAAACTCACACAGACAACATTAAGAAGATTTATTAAGAATTTGCAAACGACTTTTGTCACAAAGGACAACGGTCGCAATATTAATTGAGAAAATTAAATTATTGCATAAATATTTTAAGTTATAGGTTATCAGTGATTTACTGTATATAAAATATTTAATGGTACTTACTTGATAAACTTGTCATATTTCATTTGTATTGCCATTTCTTCTTCGTCTTGGTATTTATATGGTGCTTTCAATAATATTTGTACTAGACTAATAATTGACTTTCGACGTACTACTACAACGGTCGCTTTACAACAAACACCAACAATAGTTAAGAACATTAGAGTATTAGTTGCAAAATCATCGATATTATCAACAACAAGAATGATATCCATGAATTGGGTTAACATTAAAAAGTATTCCAAAACTAGTACAATAAAAGTAAATATATTATACAGTAGCTTAGCAACATTTGATGACCAATCGATAGGCTGCCAAACACCACCAATAGTATATATTAAAAAATTTAAAGAAAGTATTTGCATCCTTATAATTACAAAAAAAGATATGGTATAGCACTTTTATAACATCAATTCATAGAACATCTGGAAAAATATTTTAGGGACACTTATCATTTTAATTATATTAAATAATCATTACAAAAGTAATTCTGAAACAATACAACCCAAAACATTAATTTTAATATAATATTAATAAATAATTAAAATTAATAATATTAATTTTAATATACTACTACTTAAAAAGAAAATAAAATAAAAAAAAATAAGAAAATAAAAAGAAAATAAGTTTTGTAAATATTATCCGATCCCAAACAAAATATATTTAGTATCGTATTTGATTTCACAAATTTTACGATAAAGGGAAAAATGTTATCAAAAAAGATAGACAAATTGATAAATAGAGAGTGAAATTAAAAGAGAAAAGAAAACAAAAAAAAGATACAAATATGATACGTATTTATCACTAATCATATATATATATATATATATATATATATATATATATATATATATATTAATCATGATACAAACCTACAAAATACTGACATTTATTATTAAAAAATTTCAAATGTTTCAATACGCTACGTAAATATTTTTCAATAGTAAATTTGATCTAAAAAGAAATTAATGCAATATACACACAAATATCACATATTAAAACAGTAGCAAGTTATAGTTAATGAAAATTAAATGTAAGATCAAATAGTTTTTAATAAAAAAAGAATAATAGAAGAAATTTTTGTAATATTTGGTAAATATATATTTCAAAAAATAATATTTTAATATAATAGTATATTAATTTCAAACCATGATTTTGCTGACATGTCGATTATAAGAAACAAATTAATTATTACAAAATTAAATGATTATTTTTACTACTTCACGAAATCAGTAATATGATAGTTATAATCATTATATTAAAGTAATCAATAAAAAATAAATATTTATAACAAATTTTATTTGCCTTTAATTGTTTTCTTTTTTTATTATCGAAGTTGCACACCTAAGATTTTTTCTAATCTTCTTCTATTAAATTTTATTTTCATTTTAACATAAATTGAATATAACATTATCATGAATCAAAAATCAAATGTTACTGCGCTCTATGTAAGTAATATTTTTAAATATAAGTATGAAAAGAAAAAGAAGTGTTAATAAGTATATATATTTTGCAAGGATATTATTTCTTACATTTTATACAACTGCCAGTGCAACAAAATAAAATTTCTCATAATCCACGTTAACACGAAAAAATATTTATTCGCGTGCGCGATTACTTTCAAAATAAATTTCAAATATAATCGAGCACTACTTAGGACAGACTGCTTATAATTCTACTTGTTTGAATTTCTTAATCCTTTTTGCCATCAATGTAATATGTATTAATAGCATCTCTATAGCACACGTTATTTTCTTTTCATGAGATTACTACTATAATTGTGAAAATCGTTTTACTTGCAATGATCGAATATCATTATTTACACTAAGACATATTGTCATATTCCCGTTGAATAAAATATTCATACATTTTCATCATCAGTAATAACTGAATACATGAAATAGTATTTCCTATAAAACTTGACTTTATGGCATAAGAATTAAATAATGTAGTGAAAGAAATAAATTGTGTGATATATTTAAATGAGAGAAAAAGAAATCTAAATGTATTTCTATTCTTAAGTATAAATATTGACAGCTCTTTTTTTGCCGTAAAATAAGGGTGAATGTTTAGATAAAATTGAAATAAATGGAGATATAGATACTTTAAAATGTTTAGTTCTTAATTTATGAAGAAAATATTACAATATATTATCAAAAATACTACAATATTATTATATGATATTAAAATGCAACATTGACTACATATGTTTCACTTTTGTAATACATTAAATGCTGAATATGATGTTTTCAAGATCTGAAAAAATAATTATAGAGAAGATTAATGGAAAAGATAATATACTTGTTAAAAAATTTCTAACGTGTCCTAATACATTACATCAAATATCTTTCTTGATGTTATATAATATATGTACAAATATAATATAACACTTACGCTACTGAAAGATTGGAGAGATAAAGTTATCAAGAAACTACTTGTAAATTTAATAGGAATTGTGCTACGCATCATGATTATCAAAAGTTCTTTTTTTTCCCTGGGTGATAATAAAAGCCAATCCATGTGATATATTGCATCTCCTACATTCATACTCTAATAATGTAACAGAAATATAATAATAAATTGAGTATATAATATTTATTTAATTTAATGCCACTATATTTGTATGTGTATATATGTATTTATATAATCTACATTCTCTATATTTATATTTTTCATATATTCTTCATAATTTTTACGTATGTATTTAATATATTTTTACATATTTTTTGTCACATACTTTATTTAGTAAGTTTTTAATAATTTGTTTGTTATATTTTTTAATTAAGTATTTTATAATATACGAAAAGATACCTTAAGTATGACTTCATTTCCGGACCAGCAGAAAAAATAAATTTGTACAAACATACCAAAAGTATAAATTATCACAGTTGCACTTCCGTATTCCATCATATGCGTTGAAACATAATATATATTTGTACATATTAACAATATACTGCCAAAAAATTGAATGAAGAATATCTGATTGAATATAATGTTTGTTGTTTTAGCGAATCTGTAATAATATTACATTTCATGATATTCTATGATTAGGATAAGTTTAACAATATATATAATATAATATTTTTTGCATAGCCCGCATTATAAAAATTTAAAAAAAAATCTTAACATTTATTAAGAGACGAATTAAAATATTATGTTAAATAAGTATATGCATATCAATACTTTTGATCAATATTTTAAAAGTTAAGTTAATTTGTCAAAATTTGGCTAATATTATTATTTTCTCGAAAATATTTTCTTTTTAAGATTTCTCAATAACTGTCAATTAATTCCTAAGAAATGCAAATGTTAGTTTCTTCAATTTTTCATTTTAAATATTAATTGATATTGCAAATATAAACAATTTATAATTACATTTTATAGATACAACAATTATAACATATATATATATATATATATATATATATATATATATAAACAAATAATCAATAGATCTTGCAAGTGAACATTTATAAACGAACTGATTTTCATGTAACTGACTTGTAAATGCAGAGATGATGATGTACGTATTCCGATATTGCTATTTTTTCGATATTTGAAGTAGGTAATTGGTTTAGATAATTAGATATTTTGTTAGTCATTAATTTGTGCAGACGATTTTCGAAAATATCAAACTGAGCACAAATTTGTAAAATAAACCCAAAAATTAAACTGTCCGAGGCAACGCTTATGATTGCGCCAAAATATACTGAGACGATCTGTTGAATGGATATAATCCAAAAAATCGACGATGCGTTAGTGTCGTATGGCAACCATACTCTATAAGGTAAATGACCTTGCATTATGTTTAATACTGATCCTATTGTGAGGCCTGTTAAAGAACTTGCTACTAAAATTGAATATTTTATCGAGCATGACCTGCACACACATATGAGATTCAGATTACATTTTATGTACTTAAATATTCTTACGGCTATTAAAATATTTTCGTAGTTTTAGAATTTGTAGTAATTATTGTAACAAATTTCTACTATAATAACTTTTATTTTATTCTACATATTTTATTCTAATTTAACATAAGTCTTACATTTTTTTATATACAATATTTGTTAAAATAATTTTAAAATTATTATACATAAAAATTCAAACATTTAAAATTATGAAAATTTATGAAAAGTTTGGAAAAGACTTTTACCATAAGGATTAACAATCATAATCCTAATTGAATTGAGAAAATTAAATTATTGGACAAACATTTTAATTTGTAGACTATTAAAAAAAATTATTTTACTATGTATAAAAGATTTATTGGTTCTCACTTGATAAACTTATCATATTTCGTTTGTATTGCCATTTCATCTTCGTTACGAGGTTTATGTGGTGTCGATAGTAATATTTGTACCAGACTAATAATTGAATTTCGACGTACTACAATGACGGTCGCTTTACAGCAAACAGCAACAATAGTCAGGAACATTAGAGTATTAGTGGCAAAGTCATCAATATTATCGACAACAAGAATGATGTCCATAAATTGGGTAAACATTTGAAAATATTCCAAGATTAGTACAATAAAAGTAAATGTATTATACAATAGCTTAGCGACGTTCGATGACCAGTCGATAGGCCGCCATATACCGGCAATGGTATACATAAAAAAATTTAAAGAAAGTATTTCCATTTTTATAATTATATAAGGAAGTATACTCTTTCATACGTATAATATCTGGAAAAATATTATAATAATACGTATCATCGTAATTTCATGTCATATTAATTAACCATTGTAAAAATAAATATCCGCAAAGTTAATATAAAAAATTAATGATATGAAAAATTAATTTTAATACAGAAAATATTATTCCTAAATATAGAATGTAAGATTTATAATTTTTTCGACATTCTATATTTCGCACATATGAGGCTATTCGACTTTAATAAAAGTAAAAAACTTACTAAGAATAGATAAATAAATAGTGAGATTAAAAAAGAAACACATTTATAAATATAATTATATTCATCGTGTCATAAAATCAGTAATGATAGTTGATGTTCATTTAAATAATCAATAATGTATTAAATATTTATGTAACAAATTTCATTTAGCTTTAATTAGATTTTTTATATATTGAAATTGAATATCTAGAATTTTTTCTAATCTTTTTTTATTTAATTTTATTTTCATTTTATTTTTACATATAAATCGAGTATAATATTATCATGAATCAAAAATCAAATGTTACTGCGCTCTATGTAATAAGTGATATTTTTAAATATAAGTATGAAAAGAAAAAGAAATGTTAATAAGTATATATATTTTGCAAGGATATTATTTCTTACATTTTACACAACTGCCAGTGCAACAGAATAAAATTTCTCATAATCCACGTTAACACGAAAAAATACAACTTATTCTATTACTTTCAAAACATTAAATTTCAAGTATAATCGAGCACGACTTGAGACAGACTGTAGTTTCTCTTGCTTGAATTTTTTATTCTTTTTTGACATTAATATGATCGTTACCAACTGAATAGCGTACATTATTTTTTCATGAGAATACTATTATAATTATGAAAATCACTTTACTTCTAAATGCGATCGAAGGCGGTCCGTTACAGTAAGACATATTGTCATATTCCCATTGAATAAAATATTCATACATTTTCATCATCAGTAGTAAGTGAATGCATGAAACAGTATTTTCTATAAAACTTGACTTTATGAATATGATCATAAGAATGCAAATAGTGAAAAAAATAAATTGTGATATATTTAAATGAAGTCTAAGTTAACTATTTAAGTATTTATCTGAGGAAAAAATTAGAAGACTCTCTCTGATTATGTATATTCAAGCAGTATAAAACATTGCAAATAAAAATAGATGGTTTTCTTACAAGGAAAGGGTCGGAAGTGTCCCCCTCCGATTTTAATGAGCTTTGAATATGTTGTAGTCTAGATCAAAATAGGAGACACGTATTTTTTTATAAGTGCTGAGTCGGCCGTTAAGGGGGTGAAACACCTTCTTGAAAAAAATCGATTTTTTCATTTCTCAGCGGATACCGTCGAAGCGATAAGAGATATAAACAAAAGTTTCAAATAAAAGTTTTATGGTCTTTAATGTACTTCAAAATCATGTAATCAGATTTGTCGAAAATGTCATATTTTTCGAAATCCCCCCCCCTCCCTTTTAATGTTTGAAAATTTTTAAATTTGTCTCATAACAAAACTTATAGCTCATTTAACGACAAATTCAATCATATATAATAAAGTTGTATTCCGAAGTCACATTTTTCAGAAATAAATTAAAAATATTCCTATACACTACTATACGCCCGCTTTATCCGCCTTATGACGCTCGTTATTCACAGCGACAGTCATTTTTCTTCGCAAACTCACAGAGGCAACCATAAATTAGCAATAAATAATTTATGAGAATATATTTTTATAAATTATAGAAATTATATTTATAAATATAATTATAAATTATATAATAATTATAATTATAATATATGTCTATATTATGTGACAATAAATATACATATAATTTATATGGAAAAGTAATGTTTTTAATGCATGAAAAATAAAACTAGTCGGACAAGGAAAATTATTGATCAGATGCCGATGTTAATAGATTCAATTCTATGAATAAACAGATGTCGCATTCGCGAAATGAGTTGGTGCAATATATTATTTTATTAACAACTGCGTGCAGTGGAACACATATTACTATTAAAGCGTCTATCGAATATACGCGAGCGCGATAGTAAATATATTTATATATATATAAGAAAATAATTAAAAGGATTATAACTTATAAAGCGAGCGAAAAAATGCGTCGCGATAAGAAAGTCAGCTGCCCGAAGTGCTGATACAGCCAGTATCACACGGCCAAGTCATCAAACAGAGGAAGAAATCACTCTCGAAATAGCGCTGAATTGCAATAAAATGCGAGGAAGTCTTCTGACTTCCTTCGCTTGCATTTTGATCACGCCACTTTAGAAATAACCAATGATTTTATTTGGTCATGCCACCGCGCGATCCTCCTCCGATAATCGTTCAGAACCGGAGGCGTTAAAAGCCACCGCCTAGAAGCGGCGGACAGTCACAAATCAGTTATCAAATAATTAACAAGTGCTCGAGTTAATTAACAAGACTAGCCGTTATCCTGAAAAAACAATTGTGCCCCACGCACACAACAATACAGTATGTATGTACTTTTTCGATTTTTAAAACTTTTATAGTTTTTTGCTTTTACTTACACTTCATTCAAAATTGCGGTTTATCTGTTTTGTTTTAATGTATTTAAATTATAATTAATATTTTATTACTTTATTTAAGTTATGTGATAAAACTGTTCTATTTTTCATGAAACTCGGAAAACGTAACAAATTATTAATACGCATTAAATAATAAAATATTTTTGTTGCTAATAAGTATTTTTTTGCTAATATTTATAAAACAAATATACATAATGTTAATAATTTTTTTAGATAATGTTTAATCCAAGAAATGTAGCAGTACTGCTATACACTGCACTGTATATGACTGGGGAATTCCCAGAAAGTCCTGTTACAACAGATGAAAATGAAACAAAAGACATGATGGAAAATATGCTTCGATCAATGTATGAAGAAGCGTTTAAAGTTTATGAAGAATCATCATTAGATTTTCAAAACGAATTTGATATACCTGAAGTAGAACCTGTAATTGATGAAGAAAGAGAAGAAGACACATATTTTGTAAAAGAAATTGAATGTGTTGCGGATTCTGTACCAATAGAATATAAAAGAAATGCAGTAGAGTTATGGAGAAGTGGAACAAAAAAGTCAAGAACTCTTGCATCTATAAGAAATAGATTTCGGAAAGTCACGTCATTACGTCAATTAAGAAGATGGGAGCAGCAAGTAAATCAAGGTGGCAACAGATTTGATAAACTGAAAGAAATTTCAACATATACGTTAAATAAATTCCATGAAGGTATTGAAAAGGGAATAATTATTCATGACATTGATATTGCTCGATGGGCTCTTCGCGCACAGAAGGAAGTAAATCTACTTGGGTTTACAGCATCATTATCATGGGTAAAAAGGTTTAAGCTTGCACATAATATCGTATCTAGAAAAATTACAAAATTTATAACAAAAAAAAATTTAGCGTCAGACAAAGATTTAGAAGCACGAAGCAAGTCATTTATCGAAAATGTTAAATCTTCTATTATACAATATGGAATTGAAAATGTATATAATTCGGACCAAAGTGGATTTCAATTAGAATTTCATTCCGGTCGTTCACTATCACCTATTGGTATTAAAAAAGTAGAGCGCATAGTACAATCCATATCAGCAACTACACATAGTTATACTATACAACCTATTGTTTCAGCTGATGGTAGATTATTATCGCCTCTGTTTATTGTTTTAAAAGAACCTACTGGAACATTTAGTCCAATAGTAAAAGAAACAATGTTTAAAGATAATAATATCTTTGTCATGGCATCAAAATCTGGAAAATTAACATCGCATCATTTTGAGATCTGGATAAAAGAAGTGTTTTTTCCAAATGTTGGACCAAAATCAGTGTTATTATTAGATTCTTGGACTGGTCATTGTCCTGATATAATTCAAAGAAACAAACCAGATTTTATAGACAATATTAATTTGTTAACTATACCAGCTGGAGCAACGGGAAAAATACAACCTTTAGATGTATTCGGTTTTCGTTTATGGAAAAATTTTGTTAGACATTTTTCAGATATCCATCATGCTTTTAGATCTTGACGTCAAGCTTCATTCAAGAAACAATATTTTAAAATTACAATCATTAACACATAATCAATTTTCATCACCAAGGTTTAAAAATTTATTCAAATATGCATGGTATAAAAGTGGTTATTTAGAAAAGAAACCAGAAGAATTTGATACACCAGTAGATTTTTGTTTCAAAACTAATTTAAAACCAACATGTGATATTTGCGGTGAAATTGCTGTAATTTCTTGCGCATGGTGTAAAAAATCCCTTTGTATAAATCATTTCTTTCATGATCATCATCTTTGTAACCGATATCAACCATGAATATTTGTTATTCTTGTATGCAATAATTATGTACGGTATTTTATGTAATATTTCCATATACATATATATAATGACTTCGGAATACAACTTTATTATATATGATTGAATTTGTCGTTAAATGAGCTATAAGTTTTGTTATGAGACAAATTTAAAAATTTTCAAACATTAAAAGGGAGGGGGGGGGGATTTCGAAAAATATGACATTTTCGACAAATCTGATTACATGATTTTGAAGTACATTAAAGACCATAAAACTTTTATTTGAAACTTTTGTTTATATCTCTTATCGCTTCGACGGTATCCGCTGAGAAATGAAAAAATCGATTTTTTTCAAGAAGGTGTTTCACCCCCTTAACGGCCGACTCAGCACTTATAAAAAAATACGTGTCTCCTATTTTGATCTAGACTACAACATATTCAAAGCTCATTAAAATCGGAGGGGGACACTTCCGACCCTTTCCTTGTTAGTAATCAAACATATTATTATAATCTCATTGAATGAAATATTTTCATGTCATCAGCAGCAAGAGATTGGAAAATTATAATTATGCACATTTGATTTAATTTCAATAAAGTATAAAACGTCGAGAGATAAAATATACATACATAGATCATTTAAATGTTAAGTTCCCAAGTTAAATAGCTATGCATCTACTTAAATATAATAAAGATGCCGAAGAATACTGAAGGATGCTGAAAGTTATATTTTCTTTTTTAAATGACGTTTAAATCAAAATTATTATCCTTTAGACGTCAGAAAATTATTGCATTGTTTTGCGGTGATGTATTTATATTCAGTGTATGTGTGTATGTGTATTTGTACATATAATAAATATCTTTAGATATTTACGATTTGCAATACTGCATAATTTTTTTATACATGATATCACTATTTTGTAAATTTTTTTTCTTGCCTGTATATATTTCTGTTTTCAAAATAAATATCAACAGTTTATCGTAAAATAAGGAAAAATATTAAGATTGAAATAAATCGATTGACGGATACTTTAAAATCTTTAATTATTAATTTATCAAGAAAATATTACAATATTATCAAAAATACTACAATATTATTATGATTAAAATGTAACATCGACTACATATATTTCACTTTTGCAATATATTAAATGCAGAATATGATGTTTTCAAAATCTGAAATAGTAATTATAGGAAAAATTATTATAAAAGATTATACAATTTATGTATAAATTTCGATTCTGTTCTAACTACACATCAAATATCTTTGCTGATGTTATACATGTTTTTTTCAATATATCAAGCAATTAGTATATATACAAATGTATACATATGTATATATGCAAATATATTATTGTACTTACATTACTGAAAGACTGAAGAGATAAAGTTATCAAAAAACTACTCGTAAACTTAACAGGAATTGTGCTACGCATCATGATCATCAGCAGTTCCTTCTTATCGCTGATTGGTAATAAAGGCCATTCTGTGTGATATATCGCATCTCCTACATTCATACTCTGACAATAACAGAAATATAACAATATACAATAGCAATTAATTAATTTAATGACTTTGTATTTATATGTATGTGCACACATTCATATAATTTATGTTCTCCATATCTATATATTCTTTATATACTATATATCTCCATATACTTAATGTACTTAATATATTTTTACATCTTTGTCACATACTTTATTCGGTAATTTTGTTGGTAATTTATTTGGTATAGCTTTTTACTAAACATTTTATGATATTATACGAAAAATTACATACTTTAAGTATAACTTCATTTCCGGACCAGCAGAAAAAGTAGATTTGTACAAACATACTACAAGTATAAATTATCATAGTTGCACTTCTGGATTCCATCATATGCATTGAGACATAATATACACTCGTACATATTAATAATATACTGCCAAAAAATTGAACGAAGAATATTTGATTGAATATGATGTTTATTGTCTTAGCGAATCTGTAATAATGTTATATTAGACCTCGACATTCCATATGATCGAAATAATTTTAATAATATATATAACATCACATTTTTTGCACAGCTCGTACAATTATAAGAATTAAAAAAATCTTAATACATTTGTTACTTACTAATAAATAATATATTAACACTTAATTTATTTTAAAAATTAAGTTAATTTGGCAGAACATGTCTAATGTAATTATTCTCTCAAAAATATTTTCTTGTATACATATACTATATCATGATTTTTCAATTTATTTATCAGTAAGTAATAAATGTATTAAGATTCCTTTAATTCTTATAATTCAAAAATATTTTCTTTTGAAAATATCTTAATAACAATTAATTTTTAAGAAATGGAGATGTTATTTTCTAATTCTTTACAATTTTTCATTTCAAATATTAATTATCATTATAACTATAAACAATTTATAATTATAATCTATAGATATAACAATTACAGCATACACAACATATTGATATATCGAAACAAATAATTAATAAATCATGCGTGTGAGCGTTTATAAAACAACTGATTCTCATGTAACTGACTTGTAAATGCAGAGATGATGATATATGTACTTCGATATTATTACTTTTTCATTATTTGGTGAAGCAGGTAAATGATTCAGATAACTAGCTATTTTGTTAATAATTAATTTATGAAGACGATTTTCAAAAATTTCAAACTGAGCACAAGTTTGCAAAAATAATCCAAAAATTAAAGTTTCCGTGCCAACAGTTATAATTGCGCCGAGAATCACTGATAAAATCTGTTGAATGGACGTAATCCAGAAAATCAGAGATACGTTAATATCGTATGGCAACCATACTCTGTAAGGTAAATGACCTTGCATTATGTTTAACACCGACCCTGCTGTGACGCCTGTAACGGAACTTATCACCAAAAGTACATACATTATCGAACATGACCTGCACATAAATATAAGTTGAGATTATATATATGTATATACATATATATATATATATATATATGTATATATATATATATATATATATATATATATATATATATGTATTTTTATGCACTTAACTATATTCTCTTTTACACAAAATATAAAAATTTTTTATAGTTTTAGTTTTTTGTAGAGACTCATAATATGAATTTCCAATATAATAACTCTTATTTTATTTTACAAAGATAGGTAAAATTAAAATAATTCTTATTTTTTTATATTTAAAAATATTTACTTAACTTGGAATTTATATATAAACACAAACAGATAAAATGCAATTAACAAAATTTATCAACAGTTTACAAACGACTTTTGCCACAAAGGACAACTGTCGCAATGCTAATTAGGAAAAATAAATTATTTTCAATTATTAAATTAATAAATTACTAAAACAATAAATTATTTTAAAAATAAATTTTTTTGACGAATATCTTAAAGTATAAATTAATAATATTTTATTGTGTATAAGATATTTAATGGTACTCACTTTATAAACTTATCATATTTCATTTGTATTGCCATTTCGTCTTCATTTCGAGGTTTATATGGTGGCTTCAATAATATATGCACCAGGCTAATAATTGAATTTCGACGTATTATAACGATGGTCGCTTTACAACACACACCAACAACACTAAGAAACATTACAGTATTAGTGATAAAATCATCGATATTATCGACAACAAAAGCGATGTCCATAAATTGAGTTAACATTAAAAAGTATTCTAAGACCAGCACAATAAAGGTAAATGCATTATACAGCAGTTTAGCAACATTCGATGACCAGTCGATAGGTCGCCATATACCAACGACAGTATATATTAGAAAATTTAGGGAAAGTATTTGCATCTTTATGATTATAAAACAGAGCGTTGTATTGTCCTATATATGTAACATCTGGAAAATTATTGCAACATTACTTATCATCTTAATTTCGTATCATAATAATTAATCATTGCAAAAGTAAATGTTCGAAAGATAGACAATACATATTGATTTCAAATCATGATTTTATTTGCTAACATATATCAATTATAAGGAATAAGTTAATTATTACAAAATCAATCGATTATCTTTATCGTTTTATAAAATCAATAATATAAGTTCAGATTATTATGAATAATGAAATAAATATTTGTAATGTATGTATAGTCTTTGTAATAAATGTAACAAATTTCATTTAGTTTTAGGGCGTATCCCTTTTTTACTATCGGAACAACAAGAGTAATATATTACAAGAATATATATAGGATTTTTTCTTATCTTCTTTTATTTAATTTTATTTTTATTTTACTTTATATAAATATAATATAATGTTATCACGAATCGAAAATCAAATGCACCTCGTTGTAATATAATAAAAGATATTTCTAAGTAAAAATATGTAAAAAAGAGAAATATTAATGGTTAGCTAATGTATTCTTTGTCGGAGTATTATTTCTTACATTTACACAATTATTAGTGAAACAGAATAGCATTTCTCATAATCCATGTTGTCATGAAAAAATAAAACTTATTGTATTATTTTAAAAATAATTAAATTTCAAGTATAATTAAGCACGACTTGAGAGAGACTGCATGTAATTCTATTTGCTTGAACTTCTTTTAACCCTCTCTATCATCAATGTAATTATTGGCAACTCCATAATACACGTTATTTTCTTTTCATGAGAATATCACTATAATTGTGAAAATTGTTGAAAATCGTTTTACTTGCAATGATCGAATACCATTCTTTACAGTAAGACATATTGTCATATTCCCATTGAATAAAATATTCATACATTTTCATCATCAGTAGTAAGTGAATGCATGAAACAGTATTTGCTATAAAACTTGACTTTATGAATATGATCATAAAAATGCAAATAATGTAGTGAAAACAATAAATTGTGATATATTTAAATGAAGTCTAAGTTAACTATTTAAGTATTTACCCGAGGAAAAAATTAGAAGATTCTCTTTGATCATGTATAATCAAGCAGTATAAAACATTGCAAATAAAAATAGATGGTTTTCTTTGTAATCAAACATATTATTATAATCTCATTGAATGAAATATTTTCATGTCATCAGCAGCAAGAGAGTGGAAAATTATAATTGTGCACATTTGACTTAATTACAATAAAGTATAAAACGTCGAGAGATAAAATATACATACATAGATCATTTAAATGTTAAGTTCCCAAGTTAAATAGCTATACATCTACTTAAATATAATAAAGATGCCGAAGAATACTGAAGGATGCTGAAAGTTATATTTTCTTTTTTAAATGACGTTTAAATCAAAATTATTATCCTTTAAACATCAGAAAATTATTGCATTGTTTTGCGGTGATGTATTTATATTCAGTGTATCGGTGTATGTGTATTTATACATATAATAAATATCTTTAGATATTTGCGATTTGCAATCCTGCATAATTTTTTTATACATGATATCACTATTTTGTAAATTTTTTTTTGTCCGTATATATTTCTGTTTTCAAGAATAAATATCAACAGTTTGTCGTAAAATAAGGAAAAATATTAAGATTGAAATAAATCGATTGACGGATACTTTAAAATCTTTAATTATTAATTTATCAAGAAAATATTACAATATTATCAAAAATACTACAATATTATTATGATATTAAAATGTAACATCGACTACATATATTTCACTTTTGCAATATATTAAATGCAGAATATGATGTTTTCAAAATCTGAAATAGTAATTATAGGAAAAATTATTATAAAAGATTATACAATTTATGTATAAATTTCGATTCTGTTCTAACTACACATCGAATATGTTTGCTGATGTTATACATGGATTTTTCAATATATCAAGCAATTAGTTTATATATATACAAATGTATATATGTTATATATGTATATATGCAAATATATTATCGTACTTACATTACTGAAAGACTGAAGAGATAAAGTTATCAAAAAACTACTCGTAAACTTAATAGGAATTGTGCTACGCATCATGATCATCAAAAGTTCCTTCTTATCGCTAATTGATAATAAAGGCCATTCTGTGTGATATATCGCATCTCCTACATTCATACTCTAACAATAACAGAAATATAACAATATACAATATACAATTAATTTAATGACTTTGTATTTATATGTGCACACATTTATATAATTTATGTTCTTCATATCTATATATTCTTTATATACTATATATCTCCATATACTAAATGTACTTAATATATTTTTACATGTTTGTCACATACTTCATTCGGTAAATTTTTTGGTAATTTATTTAGTATAGCTTTTTATTAACATTTTACGACATTATACGAAAAGTTACATACTTTAAGTATAACTTCATTTCCGGACCAACAGAAAAAGTAGATTTGTACAAACATACTACAAGTATAAATTATCATAGTTGCACTTCTGGATTCCATTATATGCGTTGAGACATAATATACACTCGTACATATTAATAATATACTGCCAAAAAATTGAACGAAGAATATTTGATTGAATATGATGTTTATTGTCTTAGCGAATCTGTAATAATGTTATATCAGAACTCGACATTTCATGTGATCGAAATAATTTTAATAATATCACATATTTAATATATATAATATCACATTTTTTGCACAGCTCGTGCAATTATAACAATATTAAAAGAATCTTAATACATTTGTTACTTACTAATATATAATATATTAACATTTGATTTATTTTAAAAATTAAGTTAATTTGGCAGAACATGTCTAATGTAATTATTTTTTCAAAAATATTTTCTTGTATGTTATATCATGATTTTTTAATTTATTTATCAGTAAGTAATAAATGTATTAAGATTTCTTTAATTCTTATAATTCGAAAATGTTTTCTTTTTAAGATTTCTTAATAACATTTAATTCTTTAAGAAATGGAGATGTTATTTTCTAATTCTTTACAATTTTTCATTTCAAATATGAGTTATCATTATAATTATAAACAATTTATAATTATAATTTATATTTATAGATATAACAATTACAGCATACACACAACGTATTGCTATATCTAAACAGATAATTAATAGATCATGTGTGTGAGCGTTTATAAAACAACTGATTCACATGTAACTGACTTGTAAATGCAGAGATGATGATGTATGTACTTCGATATTGTTACTTTTTTGTTATTTGGTGAAGCAGGTAAATGATTCAGATAACTAGCTATTTTGTTAATAATTAATTTATGAAGACGATTTTCAAAAATTTCAAACTGAGCACAAGTTTGCAAAAATAATCCAAAAACTAAAGTTTCCGTGCCAACAGTTATAATTGCGCCGAGAATTACTGATAAAATCAGTTGAATGGACGTAATCCAGAAAATCGGAGATACGTTAATATCGTATGGCAACCATACTCTGTAAGGTAAATGACCTTGCATTATGTTTAACACCGACCCTGCTGTGACGCCTGTAACGGAACTTATCACCAAAAGTAAATACATTATCGAGCATGACCTGCACACAAATATAAGTTGAGATTATATATATATATTTTATGCACATAACTATATTCTCTTTTACACAAAATATAAAAAATTTTTATAGTTTTAGTTTTTTGCAAAGACTCATAATATGAATTTCCAATATAATAGCTTTTATTTTATTTTACGAAGTTAGGTAAAATTAAAATAATTCTTATTTTTTTATATTTAAAAATATTTTCTTAACTTGGAATTTATATATAAACACAAACAGATAAAATGCAATTAACAAAATTTATCAACAGTTTACAAACGACTTTTGCCACAAAGGACAACTGTCGCAATGCTAATTAGGAAAAATAAATTATTTTCAATTATTAAATTAATAAATTACTAAAATAATAAATTATTTTAAAAATAAATTTTTTTAACGAATATCTTAAAGTATAAATTAATAATATTTTATTGTGTATAAGATATTTAATGGTACTCACTTTATAAACTTATCATATTTCATTTGTATTGCCATTTCGTCTTCATCTCGAGGTTTATATGGTGCCTTCAATAATATATGCACTAGGCTAATAATTGAATTTCGACGTATTATAACAATGGTCGCTTTAAAACACACACCAACAATACTAAGGAACATTACAGTATTCGTGATAAAATCATCGATATTATCGACAACAAAAACAATGTCCATAAATTGAGTTAACATTAAAAAGTATTCCAAGACCAGCACAATAAAGGTAAATGCATTATAAAGCAGTTTAGCAACATTCGATGACCAGTCAATAGGTCGCCATATACCAACGACAGTATATATTAGAAAATTTAGAGAAAGTATTTGCATCTTTATGATAAAACAGAACGTAGTATTGTCCTATATATGTAACATCTGGAAAATTATTGCAACATTACTTATCATCTTAATTTTATATCATAATAATTAATCATTGCAAAAGTAAATGTTCGAAAGATAGACAATACATATTGATTTCAAATCATGATTTTATTTGCTAACATATATCAATTATGAGGAATAAGTTAATTATTACAAAATCAATCGAATATCTTTATCGTTTCATAACATCAATAATATAAGTTCAGATTATTATGAATAATGAAATAAATATTTGTAATGTATGTATAGTATTTGTAATACATGTAACAAATTTCATTTAGTTTTAGGGCGTTTCCCATTTTTACTATCACGAAACAACAAGAGTAATATTACAAAAATATATATAGGATTTTTTCTTATTTTCTTTTATTTAATTTAATTTTTATTTTACTTTATATAAATATAATATAATGTTATCACGAATCGAAAATCAAATGCACCTCGTTGTAATATAATAAAAGATATTTCTTCTTAAGTAAAAGTATGTAAAAAAAAGAAATATTAAACGCTTAGCTAATATATTCTTTGTCGGAGTATTATTTCTTACATTTACACAATTATCAGTGAAACAGAATAGCATTTCTCAATCCATGTTATCATGAAAAAATACAACTTATTTTATTATTTTTGAAATAATTAAATTTCAAGTATAATCGAGCACGATTTGAGAGAGACTGCATGTAATTCTACTTGCTTGAATTTCTTAACCCTCTTTGCCATCAATGTAATTATTAGCAACTCTATAGAGCATGTTATTTTCCTCTCATGAGAATACTACTATAATTGTGAAAATTTTATTTGCAATGATCGAATACCATTCTTTACAGTAAGACATATTGTCATATTCCCATTGAATAAAATATTCATACATTTTTATCATCAGTAGTAACTGAATACATAAAATAGTGTTTTCTATAAACTTGGTTTTATGGCATAAGAATGCAAATAATGTAGTGAAAGAAATAAATTGTGATATATTTAAATGAGAGATAAAGAAGTCTAAATGTAATTTTATTTTTATTTTTAATTTTATTTTTAAGTATAAACATTGACAGCATTGATATTTTTTGTCGTATAAAATAAGGGAAAAGAGTTGAGATCGAAATAAATAGACAAATTGGTGCTACTAAGATCTTTAGTTATTAATTTATTGAGAAAATATTGCAATATTATCAAATATATAGCAATATTATTATAATATTAAAATGCATCATCAACTATACATATCTTACTTTTGTAATACACTAAATGCAGAATATGATGTTTTTAAGATCTGAAAGAAAAATTATAGAGAAAATTAATGTTAAAGATTATACATTACTTTTTAAAAATGTCGATCGATTCCAACACGTTACACGTCAAATATTTCTTTTCTGATATCATATATATACATATTTTTATATACATATTTTTTTAAATATAGTAATTATTTTGTTGTACATACACACACAAATACATATATGTATATATAAAATATAGTACTTACGCTACTGAAAGACTGAAGAGATAAAGTTATCAAAAAACTACTGGTAAATTTAACAGTAATTGTACTACGCTTCATAATCATTAGTAGTTCCTTCTTCTCACTGATGGGCAATAAGATCCATTCCATGTGATATATCGCATCTCCTACACTCATACTCTGACAATGTAACAGAAATATAATAACTTTTAATAAAATATAATAATAAGTATTAAACAATAGCTATTAATTAATTTAATGTTGTTTTGTGTTTATATATGTACACAACACACACACACACAATATATATTAATTAATTGCTATTGTTTATCATTAAGTATATATATATACTTTTTTTTCTTTATACTTATACATTCTTTATATATTTTTATACCTATTTAACATATTTTCAAATGTTTCGTCATATACTTAATTTGATAATTTTTTTTTGATAATTTATTTCTTACATTTCTTTGAACTAAACATTTTACTACATACGAAAAATTACATACCTTAAGTATGACTTCATTTCCGGACCAGCACAGAAAATAGATTTGTACGAACATACCAAAGGTATAAAATATCATAGTTGCACTTCCGGAATCCATTATATGCGTTGAGACATAATATATACTTGTACATATTAAAAATATACTGCCAAAATATTGAATGAAGAATACCTGGTTGAATATAATGTTTATTGTTTTAGCAAATCTGTAATAATGTTATATTAAATTTGGACATATGATCGAAACAATTTTAATAATATATATAATATCATATTTTTTGCATAGCTCGCGTAATTTTAAGAACTAGAAAAATAATCTTAGCATTTATTATTGAGAAGTAAATTAAAATATCATGGTAAATAAGCATATAAATTGACATTTGATTTATTTTAAAACTTAAGTTAATTCAACACAGCTTGATTAACATAATTTTTCAATGATGTTTTGTTTTTAAGCTTTCTTAACAAATCAATTAATTTTTAAAAAATGTAGATGTTGTTATCTAATTTTCCACAATCTTTTATTTTTAATTTAACTAGTACTATAAACAAATAATTTACAATTTATAATTTATAATTTAAAAAAGTTTTTAGATATAATTTAGATATAATTTTGAAATAAAATTAAAATACACAATTACAACAACATATTGACATATTTAAACAGATAATAGAATGTGTAAAGGAGCATTTATAAAGGAATTGATTTTTATATAACTGACTGATTCTTATGTAACTAACTTGTAAATGCAAAGATGATGATGTATGTATCTCGATATTGTCAATTTTCCAACATTTTGCGAAGAAGGTAAATGATTTAGATAATTAGCCATTTTGTTAATCATGAATTTGTGAAGACGACTTTCAAAAATTTCGAATTGAGCACAAGTTTGTAAAAATAATCCAAAAATTAAAGTTTCCGTGCCAGCAGTTATAATTGCGCTGAGAATTACTGATAAAATCTGTTGAATGGACATAATCCAGAAAATCGAAGATGTGTTAGTATCGTATGGAACCCATATTCTATAAGGTAAATGACCTTGCATTATGTTTAACACTGACCCTGTTGTGACGCCTGTAACGCCAATTATCACCAAAAGTAAATACATTATCGAGCATGACCTGCACACAAATATAATTTGAGATTATATATATATTTTATGCACTTATATTCTCTTTTACACAAAATATATAAATTTTTTTATAGTTTTAGTTTTTTGCAAAGACTCATAATATGAATTTCCAATATAATAACTTTTATTTTATTTTACGAAGTTAGGTAAAATTAAAATAATACTTATTTTTTTATATTTAAAAATATTTTTTTAAATTGGAATTTATATATAAACACAAACAGATAAAATGTAATTAACAAAATTTATCAATAGTTTACAAACGACTTTTGCCACAAAGGACAACTGTCGCAATGCTAATTAGGAAAATAAATTATTTTCAATTATTAAATTAATAAATTACTAAAATAATAAATTATTTTAAAAATAAATTTTTTTAACGAATATCTTAAGGTATAAATTAATAATATTTTATTGTGTATAAGATATTTAATGGTACTCACTTTATAAACTTATCATATTTCATTTGTATTGTCATTTCGTCTTCATCTCGAGGTTTATATGGTGCCTTCAATAATATATGCACTAGGCTAATAATTGAATTTCGACGTATTATAACAATGGTCGCTTTACAACACACACCAACAATACTAAGGAACATTACAGTATTCGTGATAAAATCATCGATATTATCAACAACAAAAACAATGTCCATAAATTGAGTTAACATTAAAAAGTATTCCAAGACCAGCACAATAAAGGTAAATGCATTATAAAGCAGTTTAGCAACATTCGATGACCAGTCAATAGGTCGCCATATACCAACGACAGTATATATTAGAAAATTTAGAGAAAGTATTTGCATCTTTATGATAAAACAGAACGTAGTATTGTCCTATATATGTAACATCTGGAAAATTATTGCAACATTACTTATCATCTTAATTTTATATCATAATAATTAATCATTGCAAAAGTAAATGTTCGAAAGATAGACAATACATATTGATTTCAAATCATGATTTTATTTGCTAACATATATCAATTATGAGGAATAAGTTAATTATTACAAAATCAATCGAATATCTTTATCGTTTCATAACATCAATAATATAAGTTCAGATTATTATGAATAATGAAATAAATATTTGTAATGTATGTATAGTATTTGTAATACATGTAACAAATTTCATTTAGTTTTAGGGCGTTTCCCATTTTTACTATCACGAAACAACAAGAGTAATATTACAAAAATATATATAGGATTTTTTCTTATTTTCTTTTATTTAATTTAATTTTTATTTTACTTTATATAAATATAATATAATGTTATCACGAATCGAAAATCAAATGCACCTCGTTGTAATATAATAAAAGATATTTCTAAGTAAAAGTATGTAAAAAAGAGAAATATTAAACGCTTAGCTAATATATTCTTTGTCGGAGTATTATTTCTTACATTTACACAATTATTAATGAAACAGAATAGCATTTCTCATAATCCATGTTATCATGAAATAATACAACTTATTTTATTATTTTTGAAATAATTAAATTTCAAGTATAATCGAGCACGATTTGAGAGAGACTGCATGTAATTCTACTTGCTTGAATTTCTTAACCCTCTTTGCCATCAATGCAATTATTAGCAACTCTATAGTGCATGTTATTTTCCTCTCATGAGAATACTACTATAATTGTGAAAATCGTTTTATTTGCAATGATCGAATACCATTCTTTACAGTAAGACATATTGTCATATTCCAATTGAATAAAATATTCATACATTTTTATCATCAGTAGTAACTGAATACATAAAATAGTGTTTTCTATAAACTTGATTTTATGGCATAAGAATGCAAATAACGTAGTGAAAGAAATAAATTGTGATATATTTAAATGAGAGGTAAAGAAGTCTAAATGTAATTTTATTTTAAATTTAAATTTTATTTTTAAGTATAAACATTGACAACATTGATATTTTTTGTCGTATAAAATAAGGGAAGAGAGTTGAGATCGAAATAAATAGACAAATTGGTGCTACTAAGATCTTTAGTTATTAATTTATTGAGAAAATATTGCAATATTATCAAATATATAGCAATATTATTATAATATTAAAATGCATCATCAACTATACATATCTTACTTTTGTAATACACTAAATGCAGAATATGATGTTTTTAAGATCTGAAAGAAAAATTATAGAGAAAATTAATGTTAAAGATTATACATTACTTTTCAAAAATGTCGATCGATTCCAACACGTTACACGTGAAATATTTCTTTTCTGATATCATATATATACATATTTTTATATACATATTTTTTTAAATATAGTAATTATTTTGTTGTACATACACACACACAAGTACATATATGTATATATAAAATATAGTACTTACGCTACTGAAAGACTGAAGAGATAAAGTTATCAAAAAACTACTGGTAAATTTAACAGTAATTGTACTACGCTTCATAATCATTAGTAGTTCCTTCTTCTCACTGGTTGGCAATAAGATCCATTCCATGTGATATATCGCATCTCCTACACTCATACTCTGACAATGTAACAGAAATATAATAACTTTTAATAAAATATAATAATAACTATTAAACAATAGCTATTAATTAATTTAATGTTGTTTTGTGTTTATATATGTGTACACAACACACATACACACACACACACACACACACACACACACACACACACACACACTATATTAATTAATTGCTATTGTTTATTATTAAGTATATATATATTTTTTTTTTCTTTATACTTATACATTCTTTATATATTTTTATACCTATTTAACATATTTTCAAATGTTTCGTCATATACTTAATTTGATAATTTTTTTTTGATAATTTATTTCTTACATTTCTCTGAATTAAACATTTTACTACATACAAAAAATAACATACCTTAAGTATGACTTCATTTCCGGACCAGCACAGAAAATAGATTTGTACGAACATACCAAAGGTATAAAATATCATAGTTGCACTTCCGGAATCCATTATATGCGTTGAGACATAATATATACTTGTACATATTAAAAATATACTGCCAAAATATTGAATGAAGAATACCTGGTTGAATATAATGTTTATTGTTTTAGCAAATCTGTAATAATGTTATATTAAATTTAGACATATGATCGAAACAATTTTAATAATATATATAATATCATATTTTTTGCATAGCTCGCGTAATTTTAAGAACTAGAAAAATAATCTTAACATTTATTATTGAGAAGTAAATTAAAATATCATGGTAAATAAGCATATAAATTGACATTTGATTTATTTTAAAAATTAAGTTAATTCGACAAAGCTTGATTAACATAATTTTTTCAATGATGTTTTGTTTTTAAGCTTTTTTAACAAATCAATTAATTTCTAAAATATGTAGATGTTGTTATCTAATTTTTCAGAATCTTTTATTTTTAATATAACTAGTACTATAAACAAACAATTTACAATTTATAATTTATAATTAAAAAAAACTTTTAGATATAATTTAGATATCATTTTTAAATAAAATTAAAATATACAATTACAACAATATATTAACATATTTAAACAGATAATAGAATGTAAAGGAGCATTTATAAAGGAATTGATTTTTATATAACTGACTGATTCTTTTGTAACTAACTTGTAAATGCAAAGATGATGATGTATGTATCTCGATATTGTCAATTTTGCAACATTTGGCGAAGAAGGTAAATGATTTAGATAATTAGCCATTTTGTTAATCATGAATTTGTGGAGACGACTTTCAAAAATTTCGAATTGGGCACAAGTTTGTAAAAATAATCCAAAAATTAAAGTTTCCGTGCCAGCAGTTATAATTGCGCCGAGTATTACTGATAAAATCTGTTGAATGGACATAATCCAGAAAATCGAAGACGTGTTAGTATCGTATGGAACCCATATTCTGTAAGGTAAATGACCTTGCATTATGTTTAACACTGACCCTGCTGTGACGCCTGTAGCGCCAAATATCACCATAAGTAAATACATTATCGAGCATGACCTGCACACAAATATAATTTGAGATTATATATATATTTTATGCACTTAACTATATTCTCTTTCACACAAAATATATAAATTTTTTTATAATTTTAGTATTTGCAGAAACTCAATTTTTAATACAATAATTCTTATTTTATTTTACAAAGTTGCAAAATAATTCTTATTTTTTATATAGAATATTTATATAGAATATTTACTTAATTTAGAATTTATATAAAAACTCGAACAGACAAAATGCAATTGACAAAATTTATCAACGGTCTTCGAACGACTTTTGCACAAAGGACAACTGTTGCAATAGTAATTCAGAAAAATAATTTATTTCACGAATATCTTAAGTTATAAACTATTAATATTTTATTGTGTATAAAATATTGAATGTGGTACTTACTTTATAAACTTATCATATTTCATTTGTATTGCCATTTCGTTTTCATCTCGAGGTTTATATGGTGTCTTCAATAATATATATACCAGATTAATAATTGAATTTCGACGTACTATAACGACGGTCGCTTTACAACAAGCAGCAACAATATTAAGGAACATTAGAGTGTTAGTGACAAAATCATCGATATTATCGACAACAAAAACGATGTCTATGAATTGGGTTAACATTAAAAAGTATTCTAAGATCAGCACAATAAAGGTAAATGCATTATACAGTAGTTTAGCAACATTCGATGACCAGTCAATAGGTCGCCATATACCAACGACAGTGTATATTAGAAAATTTAGAGAAAGTATTTGCATCTTTATGATTATAAAACAGAACGTAGTATTGTCCTACATATGTAACATCTGGAAAATTATTGCGACATTATTTATCATCTTAATTTCGTATCATAATAATTAATCATTGCAAAAGTAAATATTCGAAAGATAGACAATACATATTGATTTCAAATCATGATTTTATTTGCTAACATATATCAATTATAAGGAATAAATTAATTATTACAAAACCAATCGATTATCTTTATCGTTTCATAAAATCAATAATATAAGCTCAGATTATTATGAATAATGAAATAAATATTTGTAATATATGTATAGTATTTGTAATACATGTAACAAATTTCATTTAGCTTTAGGCATTTCCCTTTTTTACTATCGAAATAACAAAAGTAATATTACAAGAATATATATAGGATTTTTTCTTATCTTTTTTTATTTAATTTTATTTTTATTTTACTTTATGTAAATATAAAATAATGTTATCACGAATCGAAAATCAAATGCACCTCGTTGTAATGTAATAAAAGATATTTCTAAGTAAAAGTATGTAAAAAAGAGAAATATTAAACGCTTAGCTAATATATTCTTTGTCGGAGTATTATTTCTTACATTTACACAATTATCAGTGAAATAGAATAGCATTTCTCATAATCCATGTTATCATGAAAAAATACAACTTATTTTATTATTTTTGAAATAATTAAATTTCAAGTATAATCGAGCACGACTTGAGAGAGACTGCGTGTAATTCTACTTGCTTGAATTTCTTAACCCTCTTTGCCATCAATGTAATTATTAGCAACTCTATAGTGCACGTTATTTTTTTCTCATGAGAATACTACTATAATTGTGAAAATCGTTTTACTTGCAATGATCGAATACCATTCTTTACAATAAGACATATTGTTATATTCCCATTGAATAAAATATTCATACATTTTCATCATCAGTAGTAATTGAATACATAGTGTTTTCTATAAAACTTGATTTTATGGCATAAGAATGCAAATAATGTAGTGAAAGAAATAAATTCTGATATATTTAAATGAGAAGAAAAGAAGTCTAAATGTAATTTTATTTTAATTTTAATTTTTATATTTAAGTATAAATATAATTTGACAGCATCGACATTTTTTGTCATATAAAATAAGGGAAGAAAGTTAAGATCGAAATAAATAGACAAATTGGTGCTACTAAGATCTTTAGTTACTAATTTATCGAGAAAATATTGCAATATTATCAAATATATAGCAATATTATTATAATATTAAAATGCATCATCAACTATACATAATCTTACTTTTGTAATACACTAAATGCAGAATATGATGTTTTTAAGATCTGAAAGAAAAATTATAGAGAAAATTAATGTTAAAGATTATACATTACTTTTCAAAAATTTCGATCGATTCTAACACGTTACATGTCAAATATCTCTTTTCTGATATCATATATATTTATACCTATTTTTTTAAATATAGTAATTATTTTGTTGTACATACACACACACAAGTACATATATGTATATATAAAATATAGTACTTACGCTACTGAAAGACTGAAGAGATAAAGTTATCAAAAAACTACTGGTAAATTTAACAGTAATTGTACTACGCTTCATAATCATTAGTAGCTCCTTCTTCTCACTGGTTGGCAATAAGATCCATTCTATATGATATATCGCATCTCCTACACTCATACTCTGACAATGTAACAGAAATATAATAACTTTCAATAAAATATAATAATAAGTATTAAACAATAGCTATTAATTAATTTAATATTATTTTGTGTTTATATATGTGTACACAACACACACACACACACACACACACACACACACACACACACACTATATTAATTAATTGCTAATGTTTATTATTAAGTATATATATATTTTTTTTCTTTATATATTCTTATATATTCTTATATATTCTTATATATTCTTTATATATTTTTATATCTATTTAACATATTTTCAAATGTTTCGTCATATACTTTATTTCATAAATTTTTTTGAATAATTTATTTCTTACATTTCATTGAACTAAACATTTTACTACATACGAAAAATTACATACCTTAAGTATGACTTCATTTCCGGACCAGCACAGAAAATAGATTTGTACGAACATACCAAAGGTATAAACTATCATAGTTACACTTCTCGATTCCATCATATGCGTTGAAACATAATATACACTTGTACATATTAAAAATATACTGCCAAAATATTGAATGAAGAATACCTGGTTGAATATAATGTTTATTGTTTCAGCAAATCTATAATAATATTATATTAAATTTGGACATATGATCGAAACAATTTTAGTAATATATATAATATCGTATTTTTTGCATAGCTCGCGTAATTTTAAAAACTAGAAAAATAATCTTAGCATTTATTATTGAGAAGTAAATTAAAATATCATGGTAAATAAGCAAATATAAATTGACATTTGATTTATATTAAAAATTAAGTTAATTCGACAAAGCTTGATTAATATAATTTTTTCAATGATGTTTTGTTTTTAAGCTTTCTTAACAAATCAATTAATTTCTAAAAAATGTAGATGTTGTTATCTAATTTTTCACAATCTTTTATTTTTAATATAACTAGTAAAAAATTTTTAGATATAATTTAGATATAATTTTGAAATAAAATTCAAATACACAATTACAACAACATATTGACATATTTAAACAGATAATAGAATGTGTAAAGGAGCATTTATAAAGGAATTGATTTTTATATAACTGACTGATTCTTATGTAACTAACTTGTAAATGCAAAGATGATGATGTATGTGTCCCGATATTGTCAATTTTCCAACATTTGGCGAAGAAGGTAAATGATTTAGATAATTAGCCATTTTGTTAATCATGAATTTGTGAAGACGGCTTTCAAAAATTTCGAATTGAGCACAAGTTTGTAAAAATAATCCAAAAATTAAAGTTTCCGTGCCAGCAGTTATAATTGCGCAGAGAATTACTGATAAAATCTGTTGAATGGACATAATCCAGAAAATCGAAGATGTGTTAGTATCGTATGGAACCCATATTCTATAAGGTAAATGACCTTGCATTATGTTTAACACTGACCCTGCTGTGACGCCTGTAACGCCAATTATCACCAAAAGTAAATACATTATCGAGCATGACCTGCACACAAATATAATTTGAGATTATATATATATTTTATGCACTTATATTCTCTTTTACACAAAATATATAAATTTTTTGATAGTTTTAGTATTTGCAGAAACTCAATTTTTAATACAATAATTCTTATTTTATTTTACAAAGTTGCAAAATAATTCTTATTTTTTATATAGAATATTTATATAGAATATTTACTTAATTTAGAATTTATATAAGAACTCGAACAGACAAAATGCAATTGACAAAATTTATCAATAGTCTTTGAACGAACTTTTGCACAAAGGACAATCGCAATGGTAATTGAGAAAACTAATTTATTTCACGAATATCTTAAGTTATAAACTATTAATATTTTATTGTGTATAAAATATTGAATGTGGTACTTACTTTATAAACTTATCATATTTCATTTGTATTGCCATTTCGTTTTCATCTCGAGGTTTATATGGTGTCTTCAATAATATATATACCAGATTAATAATTGAATTTCGACGTATTATAACGACGGTCGCTTTACAACAAGCAGCAACAATATTAAAGAACATTAGAGTGTTAGTGATAAAATCATCGATATTATCGACAACAAAAACGATGTCTATGAATTGGGTTAACATTTGAAAGTATTCCAAGACCAGCACAATAAAGGTAAATGCATTATACAGCAGTTTAGCAACATTCGATGACCAGTCGATAGGCCGCCATATACCAACGATAGTATATATGAAAAAATTTAAAGATAGTATATGCATCTTTATGATTAAACTTATGATAAAACAGAGTAACACTTTTTTATACATGTAACATCTGAAAAAATATTGTAGCATTACTTATCTCAATTTCGTTTCACAATAACTAATTATTGTAAAAGTAAATGTTCGAAAGTCACAATAGATAACATTAATTGCAAACTATGATTTTGATAACATATCGATTATAAGGAACAAGTTAATTATTACAAAATCAATCGATTATATATGTTTACTAGGACATTATTTCTTACATTTTACACAATTATCATTGAAACAGAATAGAATTTCTCATAATCTATGTTATCGTGTGAGAGAGAAAAAATATAACTTACTCTAATATATATATATATATATTTTTTTTTTCAAAATAATTAGATTTCAAGTGTAGCTGAGCACGTCTTGAAATAGACTGCATGTAATTTTACTTGCTTGAATTTTTTAGTCGTTTTTCCGTCAATACAATTGTTAACAACTGGATGACGCCCGTTAATTTTTTCATGACAATACTATTATAATTATGAAAATCATCTTACTTGTGCAACGATCGAATGTCGTTCTTTACGTTGGGGCATATTGTCATATTCCCATTCAATAAAATATTCATATACATTTTCTTCATCGATAGTAACCGAAAGCATAATTTAGTGTTTTCTATAAAACATGACTTTATGGCATGAAAAGGCAAATAAAGTAGCAAAAGAAGTAAATTGTGATATATTTAAGATAAACATTTATACATTTATCTGAGAAAGAATTAGAAGACAAAATAAAATATCGTAAATAAAATAGATGATCTTCTTTTTCAATGCAAAGTGTATTGTTGATACATGAATAAGGAATTATTGCATTGTATTACATGTGTATCATATGTCTGTTTCATATGTGCACTTATGTACGAATGCATTTTACATGTTATAGATTTATTTCACTTCTGTTTTTAAATGTAAATTTTAATGGAAAAGTTATATTTTCTTTTTTTAAATTATGTCAAAATTATTATTATTTATGTATCAGAAAACTATTGCATTGTTTTAAGGTTATATATTTACATTTAGTATATCTCTGTGTGCAACATAATAAATATGTTTAGATATTTGCGCAATACTGTGTAATTTTTTACATACGATATTACTATTTTATATATTTCTTTCTTGTCTGTATTTCTGTTCTCAAGAATAAATATCAACAGTTTACAATAAAATAAAGGAGAGTGTTCAGTTTGAAATAAACGGATATTTTAAGTTATTAATTTAATGATTAATTTATCGAGAAGATTACAATATTATCAAAAATACTGCAATTAAAATGGACCATTAACTAGATGTATCTTACTTTTGTAATATATTAAATGCAGAATATGATGTTCTCAAGATCTGAAATAGTATAGTTTACAGAAAAATTAATATCGTGATCAATATCAAGATCATGTTCTTACACATCAAACATTCATCCTGTTGTTATATATGTTTTTACAAATATAACATAGTACTTACATTACTGAAAGATTGGAGAGATAAAGTTATTAAAAAACTACTGGTAAATTTAACAGGAATTGTGCTGCGCATCATGATCATCAGCAGTTCCTTCTTATCGCTGATTGGTAATAAAGGCCATTCTGTGTGATATATCGCATCTCCTACATTTATACTCTGACAATATAATAGAAATATAATAATGAATATAACAATAACAATTAATTATTTCAATGATTTTGTATTTATATGAAAACATATTTATATAATTTATACACACATATTCTCTTCATATTTATATATTTTTAATATATTTTTACATGTGTATTTAATGTATTTTTATATTTTTTTCATATACTTTATTTGGTTAATTTATAATTTTAACTAAACATTTTATAATACACAAAAAGTTACATACTTTAAGTATGACTTCGTTTCCGGACCAGCAGAAAAAATAGATTTGTACAAACATACTACAGGTATAAACTACCATAGTTACACTTCTCGATTCCATCATATGCGTTGAAACATAATATACACTTGTACATATTAATAATATACTGCCAAAAAATTGAATGAAAAATATCTGGTTGAATATAATGTTTACTGTTTTAGCGAATCTGTAATAAATCATATTAATTTCTGACAATCTATATAATTGGGATAATTTTAACAATATACATAATATATTTCTTGCACAGCTTGCATAATTATAAGAATTAGAAAAATAATCTTAACTCACTAACTAAGAAATAAAATATCATGATAAATAAGCATATATATATATATATATATATATATATATATATATATATATATTTATTTTGATATTTGATTTATTTTAAAAGTTAAATTAATTTTACAGAACTTGGCTAATATAATTATTCTTTCGAAAATGTTCTCTTTTAAAAGTTTCTTAACAATTTTAATTAATTCCTAAAAATGGATGTGTTATTTTTTAACTCTTTACAATATTTTATTCTTGAATATTAATTAATATTGTAACTATATAAAAAGAAACAATTTATATTTATAATTTATAAATACAACAATTACATACACATCACATTGATATATCTAAACAGATAATTAATAAATCGAGCGAGTATTTATAAAGATTCTGTAACTAACTTGTAAATGCAAAGATGATGATGTATGTACTTCGATATTGTTACTTTTTCATTATTTGGCGAAACAGGAAAATGATTCAGATAATTAGCTATTTTATTATTCATTAATTTGTGAAGACGACATTCAAAAATTTCAAACTGGGCACAAGTTTGTAAAAACAATCCAAAAATTAAACTTTCCGTGCCGACACTTATGATGGCGGCGAAAAACACTGATAAAATCTGTTGAATGGACATAATCCAAAAAATCGGAGATACGTTAGTATCGTATGGAACCCATACTCTGTAAGGTAAATGACCTTGCATTATGTCTAACACTGACCCTGCTGTGACGCCTGATGCCGAACTTATGACCAAAAGTAAATACATTATCGAGCATGACCTGCACACAAATATAAATTGAGATTATATTTTATTCACTTAAGTGTATTCTCTCTTACACAAAATATAAAATTTTTTTGTAGTTTTAGTATTTGCAGAAACTCAATTTTTAATATAATAATTCTTATTTTATCTTACAAAATTGTGCAAAATAATTCTTATTTTTTATATAGAATATTTACTTAATTTAGAATTTATACAAAAACTCAGATAAAATTAACAAAATTTATCAAATTTGGAAAACGACTTTTGTCAAAGAACGACTGTCACAATGCTAATTGAAAATTAAATTATTGCATGTCTTATAGACTATTAATGGTTGTGTACAAAATATTTAATGATGTTTACTTGATAAATTTATCATATTTCATTTGTATTGCCACTTCGTCTTCGTCTCGAGGTTTATATGGTGCCTTCAATAATATTTGCACCAGATTAATAATTGAATTTCGGCGTACTACAACGATGGTCGCTTTACAACAAACACCAACAATACTCAGGAACATTAGAGTATTAGTGGCAAAATCATCAATGTTATCGACAACAAGAACGATATCCATAAATTGAGTTAACATTAAAAAATACTCTAAGACTAGTACAATAAAAGTAAACGTATTATACAACAGCTTAGCGACATTCGATGACCAGTCGATAGGTCGCCATATACCAACGACAGTATATATTAGAAAATTTAGAGAAAGTATTTGCATCTTTATAATTATAAATGAGAGTATAATATTTTTTATATATGTAACATCTGAAAAAATATTGCAATATTACTTATCATTTTAATTTCGCATCATAATAATTAATCATTGCAAAAGTAAATGTTCGAAAACTAGGTGATACAATTAAAAAAAATTAATTTTAATTTTCACTTCATTTTTATTTGTCACATTTTTTTTAAAGTAGCATTTTTTATATTTTAGAATAATTAATGTAAATAATATTTTAATAGAACATAATCACATCAATAGAAAAATTTGTGTAATATTTGTTAAATATACATTTCCGAAAACTTAGTAACATATTGATTTCAAACCATAATTTTATTTGCTGACAGGTTGGTTATAAGATACAAAGTAATTATTTACAAAACTAATTGTTCATTTTGATCGTTGTGTGGAATTAATAATATGAAATTTATGATCATTATTATAATAATCAATAAAGAAATAAATATTTGTATAACTAATTTAATTGACTCTAAAACATTTAAAACATTAGAGGCTTTTCTTTTCTTATTATCGAACTTGTACATCTAGAATTTTAAAAAATTTTTTTTCTGTTTAAAAATTACTATAGGAAAATAAATAATTTTTTAATCTTCTTCTACTTAGTTTTTATTTAACTTTAACACAAATCACGTACAATATTATCATAAAGCGAAAATCGATTGCTACTTCTTTATATTATAATGTACAAGATAATATTTCTTCCTAAATACTAAATACAAATATTAATATTTATATATTATTACTTACATTTTTTACAATGCACAGAACAGAATTTTTTGTAATCAATGTTAACTTATTCTGTTATTTTAAAAATAATTGGATTTTAAGTGTAATGGAGCACATCTTGATGCAGACTGCATACAGTTTTATTTGCTTGAATTTCTTAATTCTTTTTGTCATAAGTTCGATTATTAGCAACTCGATGGCGTACATTATTTTCTGCTGATGTAAATATTACTACTATATAATTGTGAAAATAATTTTACTTGCAACGATCAAGGGGAATCGTTCTTTACAGTAAGACATATTGTCATATTCCCATTGAATAAATTATTCATACATTTTCGTATCAGCAGTAACTGAATGCATAAAATGATATTTTCTACAATCTTGATTTTCACATTATATTACAAACGATGTAGCGAATGAAATAAATTATGATTTGGTTAAATGACATATAAGTTAACCATTTATACATCTATTTGACGAACAAAGAAGACTGGAAGACTGTAGGTATATTTTTTTCATTCTAGCAGTAAAAAAACACTGTGGATGCTTTTCTTTTTCAATTCATGTAAAAGTAAATTATTACTTGTGTATTAAATCAAATTGTTACATTGTATTATATATATAACATTTGTATATTTTATGTGTATTTACACGAATGCATATTATATATTCTATAGATTTTTTTATTTATTTTTTAAATATATATTATCAACAATTATTTATTGTTTGATAAATGTAGTTTTTATTTTTGATAATTAATATCGCCAATCTATCGAAAACAATAAACATAATAATTATAAATAATGAAACGACGCCAATATCAATACAATTCAAATAGGGATTTGAATTAAGATATATGAATGCAGATAGAAATTTTATAGATTTATAGTTTACTAATTTTGTTATAAACTACAACGATATTTTCATATTTATACGCACTCTTGGTTATTTATGTCTCATTTTTGTAATACATTAAATGCCGAGTATGATATTTTCAAGATCTGAAAAATAATTAAAGAAGAGATTAATTAAAAGACTATACATTTGTCAACAATTTCGATTGCCTTCTCATTGACTTAAGCATTATTAAGTATCTTTAGTGAGTATCTTAAGTATCTTCATATTTTAGATATTTTTATAATATATCAAGTCATTATTTTGTTACATTTAAATACAACAATAATGCTTACGCCGCTATAAGACTGAAGAGATAAAGTTATCAAAAAGCTACTAGTAAATTTTATAGGAAGTGTACTACGCATCATGATCATTAACAGTTCTTTTTTTTCACTGATTGATAGTAAGGGCCAGTCCATATGATATATCGTATCTCCTACACTTATACTCTACCACAAAAATACGATAAAATAGAATAATCTAATAATAATATTAAATTACTTTATATTTTTCTATACGGTTTTATACACATATAAGTATTTACATTTGGCATATATTTTTATAAATATATATGCGTTATTTCATATTATATATTTATAAATTTGGACTATTTCTAATTTTGTGATAGATCAAAGCTTATTTCGCAAACTTAAAGAGAATAAAATTATGGAAATATTTATATGATTTTTAATGACATTAATTTGTACATTAATTTGTAAAATAAATTAATGTATAAAGTTACTCAGATGTGTACACTTTGTAAATGAATATAACCAAAAATTGAATATTAAAAATTGAATTTTATTTTATTTCAAGCTTGTGAAATAATTTCTGTATCAATTAAATATATATTTGCATTCTAAAATCCAAATTTACCTTAAGTATGACTTCGTTTCCAGACCAGCAATAAACGAAGATTTGTACAAACATACAGATAGTATAAACTATCAAAGTAGCACTTTCAGATTCCGTAATATGTGCTGACAGATAATATACACTTGTACATAATACCAATATACTGCCGAAGAATTGGACAAAGAGTACTTGATTAAATATAACATTTACCGTTTTGGCGTACCTGTAATAATATATCAATTTTACATTAGAATGGTACATGTTACGGTGGATAATAACTCTAAATGAGAATTATTATTTGATTTACTTTAAAATTTGCACAATTTAATAAATTATTTTATAAATGTGTTATTTCATTATAAAAATCGATTGAGAAATTTTAGATATAATATTTAATAAATTAATATATTTTAAAATATAAATGATAGGATTTACGAAAAGCAATGCATAAAAAATTGATTCTAATACGACTAACTTGTAAATACTGAGGTGGTGATATATGTATTCCGAAATTATTGCTCTTCCTTTATTTGATGAAGCAGGATTCAGATATTTAGCTATTTTGTTAGATATTAATTTGTGAAGACGATTTTCAAAAATTTCAAACTGAGCGCACGTTTGCAAAAACAATCCAAATACTAGGGTCTCCGTGCCAACATTTATAATAGTGACGAAAACCACAGTTATAATTTGCTGAATAGATGTAATCAAGAACATTGGAGATGTATCAGTATCGTATGGCACCCATATTCTATACGGTAAATAACCCTGCGTGACGTTTAGTACTGATCTTACTGTGACACCGGTAACGGAACTTGTCGCCAAAAGTGAATACTTAATTGAACATGACCTGCGAATAAAGAATTAAAATTATATTTTCTAAATTTTCGTGAAATTAAAGTTTTATGATAATTAAAATTTGTTTGCGCTTTTAATACATGAATAAGAATTTATAATCGAAATGACAATTCTTAATTCTTCTTTTTTAAACGAGAAGCTTAATATAATACTTAAAATAATAATTTTATGACTTTTTTACAGAATTATTATTACGTTTAATATATTTTTTGTAGCATTTATATGATTAAAATTGAAGCATTTTTTTAAAAGAATATTTGTGTAGTTACCTGATAAACTTATTAAATTTTTTTTGTATTGCCATTTCGTCTTCATTTCGAGGTTTGCAAGGTGGCTCCAACAATGTTTGTACCAATTTGATAATTGCGTTTCGACGTACTACAACGATAGTTGCTTTACAGGTAACAGCAACAATAGTCAGGAACATTAGAGTATTAGTGGCAAAATCATCGATATTGTCAACAACAAGAAGGATATCCATGAATTGAGTTAGCATCAAAAAGTATAACAAGACTAGTATAATAGAAGTAAATATGCTATATAACAATTTAGCGACGTTTGATGACCACTTGATAGGTCGCCATACACCGCCAACGGTGTACATTAAAAAATTTAGAGAAAATAGTTGCATATTTATAAATAGAAATAGCTTATTGGAACATTACACAAAAATAAAACACACTTTTATATATAAAATAAATATAATAACCATTTATATCATGATAATTCTTTTTTTTTATTTCTTTAAATATATTAATTAATTTTTCTAGGAGAAAAACTCAATATAAAATAGGATTTAATTTTTTATATGATATATTATAGGATGATAAAATTTTATTCGCGCATTTCACTTTAAACACTAATTATGAAAAATTTATTTATCTAACTAAATCTTTTATTTATCTAACACATAGATAATATTAGTCTGAAAAATCGGATAATTTTTAATTATGATGAAAATATGTGTAAATATAATTTAAAAAGATATTTATATCGCAATTTTTCGAAATATTGCTTCTCATATTTTAGCACAATAGAAATGATAAATGCTAAATGGACATGGACTGTTTCAATACCAAGACAATTAAGTTTAACTAAATAAAACGCGCACGTGCAAGAGACTATGTATGAATATAATACTTTCTTTAACATCATGATCTTATATTAATTATTTGTCATCAACTTAATGTGAAGTCTATTATATTGTATTACATGCACATTATTTTTCATTTATATATAAATATTGTAATGATACGTACATGACTGTAATTACGACTACTTTCTTTGTATCGATCAACCGGTATATTCTATCCTTTTATCTAAGCATATTGTTACATTCCCATCGAATAATGTTTATCTTTTGTCGTCGAATACAACTTAAAAGACTTAGATTATATATAGATTTATATTTCTCCACAAAAGAAATACAAACTATTTGATTGATTTGATTATATTTTCTTCATTTCATCGTCGAACAAAATATAAAATGTAATAAGTAGATATAATGCAATCAGATATTTTTCCAAGTTGCAGAACCGTATACATATCTCTATTAAATACGACGAGACATTATTATCCTGACGTATACATCGTGTGTTTTATAAGGTATACAAAATAATAGATATTTTATTCTTAGAATTCTTTAATCAAAAAGTTTTAAATTGTGTATTTCATCGTTATAATGGTGTTTAACGCACCAACATTTTTTAATTATAATGATATAACATTTCTAAATAAACATGTAATATTTTTATATGAACATTCTGTTTGGACACTTTCTAATTGATTTTAATTGAGTAAATATTTTATATATGTAGACTATTATAATTGTAGCAGTTTCTTTTTAAAGAAATTTTTACTTCTATATTTTGCATATTTCTTTTAATATCTTTACGTACTTTTGAGTAATATATATTTTTGAGTAATATTTATTTCCAATAGAATATAAAAAAACTATCTTTTGCATTAATTAAGAATTTTAATTAATACTTATACCAATGTTAGCAATATTCACATTTTTGCTAATAATTTTAAAAATTATTTTATATATTTTGTAAAAATACAAAAATTAAATCTCAAAATGTATTGGATTATTAATTGAATTAAGATTCTCCTGAATTTTAATACTTTTATATTCCTTTCTTAAAAATTACATATAGAAAATCTGCATTACATTAAATGTTTTGCAAATATTTGCAAAACATTTGGTTTGAATTTAATTTACCTTATACAATCTATGTGTGAATTCTAAAAAATTTGCTTAAAAAATAACAACGGCAATAATAATTCTAAAAAAAAATATATCGAAATTTTAAATTCTGTGTGATGAGTAATTTATTTATAATAAATTATCATATATATATATATATATATATATATATATATATATATAATATATTATGAAAGAATAAATAAAATCTTAAGATTGTTGCAAAAGATTAAATGCAGAGTAAGACGTTTTCAGAAGCTGTAAATAAAATAAAATAAAATTATAATAGAAAATAAAAATTTTCCTTATATTATAAAATATCAAAAAAGCTTGAAATTATAGTACCAACATTGCCATAAGATTCCAGAGATAATGTCACCAAAAAGCTACTAGTAAACTTGATAGGTCGTGTACTACACCTCATAATCATAAGTAGATCCTTTTGTTCACTAATTGGCATTAATACCCAATCCATTTCATATACAGCTTCACTCAATCCAGTGCTCTGAAAAAAATAAAAACATAATTAGAATAATAAAATAATCATCGGCAGAACAATTTTTGCGAAAAGCTTCTAAAATAAAATTTTTTACAATAATGCTATTCGTTTTCTCTTTATGCATCCTCATGACTACCTTAAGTATAACTTCGTTTCCAGCCCAACAATAAACAAAAATTTGGACAAACATGCAAAGTACATAGATAATCAAGCTGATAATGTCTGTAATTGTCATATGAGAAGATAAATGATACAGACTTGTGCATAACACCAATATGCTGGCGAAAAATTGGACAAATATCACTTGGCTGAATACTTTATTGATAATTTTGGCAAGTCTATAAATATTTTTATATTATGTTGCAAATTATACAATTAATATGTAGAAAATTAAAAAGATATTACAACTAAAATATTATATATATACCAAACATTATTTAATATATTTAACAGAAAAATACGTACATAAAATAACTTTATCATCTGCTTGACAAACCTGATTATACATAGATGATGTAAAATATGTTCCGACAATATGCTTCTGCCATTTGATGTATTATTCAATGAAATAGGAATTTCCTTCTTTTTATTGGACTTCATCATTGTTTGCAGACGATGTTTCAAAATCTCAATTTGTGCGCATATTTGTAAACAAAATCCCAATACTGTGGTCTCCGTCGCAACATTTACAATTGTACCAAAAATTACAGCCACCACTTCTTGAATTGATGTAAACCAGAATAAAAGAGGCGACGTGTAATCATACGGTACCCACATCCTATAGGGTAATTCACCCTCTAAAATATTGAACATTCCTCCTAGTACGGCACCAGTGGCAGAAAATGATGCCAAAGACGTATATCTTATGGAATATGATCTGCATATGTTTCGCGAAATCAGTGTATGTATATATCAATACGAAAGAGCAATATATGTTGTATGTGTTTTGAAATTATATAGATTAACAATATTAACTGTGCTTAGTAAATATAAAGACTAATAAACATCTTTGATTATCATTGTGTATACAGCATTTTAAATAACTTTCGTAATACAGATGCAGGAGTGCAACATCTAGATTCATAATAATTAGTATATTAATCTCTTTTGAATAATTTAAAAAAATTAACTCTTAAATTAACTCTTAAAATTAATCCTTATAAAATTTCTCATATATTTATTAAATTAAGTCCCTTTATTTTATTTGTTTTGTATCATTTAATTTAATTTAATCGATTAGTAACATATTTATTTTTATCTATCAATTCACATGCTAACAAGATTGTGATCGACAGTTGCATCACTTAAATGTACCGACCTGATCAAACAATCGAACTTTATCTGGATATCACTCTCTTCTTCATTATACACTGTGCAAGGTTTCTTCTGTAATGTTTCGATTAAATTGACAATTTCATCGCGACGTGTTATAACAGCAGTTGCCTTAAATAATACACTGACAGTCGAAAGTAACAGTAAAGAAGTCGTAGCAAAATCATCTACGTTTTCAATAACAAGAATAATATCCAGCAATTGAGTCAGCATTAAAATTATTAATAAATACATCGTGAAGCAAGTGAGCATCCAATACAGCATCTTGGAACATTTCGAAGACCACTCGATAGGTCGCCACATACCACTAATGGTATATAAAAAAAAATTAAAAGACAGTATCTGCATTTTTATCTACAATTGCTGCAATATTAAAAGCGGCAAATTTTCTTTATTTATTAAAAAAGTGAATTTTAAAATATTTAATTATTAAAATATATAATTCAAGAATAATTGATTATATTTTTACTATTTTTTTACTATTTTTTAAAAATACTCTCATAAATCCATATTTCGCATATATTTCCAAAAAGTAAAATTTCAAACTTGAATTTTAATATACAATTGCAAATATCTTGTGGTTAATTTGCAGCAAAAATTTAAATTACATAACTTTAATTTGTAAAACGTATCTCTAAAAATGTCTAATACACAATAATGCACACGCGACCAAAGTTCCTAAGACACTAGTTAAGTATCAAGTTTTATCCCTATGCTGCTTAAAATTATTAATTTATTAATAACTGATACGACGGTATCTATCGATTCTTTACTGCCTGGTAAAATATCGAAGATATAATTATGGGGTATGTAGTTGTATGTAATTGTTTGAGGCATTATAGGAACATTATATTTCCAGTGAATTTCAACATATTGTCGCGTTCCCAGGATTCTAAATATACATGTAATTTAAGCATATGGTACAATCCTAAATAATGACACTCAAGAAGTTACAATTGAATCGATAAATGCAAAAAATATTCGTTTTTTAAAATATATATTTTTGCTATAGGAATATTTTGGATATTGGATATAAAATGTAACATATAACATGTGGAAAATAAACATTTATTTAATTTAATACCTATATTTTAAAATATTAAACGTATTATTTTGTAATAATATTTTATAAAAAAATATAGCAACATGAGACAATGATATCAAAAATCACAATTCTCTTATAGCGAAAAAATCTGTCAATCGATTTTTAGTGACTTACTTGTGTTCCAAGAATTACATTAGCATGCAGCTACTCTATAGCTGTTAATTACGGCTATAAGTCGCAATGTTTATAATGACAGTCCTGTTGTTTTAAGAATAATTATATGTTTCCATAATATTGTAAATCGCCCGAGAGAATATATTCTCTCACGACATGTTTATTCCCGCTAATTCTCATCGCATATCACGCTTATTCACCTGTTTTAATTTTGCTCGTTCACTATCAACGTGTTCTTCATCTTTCGTTGTTTCCTTCTTTCTTCTTTTTTTCATCTACTTTTTTTAATTATCTTTCGACTTCTGTAAATGCCATCTGTTGACCTGTCTAGCAATCTAATCGTGTACAACGAAAAGGCGTGTTCCCATCACATAAACGGAAAGAAAAAAAGAAAACTAGTATTATCGCGATAAATATGTTGTGAGAATCGTCATTTTTTACTGATTTGCATCACTCTCACAGGTAAATTTCTATGTGCGGAAAATCATCGTTCTTCCAGCGTAAAAGATTGCTTTAAAATTAGTATGATCATGTTCTACGAAGTAATTTTTGCACATTATCTCTGATACATTTATCGGATAATGCATTTTTTTCTAATAAAGTTTTAACACACACACACACACACACACACACACACACACACACACACATATATATATATACATATATTTGTTAAATTTGATAAATTGCATACAATATCTTAATTTAATGTTTTAATTATATCTATATAATACATTCATTTTGTACAAGTTTTCAATAAAAATAATACATTATTTAATTTTTGAATGATGTATGATAACATTTTCTTATTGAATGGTAAGACCGTTCTAGCCAAAATTACTATTCTTTTCTTTGCGAAATAATTGGAAAAAAAGAAAAAAAATTATTATTTTTTACAAGTATCTGCTAGCAATGCATTAAGATTATAAATTCCATTAACCTTCTTTTTGTGTAACAAACGTTTATGTTACAAACAGCTATAACTGTGTATAAATTTCAAACCGACATATGTAAACTTTCATGCCATCAAAAATATATCGATTGCCACTACATACACAAAGTACTGTGCAATATACGATTATTTAATTGTTAACATTTATAATCAATAACATATTTACTTAAAGAATAAAAAATATATATACATATATAGTTATTCTTAAAGGTATACAAATATACCTTTCTAAAAGATAGAATCTTAATGAAACATTCTATTTTATAAACATGTTAATTTTTAGGTCTAATCATTTTTGTAAACAATTGTAAAAATTATTATATATATATTGCAAAAATCCACAAATTAAATTATAAAATATTATTAATTAAATTAATCGAATTTGTTAACTGAATAATTAGTTCAATTAACATATCTTCCGAATTTTAATATTTTTATATGCTTTCTTAAAAATAAGCATAAGAAAATCTGTATTGCATTTAAAAGAGTATTTGCGACTATCTGCAAAAAACATTTGATTTCAATTTAGTTTACTTTGTACCTACCTGTGAATTCTAGATAATTTGTTTTTAAAATATTAATTGCTATAATAATAATAGCTAAAAAAAGATACATCAAAATTCTATGATGAGGAATATATTTATGATAAATACGCATACACATTATGTATTGTAAAAGGATAAATAACACTTTAGAATTGTCGCAAAAAATTAAATGCAGCATAAGACGCTTTCAAAAGCTGTAAAATAAAATTTGGAAAATTTTAGTGAAAATTTAAAAAAAATTGATGCGAAATATAAAAATATAAAAAAGACTTGAAATTTTAATACGAACATTGACGTAAGACTCCAAGGATAATGTCACCAAGAAGCTACTGGTAAATATGATAGGACGTGTACTACGTTTCATAATTATTAATAGATCTTTTTGCTTATTAATAGGCATCGATATCCAATCCATTTCATATACAGCGTCACTCAATCCAGTACTCTGAAGAAATGAAAACACAATTAGAATAATGAGATGATCAGCTGAAAAATGTTTGTGAAAAGCTTATAAAATATAATTTTGCGCATCAATGCTATTCTTTGCTTTTTTATGCATCCTCACGACTACCTTAAGTATAACTTCGTTTCCAGCCCAACAGTAAACAAAAATTTGGACAAACATGCAAAGTACATACATAATCATGCTGATAATGTATGTAATTGTCATATGAGAAGATAAATGATACAGACTTGTGCCTAACAACAATATGCTGGCGAAAAATTGGACAAAGATCACTTGGCTGAATACCTTGTTGATCATTTTGGCAAGTCTGTAAATATTTTCATTATGTTTGCAAGTTATATAATTAATATGTACAAAATTAATAGAGTATCGCAACAATATCATAAATGCATCAAACATTATTTAATAAAACGATAAATATATAAAATAACTTTATTATTTGGTGACGAACCTGATTATACACAGGTGATGTAAAATACATTCCGACAATCTATATGTTTCATTTGACTCATCATTCAATGAAATTTTGGAGGTTTCTTTCTCATTCGATTTTACCGTTCTCTGCAGACGATATTTCAAAATCTCAATTTGTGCGCATATTTGCAAGCAAAAACCCAATATCGTTGTTTCCGTTGCAGTGGTTACAATTGTGGCAAAAATTAGAGCCACAAACGTTTGAATCGATGTAAACCAAAGTAAAAAGGGTGAAGTATAATCATATGGTACCCACATCCTAATGGGTAAGTGACCCTTTAAAATTTGGTGCAGCCCTTTTATTATGCCACCAATGGCAGAAAGCAAACACATAGATGTGTACTTTATGGAATATGATCTGTGTATATTTTGTGAAAACATATAATAATTAATGTATAATAGCAATACACGAGAACAGTGTGTATTGTGTGCGTATTTGTTTTGAAATTAACGATACTGTACAGTAAAAAGAGATACCATCTTTATTATCATTGTATACAGTACTTTAGATAATTATTTGTAACACAAATGCATGAGCAAAATATTTAGATTATTATAATAATCTGATAGTACACACTCTAATTTTTTGAATAATTTAAGACAATTAATTTAGAAAATTTCATGTATATTTATTAAATTAAATCTCATTAGTTGAATTTATTTATTTTGTTTGTTATTTAATTTAATTCATTGATAAGATATTTATTTGTATCTATCAATTTATATATCAACAAGAATGTGACATTATTGACAATTGTATCAGTAAATATACCAACCTGATCATACAATCGAATTTCATCTGGATATTAATCTCTTTTTCACTGTACACTTTGCAAGGTTCCTTCTGTAGTATTTCAATTAAATTGACAATTTTATCGCGATGTGTTATAACAGTAATTGCCTTAAATAATACATTCATAAACGAAAGTAACATTGAAGTATTCATAGCAAAATCATCTACGTTTTCAATAACAAGAATAATATCCAACAATTGAGTCAGCGTGAAAATTATTAGAAAATACATCGTGAAACAAGTGAGCATACTATACAACATTTTAGAACATTTCGAAGACCACTCGATTGGTCGCCACATACCACTAATGGTATATAAAAAAAAGTTGAAAGAGAGTATCTTCATCTTTGTCTACAATTACTGCAATATTAGCGACTATAATAATAGCCTCAGATTTTCTTCTTTGCTAAAAAAGCAGTCTTGATATATTTAACTCTCTATTAAGATATATAATCAAAAAATAATTCATATTTTTATCACATTTTTTTAGATCATTCTTTAAAAATGTTTTTATAAATGTATGTGTTACGTATATATATTACAATAAAATTTCAAGCATTAATTCAACAACACATTTACAAGTACCTTGTGATTAATATTTACAGCAAAAAAATTAAATGGCACAACCTCAATTTGTACGTATGTGTAAAATTAATAAATATACAATAATGCATACGTGACCAAAATTCGTAAGACACTAGTGAAATGTTTTCGTATCATATTTCGTTGTCTTTATATATGTCTTTATATCCAGCTTAAAATTAATAATTCATTAATAATTGCCGGTGTATTAACGCCAATTCATTATAATATATCATTATGTTAAAGATTTATTGATACAGTCGTGCTTTATCTTTATCATTAGACGATTAAATTAACGATTTAATTATAAGGTAATAGTTTGTGATACATTTGAAGGATGGTAGAACAAAATTAAACTTTCATCTGATCTAATAACTATTTGAAATGTTCTGAAATATTAAACGTAATATTATTTATATGAAATGCTTTCATATCATATTTCGTTGTTTCTATATATCCAGTTTGAAATTAAAAATTCATTAATAACTGCCGCCATATTAATGATTGATTACAATATGTCATTATGTTAATGATTCATTATAATATATCACTATATTAATGATTCATTATAATATATTATTATATTAATGATTTGTTTTCAATTTAGTTTATTTTCTATCTACCAATTTGAATTCTAAATAATTTGTTTTTAAAATATTAATTGTTATAATAGCTAAAAGAAGACATATCAAATTTCATATTCTGTGATGGGAAATATATTTATGATAAGTGCGCATATACATAATATATTGCAAAAGAGTAAATAAAATTTTAAGATTGTTGCAAAAGATTAAATGCAGAGTAAGATGCTTTCAAAAGCTGTAAAATAAAATTTGAAAAATTTTAGCGGAAATTAAATTTTCTTATATTATTAAATATTTAAAAAACTTGAAATTTTAATACTAACACTGCCGTAAGACTCCAAAGATAATGTCACCAAGAAGCTACTGGTAAACTTGATAGGACGTGTACTACGTTTCATAATCATCAATAGATCTTTTTGCTTATTAATTGGCATCAATATCCAATCCATTTCATATACAGCTTCACTCAATCCAGTACTCTGAAAAAATAAAAACACAATTAGAATAATGAGATCATCAGGCGAACATTTTTGGTAAAATGCTCGTAAAATACAAATTGCGCATCAATGCTATTCTTTGCTTTTTTATGCATCCTCACGACTACCTTAAGTATAACTTCGTTTCCAGCCCAACAGTAAACAAAAATTTGGACAAACATGCAAAGTACATAGATAATCAAGCTGATGATGTCTATAATTGTCACATGAGAAGATAAATGATACAGACTTGTGCACAATACCAATATGCTGGCGAAAAATTGGACAAATATCACTTGGCTGAATACCTTATTGATAATTTTGGCAAGTCTATAAATATTTTTATATTATGTTGCAAATTATATAATTAATATATACAAAATTAAAAAGATACCACAATTAATATTATGAAAAGATCAAACATTTTATTTAATATATTTAGCACAGAAAAATACGTACATAAAATAACTTTATCATCTGCTTGACGAACCTGATTATACATAGATGATGTAAAATATGTTCCGAAAATCTGTCTGTTCCATTTGAAGCATCATTCAGCGAAATGAGAGTTTTCTCTTTCTTACTGGACTTCATCATTTTTTGCAGGCGATGTTTCAAAATCTCAATTTGTGCGCATATTTGTAAGCAAAATCCCAATACTGTAGTCTCCGTCGCAACATTTACAATTGTGGCAAAAAGTGTAGCCACCAACTCTTGAATTGATGTAAGCCAAAATAAAAAGGGCGAGGTATAATCGTATGGTACCCACATTCTAAAGGGTAATTGACCCTCTAAAGTATTTAGCAAACCTCCTATTATGCCACCAGTGACAGAAAATGATGCCAGAGATGTGTACTTTATGGAATATGATCTGCATATATTTTGTGAAAACATATAATAATCAACGTATAAAAGCAGTGTATAACAGCAATGTGTTGTGTGTGTGTTTTGAAATTATATAGATTAACGATATTGTTCAATATAAAGAAAAATATGATCTTTAATTATCATTGCACACAGTACTTTAGATAACTAACACAAATCCATGAGTAAAACATTTAGATTTATAATAATTTGATAGTACACACTCTAACTTTTTGAATAACTTAAGAAAATTAATTTAGAATTTCGCATATATCTATTAAATTAAATCTCATTAATTCAATTTATTTATTTGGTTCATTATTTTATTTAATTGGTTGATAAGATATTTTTATTCGTATCTATCAATTTACATGTCACCAAGATTGTGACGTCATCATCAGTTAAATATACCAACCTGATCATACAATCGAATTTCAACTGAATGTCGTTCTCCTCTTCATTGTAAGCTTTGCAAGGTTTCTTTTGTAGAGTCTTAATCAAATTAATAAGTTCATCTCGACGTGTTATAACAGCAATTGCCTTAAATAATACACTAATAATCGAAAGAAACATTAAAGAATTCTTGGCAAAATCGTCCATGTTATCAATAACAAGGATAATATCCAGCAATTGAGTCAGCGTGAAAATTATTAGTAAATACATCGTGAAACAAGTGAGCATACTATACAGCATCTTGGAACATTTCGAAGACCACTCGATTGGTCGCCACATACCACTAATGGTATATAAAAAAAAATTAAAAGACAATATCTGCATTTTTATCTACAATTGCTGAAATATTAAAAGCGGCAGATTTTCTTTATTTATTAAAAAAGTGAATTTTAAAATATTTATTTATTAAAATATATAATTCAAGAATAATTGATTATATTTTTATCAAATTTTTTTACTATTTTTTAAAAATACTCTCATAAATCCATATTTCGCATATATTTCAAAAAGGAAAATTTCAAACTTGAATTTTAATACCACAATTGCAAATATCTTGCGGTTAATTTGCAGCAAAAACTTAAATTACATAACTTTAATTTGTAAAACGTATCTCTAAAAATGTTTAATACACAATAATGCACACGCGACCAAAGTTCGTAAGACACTAGTTAAGTATCAAGTTTTATCCCTATGCTGCTTAAAATTATTAATTTATTAATAACTGATACGACGGTATCTATCGATTCTTTACTGCCTGGTAAAATATCGAAGATATAATTATGGGGTATGTAGTTGTATGTAATTGTTTGAGGCATTGTAGGAACATTATATTTCCAGTGAAATTCAACATATTGTCGCGTTCCCAGGATTCTAAATATACATGTAATTTAAGCATATTGTACAATCCTAAATAATGACACTCATAAAGTTACAATTAAATCGATAAATGCAAAAAATATTCGTTTTTTAAAAATATATATTTTTGCTATAGGAATATTTTGGATATTGGATATAAAATGTAACATATGACATGTGGAAAATAAACATTTATTTAATTTAATACTTATATTTTAAAATATTAAACGTAATATTATTTTGTAATAATATTTTATAAAAAAATATAGCAACATGAGACGATGATATCAAAAATCACAATTCTCTTATAGCGAAAAAATCTGTCAATCGATTTTTAGTAACTTACTTGTGTTCCAAGAATTACATTAGCATGCAGCTACTCTATAGCTGTTAATTACGGCTATAAGTCGCAATGTTTATAATGACAGTCCTGTTGTTTTAAGAATAATTATATGTTTCCATAATATTGTAAATCGCCCGAGAGAATATATTCTCTCACGACATGTTTATTCCCGCTAATTCTCATCGCATATCACGCTTATTCACCTGTTTTAATTTTGCTCATTCACTATCAACGTGCCTTTCATTTTTCGTAGTTTCCTTCTTTCTTCTTTTTTTCATCTACTTTTTTTAATTATCTTTCGACTTCTGTAAATGCCATCTGTTGACCTGTCTAGCAATCTAATCGTGTACAACGAAAAGGCGTGTTCCCATCACATAAACGGAAAGAAAAAAAGAAAACTAGTATTATCGCGATAAATATGTTGTGCGAATCGTCATTTTTTACTGATTTGCATCACTCTCACAGGTAAATTTTTATGTGCGGAAAAGGATCATCGTTCTTCCAGCGTAAAAAATTGCTCTAAAATTAGTATGATCGTGTTCTGCGAAGTAATTTTTGAACATTATCTCCGATACGTTTATCGGATAATGCTTTTTTTTCTAATAAAGTTTTAACACACACTCACACACACATATATATACATATATTTGTTAAATTTGATAAATTGCATACAATATCTTAATTTAATGTTTTAATTATATCAATATAATACATTCATTTTGTACAAGTTTTCAATAAAAATAATACATTATTTAATTTTTGAATGATGTATGATAACATTTTCTTATTGAATGATAAGACCGTTCTAGCTCACAGCCAAAATTACTATTCTTTTCTTTGTGAAATGGAAAAAAAGAAAAAAAATTATTATTTTTTATAAATATCTACTAGCAATGCATTAAGATTATAAATTCCATTAACGTTCTTTTTGTGTAACAAACGTTTATGTTACAAACATCTATAACTGTGTATAAATTTGAAGCCGTCATATGTAAACTTTCATGCCGTCAAAGATATATCGATTGCCACTATATACACAAAGTATTGTGCAATATACGATTATTTAATTGTTAACATTTATAATTAATAACATATTTACTTAAAGAATAAAAAATATATATACATATATAGTTATTCTTAAAGATATATAAATATACCTTTCTATAAAAGACAGAATCTTAATGAAACATTCTTTTTTATAAACATGTTAATTTTTAGGTCTAATCAATCATTTTTGTAAATAATTGTAAAAATTATTATATATATATAAAAATTATTATATATATATATATATTTTACATATATTTTTTATATATATTTTATATATACATATATATATATATTTTATTATATATATATATATATATATATATATATTATATATATTATATATTATATATTATATATATATTATATATATATATATATTTTATTATATATATATATATATATATATATATATATTGCAAAAATCCACAAATTAAATTATAAAATATTATTAATTAAATTAATCGAATTTGTTAACTGAATAATTAATTCAATCAACATATCTTCCGAATTTTAATATTTTTATATGTTTTCTTAAAAATAAGTATAAGAAAATCTGTATTGCATTCAAAAGAGGATTTGCGACTATCTGTAAAAAACATTTGATTTCAATTTAGTTTACTTTGTACCCACCTGTGAATTCTAGATAATTTGTTTTTAAAATATTAATTGCTATAATAATAATAGCTAAAAAAAGATACATCAAAATTCTATGATGAGGAATATATTTATGATAAATACGCATACACATTATGTATTGTAAAAGGATAAATAACACTTTAGAATTGTCGCAAAAAATTAAATGCAGCATAAGACGCCTTTAAAAGCTGTAAAATAAAATTTGGAAAATTTTAGTGAAAATTTAAAAAAAATTGATGCGAAATATAAAAATATAAAAAAGACTTGAAATTTTAATGCGAACATTGACGTAAGACTCCAAGGATAATGTCACCAAGAAGCTACTGGTAAATATGATAGGACGTGTACTACGTTTCATAATTATTAATAGATCTTTTTGCTTATTAATAGGCATCGATATCCAATCCATTTCATATACAGCGTCACTCAATCCAGTACTCTGAAGAAATGAAAACACAATTAGAATAATGAGATGATCAGCTGAAAAATGTTTGTGAAAAGCTTATAAAATATAATTTTGCGCATCAATGCTATTCTTTGCTTTTTTATGCATCCTCACGACTACCTTAAGTATAACTTCGTTTCCAGCCCAACAGTAAATAAAAATTTGGACAAACATGCAAAGTACATAGATAATCAAACTGATGATGTCTATAATTATCACATGAGAATATAAATAATACAGACTTATGCACAACACCAATATGCTGACGAAAAATTGGATAAAGATCACTTGGCTGAATACCTTGTTGATCATTTTGGCAAGTCTGTAAATATTTTCATTATGTTTGCAAGTTATATAATTAATATGTACAACATTAATAGAGTACCGCAACAATATCATAAATCATCAAACATTATTTAATAGAACGATAAATATATAAAATAACTTTATTATTTGTTGACGAACCTGATTATACACAGGTGATGTAAAATACATTCCGACAATCTATATGTTTCATTTGACTCATCATTCAATGAAATTTTAGAGGTTTCTTTCTCATTCGACTTTACCATTCTCTGCAGACGATATTTCAAAATCTCAATTTGTGCGCATATTTGTAAGCAAAAACCCAATACCGTAGTTTCCGTTGCGAGGTTTACAAATGTGGCAAAAATTACAGCCACAATCATTTGAATTGATGTAAACCAAAGTAAAAAGGGCGAGGTATAATCGTATGGTACCCACATCCTAAAGGGTAATTGACCCTCTAAAATTTGGTGCAGCCCTTTTATTATGCCACCAATGACAGAAAGCAAACACATAGATGCGTACTTTATGGAATATGATCTGTATATATTTTGTGAAAACATATAATAATTAATGTATAATAGCAATACACGAGAGCAGCGTATATTGTGTGCATATGTGGTTTGGAATTATATAGATTAACGACACTGTACAGTAAAAAAAGATATTATCTTTATTATCATTGTATATGGTACTTTAGATAATTATTTGTAACACAAATGCATGAGCAAAATATTTAGATTATTATAATAATTTAATAGTACACATTCCAATTTTTTGAATAACTTAAGAAAATTAATTTAGAATTTTGTATATATTTATTAAATTAAATGTCATTAGTCCAACTTATTTCGTTTGTCATTTAATTTAATTGATTGATAAAATATTTATTTATATCTGCCAATTTACACGTCGACAAAATTATGACATAATTGACAGTTGTATCAATAAATATACCTGATCGTACAATCGAATTTCATCTGGATATTACTCTCTTCTTCAGTGTACACTTTGCAAGGTTTCTTTTGTAATGTATCGATTAAATTGGCAATTTCATCGCGATGTGTTATAACAGCCGTTGCTTTAAATAATACACTGACAGTCGAAAGTAACAGTAAAGAAGTCGTAGCAAAATCATCTATGTTTTCAATAACAAGAATAATATCCAGCAATTGAGTCAGCGTGAAAATTATTAATAAATACATCGTGAAACAAGTGAGCATACTATATAACATTTTAGAACATTTCGAAGACCACTCGATTGGTCGCCACATACCACTAATGGTATATAAAAAAAAGTTGAAAGAGAGTATCTTCATCTTTGTCTACAATTGTTGCAATATTAGCAGCGACTATAATAAAAGCCACAGATTTTCTTTATTTGCGAAAAAAGGCAGTTTTGATATATTTAACTCTCTATTAAGATATATAATAAAAAAATAATTGATATGTTTATTAAACTTTTTTAGACCATTCTTTAAAAATATATTTTTATAAATCTATGTTTTACGTATATATTTTTTACAATAAAATTTCAAGCATTAATTCAACAACACATTTACAAGTATCTTGTGAATATTTACAGCAAAATAATTAAATGGCACAATCTCAATTTGTACGTATCTGCAAAAATAATAAATATACAATAATGCATACGTGACAAAGATTCGTAAGACACTAGTAAAATGTTTTCGTATCGCATTTCGTTGTCTTTATATATCCAGCTTAAAATTAATAATTCATTAATAATTGCCGGCGTATTAACGCCGATTCATTAAAATATATCATTATGTTAAAGGTTCATTGATGATAGTGCTTTATCTTTATCACTAGACGATTAAATTAACGATTTAATTATAAGGTAATAGTAGTTTGTGATACATTTAAGATATGGTAGAACAAAATTAAACTTTCATCTGATCTAATAACTATTTGAAATGTTCTGAAATATTAAACGTAATATTATTTATACATAATAATATTTTACAAAAAATATGGCAATGTGAGATGATGATAAAAAAAATTACAATTCTTTTATAGAACAGAAAGCTCAATTGATTTTTAGTGATGTTTATTCTCGCTAATTCTGAAAAGTTTATTGAAAATAAGTAAACGGCACGTGTATGACAATTCTCTCCACGTACTACAGTTATTCATCTGTTTTAATTCTGCTCGCTCACTTCTAGAGTGTTTCTTATCTTCCGTAGTTTACTTCTTCCTTACGTTTTTCATCTCCTTTTTTTAATTATTTTTCGATTTCTGCAAATGCCGTCTGCTGTCCTGTCTAATGTAATCGTATACAACGAAAATTACGAGTTCCCATCATCAGCACTGGCCATCGCATAAACGCTAGGAAAGAATTCGTCGCGAAAAATTTATTGTGCAAATCGTCATTTTTATTAATTTCAATCACTCTTACAGGTGAATTTTTGTAAGCGAAAAAAGAGATCGTTCATTCAGTGTAAAAAATTGCTCCAAAATTAGTATGATTATGTTCTGCGAAATGACTTTCGAATGTTTATCACTGATATGTTTATCAGGTAATTCATATTTTTCTAATAAAGTTTCAAGATAAAGATATGTGTGTATATATATATATATATATATATATATATATATATATATTTGTTGATATTTGATAAATTGCATGCAACACAATTAATTTAATATTCTAAACAGGGTTGGCAAAAAATTTGTTTTTTTTTATTTTAAACAAAAACATTTTTAAATACATATAAAGCCTAATTCCTTTCAATTTAGTAAAATGTAAAGTCAGCCAATATCTTCTAAGTAATCTTTATTGTATTGATTATTATTTATTATCTAAAAATAAATATTCTGCTAAAATAATACCCTAATCTTATTATTTTTATTTTATTATTTATATTTTTATATCTATATGTTACATAAATATCGATAAAAAACTAAAAACTAAACAAAAACTATTTTCTAACATACACATCTGTAAGTTTTTGTTTGTTTTTTTATTTTTTTTACAATTTTTTTTCCAAATAATCATATGTTTTATTTGCGATATTTTAAACAGTTCTGAACAATAATTTGAAACTGTTTAAAACAAAAATGTTTAAAACAGTGTCCACTTGTTAATCATACAGTTTTAAACACATTGTTTAAAACATGTCAACCCTGATTCTAAATACATTAATTTAACACATTCATTTTTTATAAGTTTTTAATGAAAATGATGCATTATTTAATTGATATTTAGGACAGCATTTTTTTATTACGATGTTGACTGTGCTGACCCACAGCCAAAATTATTTTCGTTCCAAAATAATTTTGAATAAAAGGAAAGATGACGTTATTATTTTTAAGTATCTATTAGCAATAAATTCGAATTCCGTTAACGTACCGTTTATGTAAGATTACAAGCAGCTATAACTACGTGTAGATCTGAAACTATCATGATAATGTAAACTTTCATGCCATCAGAATACATCGATTGCCACTATATAGTATGTAGTCTACTGTGCAATATATGATTATTTAATTGTTAATTTAATAAGACATCATCAGAGACATTATTATTTATTTAAAGAATAAAAATAATATACACATATATACTTATTATATATAATTATAATATCTTTCGATAAAAGATATGAAATACATTATAACTATATAGAATAACTGTATATGTTATATATTTTTTATTCTTCAAATACATGATATTGTTTCTGAATCTTAATAAACTTCTTTTTGTAATCATTTTAAGAATTTTTAAATCTTATCAATAATTCTTGCAAATAATTTTCAAAATTATTAAATATACTGTAAAAATCTACAAAAAAATCCAAAGATAATCCACAAATTAAATCACAAAATATTATTAAGTTGATTATATTAAATTAAATTAACATAATTTAACATCATTTATTAACATAATTTAACATTATTTATTAACTAAATTATACTAGATGAATTAAAATATCTTCCGAAATTATATGTTTTTACATGTCTTTCTTAAAAATGATGTATAAAAAAATCTGTATTGCAAATCTGTATTTAAATAAAGTATTTCGTAAATAATTGTAAAAAGCCTTTGATTTCAATTTAGTTTATTTTGTATACCAATTTATGAATTCTAAATAATTTATTTTTAAAATATAACATAATTATTACAATAGAAGAAGATATAAAAAAATCAAATTTCATATTCTGATGAGGAATATATTTATGATAAATATGCATACACATAATATATTGTAAATAACATTTTAGGATTGTCGCAAAAGGTTAAATGCAGAGTAAGATGCTTTCAAAAGCTGTAAAATAAAATTTGAAAAATTTTAGTGGAAATTAAACAAAAATTGATGTCATAAAATATAAAAAAAACTTGAAATTTTAATACCAACATTGCCGTAAGACTCCAAAGATAACGTCACCAAGAAGCTACTGGTAAATTTGATAGGACGTGTACTACGCTTCATAATCATCAATAGATCTTTTTGCTTATTAATTGGCATCAATATCCAATCCATTTCATATACAGCTTCACTTAATCCAGTACTCTAAAGAAATAAAAATACAATTAGAATAATGAGATGATCATCAACTGAACAATTTTGGTGAAAAAATTATAAAATATAATTTTGCGCAACAATGCCATTCTTTGTTTGTCATTTTATGCATCCTCATGACTACCTTAAGTATAACTTCATTTCCAGCCCAACAATAAACAAAAATTTGGACAAACATACAAAGTAAATAGATAACGAAACTGATGATTTCTATAATTGCCTCATGAGAAGATAAATGATACAGACTTGTGCACAACACTAATATGCTGGCGAAAAATTGGAAAAAGATCACTTGGCTGAATACCTTGTTGATCATTTTGGCAAGTCTGTAATATTTTCATATTATGTGTGTTGTAAGTTATGTAATTAATATGTACAAAATTAATAAAGTAATACAACAATATTATAAATACATCAAACACTATTTAATATAAACATAAATACATATATAAAATAACTTTATTATTTGTTTGACGAACCTGATTATACACAGGTGATGTAAAATATATTCCGACAATTTACCTATTTCATTTGATTCATCATTTAATGAAATTCTGGAGGTTTTCTTCTCACTGGATTTCATCATTCTCTGCAGACGATGTTTCAAAATCTCAATTTGTGCGCATATTTGTAAGCAAAAACCCAATACCGTAGTTTCCGTTGCGAGATTTACAAATGTGGCAAAAATTACAGCCACAAACGTTTGAATTGATGTAAACCAAAGTAAAAAGGGCCAGGTATAATCGTATGGTACCCACATCCTAAAGGGTAATTGACCCTCTAAAATTTGGAGCAGTCCTCTTATTATGCCACCAGTGACAGAAAGCAATGTCAGAGATGTGTACTTTATGGAATATGATCTGTATATATTTTGTGAAAACATATAATAATTAATGTATAATAACAATACACGAGAGCAGTATGTATTGTGGGCATATGTGTTTTGAAATTATATAGATTAACGATACTGTACAGTAAAAAAAGATATCATCTTTATTATCATTGTATATGGTACTTTAGATAATTATTTGTAACACAAATGCATGAGCAAAATATTTAGATTATTATAATAATTTAATAGTACACATTCCAATTTTTTGAATAACTTAAGAAAATTAATTTAGAATTTTGCATATATTTATTAAATTAAATGTCATTAGTCCAACTTATTTCGTTTGTTATTTAATTTAATTGATTGATAAAATATTTATTTATATCTGCCAATTTACACGTCGATAAAATTGTGGCATAATTGACAGTTGTATCAATAAATATACCTGATCGTACAATCGAATTTCATTTGGATATTACTCTCTTCTTTAGTGTATACTTTGCAAGGTTTCTTCTGTAATGTATCGATTAAATTGGCAATTTCATCGCGATGTGTTATAACAGCTGTTGCCTTAAATAATACACTGACAGTCGAAAGTAACAGTAAAGAAGTTGTAGCAAAATCATCTACGTTTTCAATAACAAGAATAATATCCAGCAATTGAGTCAGCGTGAAAATTATTAATAAATACATCGTGAAACAAGTGAGCATACTATATAACATTTTAGAACATTTCGAAGACCACTCGATTGGTCGCCACATACCACTAATGGTATATAAAAAAAAGTTGAAAGAGAGTATCTTCATCTTTGTCTACAATTGTTGCAATATTAGTAGCGACTATAATAAATGCCACAGATTTTCTTTATTTGCGAAAAAAGCAGTTTTGATATATTTAACTCCCTATTAAGATATATAATCAAGAAATAATTGATATTTTTATTAAACTGT